CAAGAATTTTAAAATTTTCAGTGGTCTGTCGTCTATTAAACCTAAACTGCTCTAGCTCCGCTGGAATATTTGAAATAAACAAGAATTTTAAAATTTTCAGTGGTCTGTCGTCTATTATACCTAAACTGCTCTAGCTCCGCTGGAATATTTGAAATAAACAAGAATTTTAAAATTTTCAGTGGTCTGTCGTCTATTAAACCTAAACTGCTCTAGCTCCGCTGGAATATTTGAAATAAACAAGAATTTTAAAATTTTCAGTGGTCTGTCGTCTATTAAACCTAAACTGCTCTAGCTCCGCTGGAATATTTGAAATAAACAAGAATTTTAAAATTTTCAGTGGTCTGTCGTCTATTATACCTAAACTGCTCTAGCTCCGCTGGAATATTTGAAATAAACAAGAATTTTAAAATTTTCAGTGGTCTGTCGTCTATTATACCTAAACTGCTCTAGCTCCGCTGGAATATTTGAAATAAACAAGAATTTTAAAATTTTCAGTGGTCTGTCGTCTATTATACCTAAACTGCTCTAGCTCCGCTGGAATATTTGAAATAAACAAGAATTTTAAAATTTTCAGTGGTCTGTCGTCTATTAAACCTAAACTGCTCTAGCTCCGCTGGAATATTTGAAATAAACAAGAATTTTAAAATTTTCAGTGGTCTGTCGTCTATTATACCTAAACTGCTCTAGCTCCGCTGGAATATTTGAAATAAACAAGAATTTTAAAATTTTCAGTGGTCTGTCGTCTATTAAACCTAAACTGCTCTAGCTCCGCTGGAATATTTGAAATAAACAAGAATTTTAAAATTTTCAGTGGTCTGTCGTCTATTAAACCTAAACTGCTCTAGCTCCGCTGGAATATATCAAATAAACAAGAATTTTAAAATTTTCAGTGGTCTGTCGTCTATTAAACCTAAACTGCTCTAGCTCCGCTGGAATATTTGAAATAAACAAGAATTTTAAAATTTTCAGTGGTCTGTCGTCTATTAAACCTAAACTGCTCTAGCTCCGCTGGAATATTTGAAATAAACAAGAATTTTAAAATTTTCAGTGGTCTGTCGTCTATTAAACCTAAACTGCTCTAGCTCCGCTGGAATATTTGAAATAAACAAGAATTTTAAAATTTTCAGTGGTCTGTCGTCTATTAAACCTAAACTGCTCTAGCTCCGCTGGAATATTTGAAATAAACAAGATTTTCAAAATTTTCAGTGGTCTGTCGTCTATTAAACCTAAACTGCTCTAGCTCCGCTGGAATATTTGAAATAAACAAGAATTTTAAAATTTTCAGTGGTCTGTCGTCTATTAAACCTAAACTGCTCTAGCTCCGCTGGAATATTTGAAATAAACAAGAATTTTAAAATTTTCAGTGGTCTGTCGTCTATTATACCTAAACTGCTCTAGCTCCGCTGGAATATTTGAAATAAACAAGAATTTTAAAATTTTCAGTGGTCTGTCGTCTATTAAACCTAAACTGCTCTAGCTCCGCTGGAATATTTGAAATAAACAAGAATTTCAAAATTTTCAGTGGTCTGTCGTCTATTAAACCTAAACTGCTCTAGCTCCGCTGGAATATTTGAAATAAACAAGAATTTTAAAATTTTCAGTGGTCTGTCGTCTATTAAACCTAAACTGCTCTAGCTCCGCTGGAATATTTGAAATAAACAAGAATTTTAAAATTTTCAGTGGTCTGTCGTCTATTATACCTAAACTGCTCTAGCTCCGCTGGAATATTTGAAATAAACAAGAATTTTAAAATTTTCAGTGGTCTGTCGTCTATTATACCTAAACTGCTCTAGCTCCGCTGGAATATTTGAAATAAACAAGAATTTTAAAATTTTCAGTGGTCTGTCGTCTATTATACCTAAACTGCTCTAGCTCCGCTGGAATATTTGAAATAAACAAGAATTTTAAAATTTTCAGTGGTCTGTCGTCTATTATACCTAAACTGCTCTAGCTCCGCTGGAATATTTGAAATAAACAAGAATTTTAAAATTTTCAGTGGTCTGTCGTCTATTATACCTAAACTGCTCTAGCTCCGCTGGAATATTTGAAATAAACAAGAATTTCAAAATTTTCAGTGGTCTGTCGTCTATTAAACCTAAACTGCTCTAGCTCCGCTGGAATATTTGAAATAAACAAGAATTTTAAAATTTTCAGTGGTCTGTCGTCTATTAAACCTAAACTGCTCTAGCTCCGCTGGAATATATCAAATAAACAAGAATTTTAAAATTTTCAGTGGTCTGTCGTCTATTAAACCTAAACTGCTCTAGCTCCGCTGGAATATTTGAAATAAACAAGAATTTCAAAATTTTCAGTGGTCTGTCGTCTATTAAACCTAAACTGCTCTAGCTCCGCTGGAATATATCAAATAAACAAGAATTTTAAAATTTTCAGTGGTCTGTCGTCTATTAAACCTAAACTGCTCTAGCTCCGCTGGAATATATCAAATAAACAAGAATTTCAAAATTTTCAGTGGTCTGTCGTCTATTAAACCTAAACTGCTCTAGCTCCGCTGGAATATTTGAAATAAACAAGAATTTCAAAATTTTCAGTGGTCTGTCGTCTATTAAACCTAAACTGCTCTAGCTCCGCTGGAATATATCAAATAAACAAGAATTTTAAAATTTTCAGTGGTCTGTCGTCTATTATACCTAAACTGCTCTAGCTCCGCTGGAATATTTGAAATAAACAAGAATTTTAAAATTTTCAGTGATCTGTCGTCTATTAAACCTAAACTGGTCTCCGCTGGAATATATCAAATAAACAGGAATTTTAAAATTTTCAGTGGTCTGTCGACTATTAAACCTAAACTGGTCTCCGCTGGAATATATCAAATATACAAGAATTTTAAAATTTTCAGTGGTCTTTTGACTATTAAACCTAAACTGGTCTCCGCTGGAATATATCAAATAAACAGGAATTTTAAAATTTTCAGTGGTCTGTCGCCTATTATACCTAAACTGCTCTAGCTCCGCTGGAATATTTGAAATAAACAAGAATTTTAAAATTTTCAGTGATCTGTCGTCTATTAAACCTAAACTGGTCTCCGCTGGAATATATCAAATAAACAGGAATTTTAAAATTTTCAGTGGTCTGTCGACTATTAAACCTAAACTGGTCTCCGCTGGAATATATCAAATAAACAGGAATTTTAAAATTTTCAGTGGTCTGTCGACTATTAAACCTAAACTGGTCTCCGCTGGAATATATCAAATAAACATGAATTTTAAAATTTTTGGTGGTCTGTCGACTATTAAACCTAAACTGGTCTCCGCTGGAATATATCAAATAAACAGGAATTTTAAAATTTTCAGTGGTCTTTTGACTATTAAACCTAAACTGGTCTCCGCTGGAATATATCAAATAAACAGGAATTTTAAAATTTTCAGTGGTCTTTTGACTATTAAACCTAAACTGGTCTCCGCTGGAATATATCAAATATACAAGAATTTTAAAATTTTCAGTGGTCTGTCGACTATTAAACCTAAACTGGTCTCCGCTGGAATATATCAAATATACAAGAATTTTAAAATTTTCAGTGGTCTTTTGACTATTAAACCTAAACTGGTCTCCGCTGGAATATATCAAATAAACAGGAATTTTAAAATTTTCAGTGGTCTGTCGTCTATTAAACCTAAACTGGTCTCCGCTGGAATATATCAAATATACAAGAATTTTAAAATTTTCAGTGGTCTTTTGACTATTAAACCTAAACTGGTCTCCGCTGGAATATATCAAATAAACAGGAATTTTAAAATTTTCAGTGGTCTGTCGTCTATTAAACCTAAACTGGTCTCCGCTGGAATATATCAAATAAACAGGAATTTTAAAATTTTCAGTGGTCTGTCGACTATTAAACCTAAACTGGTCTCCGCTGGAATATATCAAATAAACAGGAATTTTAAAATTTTCAGTGGTCTTTTGACTATTAAACCTAAACTGGTCTCCGCTGGAATATATCAAATATACAAGAATTTTAAAATTTTCAGTGGTCTTTTGACTATTAAACCTAAACTGGTCTCCGCTGGAATATATCAAATAAACAGGAATTTTAAAATTTTCAGTGGTCTGTCGTCTATTAAACCTAAACTGGTCTCCGCTGGAATATATCAAATATACATGAATTTTAAAATTTTCAGTGGTCTTTTGACTATTAAACCTAAACTGGTCTTCGCTGGAATATATCAAATAAACAGGAATTTTAAAATTTTCAGTGGTCTGTCGTCTATTAAACCTAAACTGGTCTCCGCTGGAATATATCAAATAAACAGGAATTTTAAAATTTTCAGTGGTCTGTCGACTATTAAACCTAAACTGGTCTCCGCTGGAATATATCAAATAAACATGAATTTTAAAATTTTTGGTGGTCTGTCGACTATTAAACCTAAACTGGTCTCCGCTGGAATATATCAAATATACAAGAATTTTAAAATTTTCAGTGGTCTTTTGACTATTAAACCTAAACTGGTCTCCGCTGGAATATATCAAATAAACAGGAATTTTAAAATTTTCAGTGGTCTGTCGTCTATTAAACCTAAACTGGTCTCCGCTGGAATATATCAAATATACATGAATTTTAAAATTTTCAGTGGTCTTTTGACTATTAAACCTAAACTGGTCTTCGCTGGAATATATCAAATAAACAGGAATTTTAAAATTTTCAGTGGTCTGTCGTCTATTAAACCTAAACTGGTCTCCGCTGGAATATATCAAATAAACAGGAATTTTAAAATTTTCAGTGGTCTGTCGACTATTAAACCTAAACTGGTCTCCGCTGGAATATATCAAATAAACATGAATTTTAAAATTTTTGGTGGTCTGTCGACTATTAAACCTAAACTGGTCTCCGCTGGAATATATCAAATAAACAGGAATTTTAAAATTTTCAGTGGTCTGTCGACTATTAAACCTAAACTGGTCTCCGCTGGAGTAGAATTGCTTAAATAAGCCTTATCGGACACTTTTGGTGGCCCTGAAAAGGGCCGTTTTTTTTCAGCGAAGGCTTAAGCGCGCTCTCCGCGGATGCGGCGGGCGAGCTGGATGTCCTTCGGCATGATGGTGACGCGCTTGGCGTGGATGGCGCACAAGTTGGTGTCTTCGAAGAGTCCGACGAGGTAGGCTTCGCTGGCCTCCTGCAGGGCCATCACGGCGGACGATTGGAAGCGCAGGTCGGTCTTGAAGTCTTGGGCGATTTCACGAACAAGACGCTGGAAGGGCAGCTTGCGGATGAGCAGCTCCGTGCTCTTCTGGTAGCGACGGATCTCTCGGAGGGCGACCGTGCCAGGTCTGTAGCGATGGGGTTTCTTGACCCCACCGGTGGCTGGGGCGCTCTTGCGGGCTGCCTTGGTTGCCAGCTGCTTGCGAGGGGCCTTTCCTCCGGTCGACTTGCGGGCGGTTTGCTTCGTACGGGCCATGTTGACTTGTTGAGACGAGTTGAAACATGTTCGTACTTGCAGCGACCGGTGTATATATAGCACTGGAAGCCCCGCCCACCGCTAGATTTTAGCGCGCTCGCTGTTCATTGCTAGGGGCCCCTTTCGCGCCTTTGCTCGCGACCCCTTCTATATAAACTGCGTGTTCCAACAAGTTGGCATCAGTTTCGTTCCGACGCAAACAGGATTCAACATGACTGGACGTGGAAAGGGAGGCAAGGGACTCGGCAAGGGAGGCGCCAAACGTCATCGCAAAGTGCTGCGTGACAACATCCAGGGCATCACCAAGCCCGCCATCCGTCGTCTGGCTCGCCGTGGCGGAGTCAAGCGTATCTCCGGCCTCATCTACGAGGAGACCCGCGGAGTCCTGAAGGTGTTCCTCGAGAACGTCATCCGTGACGCCGTCACCTACACCGAGCACGCCAAGAGGAAGACCGTCACCGCCATGGACGTTGTCTACGCTCTGAAGAGGCAGGGACGCACCCTGTACGGCTTCGGCGGTTAAGCGACCAACAACCGCTTGACGAAAAATCGGCCCTTATCAGGGCCACCCAAAATATTCCAGTAAAGCTAAGCAAGCAATCAGATTATTTAAATTAAAATAAATTAAAAAGAAGCTAACTGATGTATGTGAAAATTTATAATAAGTAAATGAATTTATTTATAATTAATAATGATGATATCATAAATTTATAAACTAGATTCGTTTTGTACTGTACAATAAGCCAGGTACAAGCAAAAGAACATTTTATGACATCACAATTTTATCAAATACTAGCTCAAAAAGCAGAAATAGCAAAATTTTGAAATCAATAATGTATCACGTTTTTTTTTATATATATCACAGTCGGAGACAAATTATTAAAAAGATGTATGTTAAAGAATGCTTGGAATATTAATAAAAAAATCAATGATATCATTAGGAGCTTCAAATTTATATTTTCAAAAATCATCAGCTTCGGACTGCATGAGCACAATGAAATTTACATTTTTGTAAAGAAAATTACATAAACCAAGAGGAGACCTATCAACCAGCAGATCATTAAACATGTTTTTCAATGGTATATAAATTAAAAGTAAATTTTAGTTCTGTTTTCTATTTAGGAGACTTATTAAGATCATCTCATTTTAAGGACCGAATCTGGCATTTTGCTTGATCATTGTTTGGTTTTCATTCGGCAAGATTGGAATTGGTTTTTACAACCATGAGTATCAAAGGTTTTTAATAGCAAAGCGTAGACGATTTTCCTCAAATTTTGCTAAAAAATACTGCAACTGGTAAGCAGCCAATTCGGCGGCCATCTTGGCTTCGCTTTCTCTTTACCAGCTGCGCCGTTTGTTGTGCTGTTGGCAAGCTCGACGCAGGGCATAATATTATCTTCATTGCAACGTGGCCGCCACTGCGGCGGTCGATCGACAAATTAAGCTAAAAAGGAACTACCTTAAGTAACTCGCTCTTTGAGCAATTAGATTTTTTTTACATGTCAAAAGCCGTTGCGGCTCTTATTACATAAATAGAGATGCCCTTTTACTTAATTATTTTTTAAAATTAAATTTAGTGGGTGTAAATGTAAAAGGATTATTATTAATTTTAGTATTTTTTTTTTACTAATTTTGCTACATAGTTTTTGTAAATGCACCAAATTTTATTTTAAATTATAATTAATATAAAATCATTATCATAAAGTATAAATAAACATAATTAAATATTTCAGCTGAATGTATGGAAAGGCCCGGTTCATTAAGTTTGATAGTGATAATAATATGGCAACTTTAAATTTTCTGAATTTAATCTAGATTTATTTTATTTTAAAAATTTTAATATAACCATGTTTTAGAGAAGCATTTTTTTAATTGTGAAAAATGCGAATTTAAAAACTCCACATACCATACCAATTGCATGTTTTTATTTAACCCGCTGTTCAGGTGGTAAATTGAGCTCCAAAATGGTTTTAATAAAAAATTGTAACTTTTAATAATTATGAACCTTTTGGAAATATTAAATTAAAACTTCACAAAAATTTCCTCTCGTTTTATTACATTGAAAATACTCACCTGAAAATTATTCCCCTTTTGTCAAAATACACTTGTTAGGTATTTCTGGACTAGCAAAATTAATCGTAAATCTCTACAATATGATTTTTGGGTGCGGCTACTAAGACTGCAAAAATTGAAGATCACCATAGGTTAGGTATGATTAGACTATTGCTTACTCAATTCAAACTTGAGTGTTTTGGGTGGCCCTGAAAAGGGCCGATTTTATCTGATGTTGGTGGCGAATTTAAGCCTTCTTGTCGGTCTTCTTGGGGAGAAGAACAGCCTGGATGTTGGGCAGGACACCTCCCTGGGCGATGGTGACTCCAGAGAGAAGTTTGTTCAACTCCTCGTCGTTGCGGATGGCCAGCTGCAAGTGACGGGGGATGATGCGAGACTTCTTGTTGTCGCGAGCCGCGTTGCCGGCCAACTCGAGCACTTCAGCGGCGAGGTATTCCATGACGGCAGCGAGGTACACCGGGGCTCCGGCACCGACACGTTCGGCGTAGTTTCCCTTGCGCAGTAGGCGGTGAATACGGCCGACGGGGAATTGAAGTCCAGCACGGCTAGAGCGAGTCTTTGCCTTTCCCTTCACCTTGCCTCCCTTTCCACGTCCAGACATGTTTGAGCTTGTGTGAGTTGGTTTGTATTCTGCAGGAGAATGACACGAAAGTAGCCGAGCTTGTTTATATACCTAGAGAGGGGAGTGCGATGCGAGAGTGGCACTCCGAGCAGTAAGCGGAGCTCCGAACCAATAGGAAGCGGGCTTTTGAATGCTCGTCTCCTATTGGCTCGCTCGTTTCCAGGACATTCTGATATAAATACTCTGGCTTAAACGGGAAACGTCATCAGTTGCAGTTGAACCAACGCTCATCATGCCACCCAAAACCTCCGGAAAGGCAGCCAAGAAGGCAAGAAGTCTGGCAAAGCCCAGAAGAACATCAGCAAGTCTGACAAGAAGGGAAAGAGGAAGCGCAGGAAGGAATCCTACGCAATTTACATCTACAAAGTGCTGAAGCAGGTCCACCCCGACACCGGCGTTTCCAGCAAGGCGATGAGCATCATGAACTCGTTTGTCAACGACATTTTCGAGCGCATCGCTTCCGAGGCAAGCCGCTTGGCGCACTACAACAAGCGCTCCACCATCACCTCCCGGGAGATCCAGACCGCCGTCCGTCTCCTCCTTCCCGGAGAGTTGGCCAAGCACGCCGTGTCTGAGGGAACCAAGGCCGTCACCAAGTACACGAGCTCCAAGTAGAAGAACATCTCTACACATCCCCTTAAATCGGCCCTTATCAGGGCCACCCAAATCATTTCAGTCGGAAGTACTAAAAGCAATGAAACTAAAATAAAAAAATATAAAATTTTACGTGAAAAAAAAATAAAGATTAAAAGATGCTATCATTAAAATGAATGTGAACTAAGAATATTTTTTCTTATTGCTAGGAGATTAACATAATAAAGAAATTATAATTAAAATACTTGCGTATTTGGTCATGGTTAGTTCATTTTTATAAATAAATAAAGTTGGAAATTTTGAAGCAAAGCTCTATGTAAAAAACTTCACAACTTCATTCGAAACAAATTTATAACGTTTTTTATTTAGCTTGTGTGTGTACGTATTTCTCGTATTTCTATTCAGTTCAGTATACTATTGATTTTTGTGAAAGGAAAAAATTATAGTTTCCAAAGTTATGTTGCCCCTACTGCAGATCGCTTGCTCACTTCGTCCCGTTGGCGTTGGCAACAATGTAAAAGAAAAAACTGAAAACAAAAACAACAATCTTTTCAGATGCCGGCGCCTAGGTGAATAATATTATTCTTTAATTTTGAGCCCTTAATTTGACAAATATACAGTTTTCATTAATATAGTCATTTCAATACCATGATTTATAGTTATTCTATTTGCATACTGAATAATGGATTATATCTCTATAAACAATGGTTTAAAGGATGCATTATTATATTTCATTTTTGCTTTTCACATTTTCAACTATTTATTAGTATTATTTATTTATATTTATTACTTTACATTCACTGATGAATTGCATCTCTTAAAAATACTAGATTATTTCCATGAAAAAGCTTTAGGTTCTATTGTATGTTTTATTATTTTTCTGTTAAGGACTCCTTATTGACATAGTCCAATCAAGTCTTTACAACAATGGTTTGCTAAATTCCCAATAATTGCCAAAAATGATTTCTATTGTTGTAAAGACTTGATTTGACTATGTCAATAAGGAGTCCTTAATGTAATAATTAAATTTCAAATGCACAGCATGGACGAAAAAGCCACCGGCATAGACAGTGCGTCCCAGCAGGGCGATGCACAGAAAGAAACAATCACTCCACACAAAATTGCAATTCTCACCCTCGTCAAGACCTTTGGCGAAATGAAACTTGAGGTTTTAAACAAGAGATGCAGTGACGATGACACTTCCCCTTTTCTTTCCCGTAATAAGTTTTTGCCAAAATAATATAATGTCCATTTTAAATGAGAAATATTTTCCTGCAGGACTCGGCTTTGCAATGAGAGAACAGTCAGTGCTGAATCCGAAGTACAGAAGGACATTCTGCATGCTGGTTCTAAAATTGCTTCAAGTAAATTATTTCGCGTGTTTTGTTATTTATTTTTTTAAATCATCCGCAAACATTTTCAGGATCCAGATCTAACTTTGTCCCAGCTGCATTTGTTGCTCTTAAGCAAACAGAACGACATCTTCCGAGAGTTTCTGCCCGAATTTCACAAAAACATGCTCAACGTCATGAGTAAAGGAATCGAAGGACTGATGAGTCTGGTGAAGAGAGTTTCGCAGTTGCTGACAGAACCAAACTCGGTCAACCCGATCATCACCAAGAGCAGCATCCTGGGGCTTTTCATCAGACGGAGCTCAGTTGTTTTTGAACAACTCACCTGCTCGGGAGTTGTGGCAGTTTTCAAAGTTTTCAAGAGGTACTGCGAGGCGTGCCCGGCGTTTCTCAACATGGACTGGATGCAGGCAGCCCCGGATGGTCCTCCGGAAGAAGAACACGACGAGCAAAAGACTGACCTCACCACACTCAAGGAGGAAAAGTAAGTTTTTTATTTCATACGTGAATTTAGAAAAATTTAACCAAATACCGAAACGATTGTTTCCAGTTTTTGCTTCTTTTTCTGGCCCCTTTTGGTGGCAATTTTACAGACTTTACTTCAAAAATATTAAAATTTAAAGAAATCTGAAAAAAATTACTTTCTCATCGAGGAAAATCCCGATTGGTTTGCCAGTTTGTTCAACTGACAAATACTTTCAATCCACTTTATTTCAATAGGGGTGCTTTGTGGACTCGAAGGCAAGCTGATTTGTTTTTGGCGCAGCAGTCTCTTTTGCTACAGAAAAACGACGCATCCATCGACACCAAAAAACTTCACACAAACATCCAGCAACTCCTCCGGGCCAATCCTGATTGTGCCGAAGCTGTAAGAAATTGCAACAATTTAAAAAAAAATATATTTATTTTACATCCTTGTAGTACTTTCTGGCTTTCCTGAATTTCCTGCGAGTGAGAGACTTCCCAGCCGCCCTGCACAGTTTGCACAACTGCTTTGACCGAGGAGGTGGACTTTACTTTGACCCCAACAGCAAACAGCTCTGTGGAAACAGCAATGACGAGAGAGCTCGGAGTTTCCGCTACGGAGCTCTCAATTTGGCCACACTTTACGCTACTTTTGGTCACAAGTACAAACAAGAAATAAATCTAGCTCTGAAAATTTTTCAAAATAATCATCTTTTTATAGAGAAGAGGCGTTATTTGCTTTGAAAGAGTGTGTCATGCTCGCCCGAAGTGCGCACTGCAATTTTTGTCTCCAACATGCACTGAGCTGGTTTTGCAAATTGAGTGATCAGCCTGGAAAGGTTTGTTTCTGATTTAACTTATTTTTATTTTTTATTAATCATTTATCATCAGGAAAAGTTGATGGAATGTTCAATTGCCAGGAGCAGTGAATTTAATCTTGGCTACTTGACTTCGCTTGCCATCCAGTCCTTGTCGCAACATGTTTCCAACCAGAACATGTCTCCAGAGAAAATTTTTGAGGTAGATTTACACATTGAATTTTTTTTATAATAATAATTGTTTTGTGTGGAAAGCTGTTGTCCCAGAGTGACATCCTCAACTGTCAGCACTCTTTGCAAGATTTGGTGGGAAACGCATTTGCTCAAAAGGCCAGTTTGTGGATCATGTACGGCCGGCCTGCCATGGCTAGTTTATACTCCCAACTTTTGCTCCATTCCGAGGCGCAGGACTTGAATCCGGAAGCAACTTGCGCCGCTGTTTGTCACCTAGCAATGCAGTTTATGGCATTTGTAAGCAATTTTGTTTTGCCAAAATAAAGTGGCTTGAAAATTGTAATGATTTTAGGGCGACCAACTGACGAGTGCAGTTTTGCTTTCGTATGCTAGAGAGAAATTTCCTCAACTCGACATTCAGCCCGTGTGGATGAGGTGCGAGCAAATTTTGGGATTCATCAACTTCATCAATCAGGGTTCATGGCAGCACGCTAAAGTTGCGGCAGAGCAACTCAGTGCCACCGACAAGTGGGAAAGCGCCATTAGGTAATTTATCTCTAATTGGGTATTAAATTATTTAAAAATAAAAAATAAATTAAATGCACTTAAATGAGAAATGAAATGAAGAAAAAAACTAAATAAAAAAGTAAATTAGTTCTTTTTTAAATTCTCTTTGCATAAATTTTCTATTAAATAGCTTATTTTTATCTTTACTGGATTTTTCTTTTGTATTGATATATTTTGTATCTTCCTTTAGGATTGCTGAGCTTCAATTTGCCCAAGGTGATCGAGAAAAGTCCCTTCAGGGATTGAATTCCATGGCGAAAAAGAGCGTCACCGACAAAACGATGCCCCTCATCGTCAAAATTTGCAGCATGTCATTAGCCTCAAAGTTGCTGGAAGTTTCACCTTTCTCGTACAGCAGTCACTTAGTAAAGGCGCTCGGAATGGCTGCAAATCACAACCTAGCTCCTTTGAGATATAAAATTATTCTTCAAATAGCTGAGCATCAGGTATTCTGGCTGAAGGTTGGATTATGTAATTTATTAACAATTATTTTCAGTTGCAAATGGGCCTGGTCAGTCAAGCGCTGCAGCTGATCAATTCTGTGATGACGATGGTACTGACCCACTGCCCTCTTCATGATCAAGGGTCGTTTTTGTTCTTCAAAGCCAAATGTAGGATATATGAAGGGAACTGCAGAATTCCTAGTAAAGATTCGACTGACCATTTTAGCATTTTGGGTAAATTGAAAAAAAAAAATGAAAAATGAAATAAAAATTAATGTACTTTTCTGATTTAGAAATTCTTGGCCAGGCCAGGCAATGTTTTGAAAAAGTGCAAGCTGTTGCTAAAGTAAAAGAAGTCCTGCTGTGCATGGTAAGTCAATTTCGAGACATTCCGCACCACTCAAAATTTAATTAAAAACCTTCAGTTGTTGCTCTACCATTTGCATAATCTGGAGGCAGAGAAGTTCAAAGTTGCCTTGGAGTTGAGGGTGTTTGAAGAGCAGCTGGCATCTCGCAAAACGTCCCACGTCTAAATGTCTTCAAGTGTGAGTCGTCTTTTTTTATTTTAAAGGAATAAAGCAATTTTGTTTTATAAGGAAAACAAGCTTGGGCAATTTTTATTGCATTCAATTTATTTTTAACGCAATTGTACAACATGAATATGGCAGGTTTGCAGATGTACTAATAATAAAATTGCATGATTATTATAAAGGTTTACGTTAGTTCGAAAAAGTTCTTTTTATCCTGCCTAATTTAGGAAAAGTAGTCGTTTTAGTATATGCCAGCAATTTAAATATTGAGTCTTGATTTGCATATTTATATTTAACGTTACTAAGAACCTGTCCGATGTTGCAACAATTTCCTCCAAATTAGCACAGACTTGAGCGGTCAGACGCGTGACCGTGAAACAATGGCGCAAGAAAGAGGGCCGCCTCTTGAAAAAGTGAGTGAGTTCATCTCTGAATAAACACTTGATGCGAATATGCGGAGGAGGCGCCTCTTCCGTGTCACTCTCCTTTAAATGTGCTTTTGAGAGACTAGTTGAATGTTTAATGTTATTGTTCGCACCTGTTAAAAGTCAATTGAATAGAGAGAAAGACAAACTAGGAGTAAAATATACTTAAACATATAAAAAGAAATAATATATACGCTGAATAAGTCCTTCTCTCACAATAGGAGATGGAATATTAACTATGTATTTTGCTATTAATTGCTTTGGGATTGCTAAATTTTTCTCATTTGTTGAAAACATCTCAATCCAAAATCACGATTCAGATATCACTAACTGTTATAGAACGTTTTGTCACAACCCCGTGACTTTTCATCACTATTTAAATTCAATATATATGGCAATTCATTATTTTCTGTTAAAAATTATTAAGTTGATTGACTCCTCTTAATTTTTTCATTTCATGTTAATTTTTAAAACTCTTTGTTTGTTTATGTTTGCACCAGTTAAAATATCGGGGAAATTCTTGATGATCTGCTCCGCAGATCAATAAGATTTGCACGGAATATTTACTCTATATAAAATATGATAGCGCCGTTTTTAACCTAGAGCCCGTTTACGTTCGTCCTAGACTTGTATTTTGGGGTTCGACCCCTCTCCAAACTGCTTCCGCTGCCACCGAGCGATTCGATGGAGGCGGTCATCCTGTTGCTGGGGCCTCTGGGGGGCTTTGTGTGGTACCTTTCAGAGCCCTCGTTTTGATAGTAGATTTCAGGGTTACCCTGATACCTAAAACGAAAAATGATAGAGAAATTAAATTACTTTTACTTTCAACTATCTTTCATATAAACGCAATTTTGAATAATTTATTTAACTTTCAATTTAGATTATTTTGAAATAATCTCTTGCGGTTAGCCAAATATTAAGAAACTAAGTGAATAAAAAAATGCATAATATCTTATCTACTCATGGCAATTATCATACAATTTTCACCATTTAAATGCACTATAATCCGTTCTGGAAAATAAAACACTATGAAATTTCTGGAAAGCTTAAAAATAAATTGCGATTGAATGATTGTTCTTAATTATTAGAATTAAATTGACAGAAATGCATAATTTTTCGCCACCTGAAGCAGTTTGACGACAAAATGAATTTAGGAGCAATAACGATGACTTGAAAACTTCTGTTAAGCTAAATTAATTATATTTTATTATTTTCGTTAATTTTAATTAGTATTGTTTAATTTTTAGTTATTTAATAACTATTTTTTAAGATCTTGAAATTTGTTAATGCATTTTATAATTTTCAATCCACATCTTTTTTTTCAATTTATAAAAATCTGCAAATGTAAATTACCTGCTAGGTCTCCATGGCGCCAGCACGGAGAAGGAGCGGCTGAGGTGCTTAGTGGGCTTGTGGGCGGCCAACTCCTCCCTGCTGACGGTGCGCCTGGGGCCGAAGCGGCCCGGGATGTCGCCGACGGCCGCGTTGTGTAAGTACATGGGCTTGGGGTCGTTCTCGCTCTCCTCGGAACTGTTGGCCAGTCGGTTCTGGCGCTGCTGGACGCCCCGACGGGCGCCGCTCGGGCCGCCGCTGCTCGAGCCTGACGAGGGCTTCTGGTGGCGCGGCTTGAAGTGGCGCCGCTCCAGGGTGGCCGGTTCGGGCGCCGACTCGGGGTCCGTGTCGTCGAAGGGGCGGCGGAAGCGCCGGGGTGGCGCCTCGTGGTGGTGCAGGTTGTCGACCTTGCCGTTGCTGCTGGAGGAGGAGGACTGGTGTTGCTGCTGCGGGGCTGGCTGCGGCTTCTTGGTGCGGAAGGTGAAGCGGTCCACCGTCTTGAACCAGCTCAGTTTGGGCGCGTCCAGCACGGACGATCCGCTCCTGGAGGCCGAGCGCCGCGACGAGGGCGCCGGGGGCGGCGCGTGGGTGGTGTGCATGCTGCTGCTCCGCTTCACTGGCCGCCGCTGGCCCGATGACCGCGACTGCTGGGGCAACGGCTTCAGCTCGTCACACGACGCCTGGGAAAAAAGACATCGAAACTTGTTTGAGAATACAAAATCAAAGTAGCGGCGAAATTATTGGTGGGGTCGTAATTGGGACGTGTAATGGAATTAAAAAAAAAAAAAAAAATAGGGAATTTTTACTGCTAGGAATTCTTTGTATGGAAAGAAAAAAATCATAATTGCGCAAGTCAGATAATTAAGCACTAAACAGTATTTTTTTGATAATTTTATCTTCAAGTTACTTATGAAGTTAATATTTTTGCACTAGAAGTAACAAAAATGGTTTTGAAATATTTATTTCAAGGATGGACAAAATCGCAATCGCATCATATTTTGGAAAGATGATAGCAATCGCAAAAGGTAGTCGATCGCAGGCTATCATTTGCGATCTTTTTGCGATCACAGAAAGCAGTTTTAATGCTTAATCTGGGAGAATTTAATACTAAAACTGGAAGAAAATTTGAGATCTCGTCCATCCTTTTTTATTTGCATTTTTTTTTATTTAAATTTTAATTTTAATTCATAAAAAATAAACTAATAATGATTTAAAATTTATTTCAATAATTATTGAAGACAATTTAGATTGATTTAAGTCTTTGTGTAATTTTTTCTATAATTTATTTTAATAAAAATCAATGAACCATATTTTTACAACATTTTGTTACAATTAGCTCTGATTTAAAGTTTTGGGAGGAATATTAATTAATGTGCTGTTAAAATAAACTTTTTAACAAATTACAATTGTGTTATCAAATTTTGGACCGTTTCCAAGTAAGCACAGCGGAAATTCGAAATTCGCTTTTTCCCTAAAGTACTATTGAGTGCCGTTACTTTTTTGCCTGCATAAATTCTGTAAATCATGAGAGCTGTCTCTCATTTTCACTCGTTGCATAAATTTACCAGCTCTTTTTAGTGACACAGGTGCTCCAAATGCAAATGCTTAAAGTGAACAATAAACACTATTTAAATTCAGGGCAGCCGAATGTAACTAGACGAATGCGCTCAATTCATTCACCGGTTCATTATACGCCCTTCATTATTTTATTTTACTTCACTCGCACGATTTCGTCATTAAATAATAACGCCGTGTGTGTTTCTATGTATGTATACGTGATCGTGTCTTGTTTTCTCGGTAAACACCAAACCTGGAAACCTGAATTCGCTCTTAAATTGAAAAGTAGCAGTTCCATTCAAGTGAAATTGTTGATCAAGGAAAAGTAACTCGAGATTTCTACTTTGATTATTTGGCTCGACAGAAAATGCATATTAAAATTTTCTCCACCTTTTTTCTTTCTCGATGAAATCAGAAGACACAAACGGCGGCAGCTCTTTCCAATATAACACACATAATTAATTTTCTCTCTTGCCTGTCCCTCCAATTACTCGTCTTCATTCACATTGAAATTTATCATCAACGGCCTCTGTTATAATCATTTTATAAAAAGCTGTCCAGCAGCAGCGTATTCTAATTTAATTTTCTCCGCACGCACAGACGAGAGAACTTCTTACTTAGATTTATGGTAATTAAGTATAGTAGAAAGAGAGATTAAAGAGCTTGGGGCCAAATTTATTCAAGCGGAGCTTATATTAATGTATATTTTTCCCGTGAAACATTCGTGCAACTAATTAAAGTGTATACGAAGCCTTATAGATAGATTATTGATTGCCATCAAGGAATATATCGGCAAGACGGAGGCGGCGACTTTTGCGTGGGCGATAAATAAAGGCTGAGAGATCATGTGAGGAAAGAGAGATGCATGCATGAAAAAAGTATGTGTGCTAAAATAAAACGCGCCGCGACCGGGTTCGCCGCGCATGTTGCGGGAAGTGTTACTTTTCGCACGTCTCGACAACCGATATCTCAACTCTTAATATAACACTCGGCTATTACAAATCATGGCACTCTAAAAACACACGACGAGGGCAAAGACCTTCACACGATTTGGAAAGTCGGCTAAACACAAAATCATGTAATAAAAAATAAATCAGTGAATTAACACGCAAAATTGTTTTTTTCTTATATAGCGGCTGAATTTTTAAGCCAATAAGTTTATTATTAAATTTAAAAAAAAACATTGCAGCGGAAATTCTAATTAATATTAATATTTTAAACTTAAGCATATATCATCAGGTGAAACAGGTAAAGGTTTCTTTCTTACATTGAGCTCAAATTTTAAGTAAAAAAGATTCAATTAAAAGACTTTTAAGCGTATAATTGTTTCCACATTATATGAAAGAAATAAAATGAAATTTTAACAATATTTTTGTTCTGAAATTCGCTAAAATTATGACGACACCGGTTTTTCTTTAATGACTGGGCAATTTTTTTAAATAAATTTTCATCATTTTTTTTTCATAGATAGAGATCAGTTTTCAAGTAATTTAGAAAAAAAATGACTTCATAATAGCAGACATAGTTAATCAACTATTATTGTATTATTTAAAGAATAATATTTAAAAAGTTATTCTTGTTGCTTCTTGTTGTCACGACTTTTGAGTTTTTTAAATGATTAAAACTGTTTGGCTTTGCAAATTTTCAAAATATATGAAGAATGTATAAGTAAAGCGAAACCAAATAAGGTTTAATCATTTATTTACTGTATATTTTAATCAAAATAATGTTTTTTTTTTTTTTTATATTTTGCTGGTTTGATTATAATCTCAATTTGTTGCGGCAAGAAATAATTATGGTGATACAAAAAACTAAAAATTCAATGAATCCTTCTTACTGGAAATTATCTTCTCTGAAAAGAATTAATTACTATGCCCTCTAACATTATTATTTGATCTTGCGTGATTATGCGGAACTAGAGATTTTTGAAGTACACTTATTGTCACTCATTACCATAACTTTTCAACCGTGTCGTTATCATTGATTTTTATCGTTCTCGCCGTTAACACCTCTTGTTAATTTCATTCAGAGCCTTTTTTAATGAGCGTGTACAATAAAACCTGCATCTTTACAGCACTCATCTTGTAAATATCGGTACAATTTTATCCCCTAGACTCTCTCATTAGCACACGCGCGTGAGCGATAAAAGAGCGGGGGCGAGTAAATGCATATAAATAAAAAGAGGTAACTGCACTAATAATCGCGCATCCCCCGCATCTTCCAATGAAATAAGACATGTAAATAAATATAAGAATGCAAACAAATAAATTATCGACAACACCGCACCTCTCTTGAATGAAATGCGATTTCAATTTATAAAACGCACGACGTCATCAGTCATCTGCGTGGCTTTGAAGCGACCGCTCTTTTTCTTCGGAATCGACCTCGTCATCTTTACGCAGAAGATGTACAACTCTTTGTAAGCTACTTAAACATGCAAAACGTATATTATAATCGAAATGCTCTGCGTAAGCCCACGTACGTGCATGTGTAAAGATATAATAAGAGAGCTAACGGATGCACACATATTTTCCTCTCGGCGCAGGGATGGAGTGATGCATCTCGCCGTTGAGCGAAATTTGCATCGTAAATAAGGAAACGACAGAAAAGTTCATTTAAAGCAAGCACTCGCGCTGAAAGAAAAGGCATACAATGCCGTTTGTGCATGAAAAGGAATAAAATAATATACAGTTGCGCGCCGTGAACTGTTCAAATGAATGGAGAAAATAATACATACTTCTTATGTGTGTTTATATGCAGAGGCGATAAAATGAGCCGGGGCAGATTCTCTTTCTCGGCAGACGGAATGAGGCTTCGTTATTCCGATTCACATGCACGGCCTTTGTCTTGTCAGATTTTCAATCTGGCTTTCGCGTTTTGTTCGATTTCTGATTTGCATTTTGATTTTTATACGGGTTAAAGTGAATATGCATCATTCATGAGAAATTTTATGTTTATGTGAAGGCTCAGATTACGATTTCGCCTTTAATGCGCTTGAGTTGAAAGAGAAATTTGGCATAATTTGGCATTAAATTTGAGCCAGCATTTAACTTTTTTTAGAATAATATTGTCATAAAAATACTATTGAATGCTTTTTTTAATGCACAATTTGTTTAACTTACAACTAAGATTTCAAAAAGATCAAACAGAACCGATGAGCAGGATAAGAATAAAAAAAACTGCATATTATATAAGTGGATATCTGACCTCATCTAAATAAATAAAAGATTAAACCGGATCAGATTGTAAATATTTATCTCTCAAAACAAATCTTTACCAGAGTTTATTCTTATCTGTTAAATTAAAATATTATTTGAGTTTTTTTAAATCCCCCGCCAAGTTGAGATTGATGAGATCACTTGCGGAACAATGCAAACTCCTTTCTTCCTTGACTTACTTGTTTTTATAGATTGACAACAGCTTTCTTTTTTTACCAGATTTCTTTGATGCAGAAAAAGAAATTTAAATCTTACTTAAAGTAAATTTGTATCGTATTTTCATAATTATACATGGTTCATATATTTAGTTTTGAAGAATTTCTGTTGATTCTTGATGTTTTAAGCTTTTCCTCAATATGGGTTTTTTAGCCTAATTTTTCATAGAAAAAGAATATCCTGCTCTAGATGTTTTTTCTTCTTCTATGAAGCTATAAACGGCTCAAAAAAACCCAACGAGAAAAAGCCGACAATAATTACGAGGAAACGCCGACTTTCAACTCAAATCACCAGAAATTATGCTTTACGTTTGTCGTCAAAAACCCAGAGCATAATTTATTGAAAATTTAATAAATAAATGAATGAAATTGGAATTCGTCAGATTAAAATTCATTTTTTTGATTTTTTGAAGGCTTTGAAATTTACAAATTTTTCAGTCTATACCAGCGACCATTGAAATTATTATGTAACAGAAATAGAAAACATCCCGTTCGTGATCTTCTCTTGTTTCGCACTGGGATGCAGATTTCGCAGCTATGATATCCTTTTAAATAATTGTTTTAGTCGCTATACACCTGAGGGCTGCTCGTGGGAGACTCGTGCGGCATAAATAGTTAAAAAATTGTTGCCCACGAGAGAGACGAAGGAAACCGAGTGTGAAATTCCACGTCTCTCTCACGAAAGCGTTCAGTTTCGGTTCTCCATTTCGTCTAATTTGCATAGTTTGTTAAAATAATACCCGCGCCGCGAATCTGTGAAGCGAAGATTAAACGGAGATGCGTGTGCACTTGCGGAACTTTAAAGAAAGATGCTCTCGCTCGCGAATGAGCAATAACTTTATGGCTGCTCCAGGATGTTTCTTTGTTTGCGCATACATAATAAAGCGAGCGAGCGGCTGAACTTAAGGCAAAAAAATAACGCACGAGAGTGTGTGTGCGAGCAAATTCTGCACGCTTGTCTTCTCTGCATCTCCCCGTTTCTTGAAATGTGTTCCTTTTGCACAAGGGAACCCTTCATTGATCAGAAAAAATTGGACACAGAAATTTATTTCATAATGTTTTCCGTAAATTATATAATATGAAAAATAAATTATACAAGAATTGAATTGTTGTGCAAGAACATTTAATAATTGGAAATTCATTTTCCAAAGACATTTGCAAATTGTGGAAAAACTTGATTATTTGGATGGAAAAAATTACTAACTAAAATCTACTCCTCCAACAATTTTTAGCTTTTAACTCACCAAATTTTGTTATATTTATTAATATTCAAATAAAAATAAATAGAAACAATATAGAAATAAGCTGTGTTTTTTTTTTTACAAAACTGACAATCTTATCTTATCATTATTTGTTTTACAACTTTTCCTTCAACCATCTTTACATTTAATTTTTTTTCTTTTTATTGAAATTAAGCAATTCCTAATCTGCAGCTAATTCTATTTATAGTTTTCCTTTGAAAATCAAGCATAAATTTCAAATCTAACAACAGTTCCCATTTGGCCAAATCAACCTTTCAAAACTAATAGGATTACAGAATCTGGTAAGAATTTAAATTTTTTTTTATTTCAGGTTGACGAACTAATTTACGTTTTATATTCTAGTATTTTTCATACTGAATATATCAATACAGGAATGGGAGAAAAATATTGAAATAAAGAATTTCTCTGCAAAATGAATTTCTGCTCAACGACGGCGACCTGTTATATTATTCCAAGGCACAAAGTAGCCGAGTGAGGTGAGGCCAAAGTGCTTCGTAATTGGGAGTCATTAGCATTAGCGACGGATTGTGAGCCGAAAAAAAATTTAGCACACGAACCGTTTTGTATGAGAATTAAAACGTGTGGGCTGCGCTCAATTATATATTCAGAGAGAGGTGCATCACGATTTGCAGGATTTTGTCCGAGCTTCATTTTCATTTATTAGCATTAATTTTTTTTTTAGCATATTTTCAAACCGAGTTGAGTTTCGCAATTTTTTTTTATATTTCCGCGAGCTTTTAAACAAGACCCATTAATTTACACACACGCATCATGCACTCTCGTGAAAGTTTTAAACATCACTTTCTGATCAGCAGACATTATCTCCTGTGTGGGTGCCCTGGTATGTAAATTTTCACCGTTCGGCTGTTTGAAGGAAGCAATAATCTGGTTTGAATTATGCGTGTTGGTTGCGCCAACGCCACCAATTTTCGCTTTCTATCAACTCTCGAATTTCTATGCTAATTTGATAATTGCATGTTGGAGGAATACAAAGAAAGAAGCTAATAGAGAGAATTGATAAATCTTACCTGGTCAGTGTCCGAGGGGTCGTGGGCGGATTTGGTACGGATCACGGGCCGCTTCAGAGTGGAGCTTTTGACTTCCTTGGGCTCCTCGTTATTTTTGTTCTTGTCGCGGATGAAAAAGTTCTTCAGCCTTAGTTTTCGCTTCTTCTTGTCCTTTTCTAAAGTTTTTGTTCTGTTCAGGCAGTAAAAAGAATTTATCTCGGATTAATATTAAGAAATAAATTTAGAATATTGTAGCTGGAATTTCTTTGTTTCATATAATTACTGACAATGAGATACTTTTGTTTTAGGACTCATTAATTTTCTGCACAAATTAAGTTATGCTAACTTGCACGCAGGTAATGAAGCAGACTAAAAAAAAATAATTAAATTACGTATTCTAGGCTAATAGAATGGGATGTTTTTATTTTTGAATTTAAAACAATATAATTCATAAAATTTGGCCAAATATAAAGTTTGTTAAGTAAATTAAAATAAAAAAAAAATCATTTCTTGATTAAAAAATTTAATTTTGAGAAAGTTCAAATAGCATCAAAAGATTTATATTTTAAACCTTTATAATTTGTATTCGCTTGCAGAATGTCTAATCTAATTAATTTACCGAAATTATATCATGCTTTCTCCTGAAAATGTTAACTTTCAATTTATCTCATCCCCAAAAGAGATTAAAAATATATTCTTATTAAAAGTTATCTTGAACAATCAAACTATTAGTAACGAGGCTACAACAATCCACTAGCTCAAGTGACTATTCATTGGATCCAAAAAAACAAATTAACATTAGAGATTAAACATTTGTCCTTTTCATTTTTGACCAATAATATTGTTGTAATAAATTTAAATTTTCCATTTTAAAATCCAATTATAATGGTGGAGCACGTACTCAAATAATATAAAAAACACAATAAGCATAAGAATATTATTTTTTGATTTTAAATTTTGAATATGGATTCTATTCACTTAAACGATTGTTTCTAAATACTCAAAAAATTAACTCAATGCTATTTGCTCCTAAAAAACTACTATGAAAATAAATTTAAATTCATTATATACAATTCTACTGCTTAGCAACAGTATCTAAATTTAATATTCTATTTTCTTTAAAGTAAAACGTAACAAATGAAATTTAAGAAGTTTGCACTACACATAGAATTATTTTAAAATTAATTTAAAAATATTTTTTTAAATTTATTCATTTATTAATAAAAAACAAATAAAATAAAACTTAAAATTAAATATAAAAATATGATATTATGATGTTAAGATAAAAATTAACATTAAAACATTTACCTGTTATTATCCTGATCATTGACTTGCGTGTCCTCGTCCAGAATGCTGAGCGATCGCCGTCTCGGACTGCTGCTCTTGGACGCCTGTTGCACCAGTCGGGCCGACGGCATGGCCGGACTTTCCCTACCCGTTTCGCGCCTCAACGTGCTCACCCTGGACGGCGTCCTCTCCGACACCCTCGACGACGTTCGTTCCGACCGCTCGGAAGTCCGGGTGCGGTGCTTGGGGTGGTCATTTTCTATTCCCGAGTCAACCACGTCGCGGCTGTTGTGGTCGGACGCGTAGCGCTGGTGCGACGACAAATTAACCCTTTGGCCGAATTCGTACTTTTTGCGCGGCGGGTCGTCGTCGTAGCGTTTCTTCGGCGTCAAATCTTCTTCGTAGCGTTTTTTCGGCGTCAGATCTTCGTCGAGTTTTTTCTTTGGATAATCGTCGTCGTAGCGTTTCTTTGGAAATTCGTCCTCGTAGCTGTTGCGAATCGGCAGGTCGTTCTCGTAGCGGGTTTTCGGATAGTCGTCTTCGTTGAATAACACTTGTCTGCAACAAAAAAAAATTGGGAATTCGGAATATTAGACGAATGATACAATTTTTTTTGCTTAATTTTTATTCTAAGTAAGTAAGTAAGAGAGATTCTTCGGGCGGCTTTGAGAATCCTCTATAATTACAACGCCTTTAATGAAGTCAAGAGATTTGGCCTGACAGTTTAATTTAATGGTAGAGGATTCTTTCCATCTGCGGACAGTAGAGAGATAATTGTTTGAGAATTTTCTGCTTCCCTTCGTGCATTATACAAAAAATTAATTGTTTAGACCTTCTGGACCTGCCACCGAGAAGAGTCATGAGAATGCACAACGACGGCAGCTGAAGGCCGCGTGTGCGCTCCTCTGATTATAAATTTTCGTGTATTTCGTGTCTGGCCGAGTTTTGCGAAAACGTCCATAATGAGGCGTGACTTCCAATTATGAATTCTTAATTTGAAAATATTCAATTTGAGAGAGGCTGCGCGCATTAATAGAGGAGAATTAATAATTTTATAATTTTACGAGCTTTTCTCTTCTCCACTCATCAAATTTAATGGACACGACTTAATTTTGCTGCGCGTTGTTTGTGAGCAATTTACGGCTTTTCTCTGGAAACACAAATAGTCATCTCGCGGGATGAGAGCAAAAAATATGTCAAATTTCTTCTTTTTGCTTATTTCAGCACTGCTTCCTGCTTTTGTAATTAATTGATAAGGAGCAAAGTGTATCACCGCTTCTTTCTCAACTTGGTCGAAACAGGTAGTTTAATTAACTGTACACGCTCGCTTTTTCCACTTGGCCAGCCCATTTGCTGCGTCGTGACGTTCGTCTTGTGCATTTTTCTCAGCAAAAATGGAAAATGCAACCAAGACGTCTGCTCGGAATATCAATGATATTTTGTCGGAGAGTAATTAGCCTGCTGCGAGGCTAATTAGAATGCAAATCGCCGCGTTTATCCTCTTTGGTGCGCGCGAGACGTAATTAATTTTCCCTTGTGCGCTGGCAGTGTTGACATTATCTCCTTTGTCTGTTTGATTTGAATGTTAATTAATCGCGGCTTTGTAGCGTTCGTCGTCTCGCGGCCTATTTTCACAAAACAATTCAGCTCCAATGAATTGAAAATGATCCGTTCATGCGAACGCATGCATAACTGACTGACATCTCACACCCTCAGGGTTCGGATGGACTAATTTTAGAAATAAAAATATTTCTGCAGGAGGGTAGGTTTTCTTCGCTAGATTATGTCGTTCAAAAACGTGGAAAATTTTAGTTGAACATAAAATAATTTTAATTTTTTATAAATTAAAGAGGCAAAATTTAAAGAAAAAATTATTAATTAAATTACAAAAAGTGGGTTGGGGAAACGCGTGCAATTTAATGATGGAAATGCATTTAAAGAGGTAAAGCAAGCATAATTTATCATATATTATACCAATATAAATAAAAAGTACAAAGCCAATAATTGGAGAAATAAGTTTTTTACAAGACAAATTCTGCTTCAAATATACCTGAACATAAAAAAAAAAACATATAATAAAAACTTATTTGGAATTATTTCTGACGGTAGGAACCTATTCAAAGGGTTACATTGTAATTTATAAACTCCAGTATTATTTCCTAAATTTTTAAATAAAATTTTAATAAAATAAATTGCACATAATTAGCATTTTTGACGATAATAACAAAAAATTGTTTTAGTTATTTATAAATTAATAAACACAACTAATTCAACAGCATCTATCATAACTTTATAATAAATATATTATTAAAAAATAAATTAATTCAGTTTATTGGGAATTATAACTCACGGATCTAGGTTGATTTCTATATTCCTCAACATATATAATTATTGAAATAAAAACCTACTAATTGCTTTTTATGACAAGCATAAACCTAAAACCCCATAAGGCGATAATTCTAAAGCAATATAATTATTGTAAATAATTTCTCACTGATTTTTCATAACATAAATGTATGATTCACGTTTCAAAGCCGCTGCGATTTGCATTAGAAGACGGTTGATGAACCTATACCGGTGGCGCACAAGTGTGAAAAGTTATTTTGCTCTTTTTTATCCCTACATATTCAGTGTGTAGAGTGAGTAACTTGATGTGTTGCGTTCAAGGGCAAGAAAGTAGCTGCAGCAGCGAGGAATCATTAACATCTAAGTTCAGCAGTCAGGCAGTGACTTGAAAATCACTTTGAAATTCAATCAGGGAAATCTCAACCAGTTTCGCGTCAGTCTCGTGACTGGCCGAGGCCAGAGGTGTCGTTTAATCGCGCAAATATATAAAGCAGCAGCCAAAGAAATTTATAAAATATAAATTAAAACATAATTGAGCAAATATATCTAATAACACGGTTTGGCAGCTGGCCAGCCAAATGATAGAGAAAATTCCTGCGACACCCACTTGCACATTATAAAATAGGCATGCAACAAAAGGGCCTTCACTCTCGAGAGCGCGGCACAATCGAAATCACTTAATCACTATCGCCGCACAACACGCTCCATTTGTGGCTACAAATGGTTTGAGAGTAAAGTTGTTGTCCCTACGCGCCAAACCCAAAATAACCCATTCACGGGGATATTATTTGCTCATTCGGAGCGAGATGATTACAGGCTCTTTTCGATTGTAGGCTTCTCTAAATTCTAGCCAATTTCGCGTTTGACGTGTCGGAAAATGAATGAGAAACATCTCCCCATTTATTCACAAGTTTTCCTGTTGTAAGCAAAAAATGCTTATTTCACACTGACGAATTCACAGAAAATAAATTTGTGGACTCGCGTAATTAGATGTATTTTTTGTAATAATAATATTATAATACATTTGCAAAAGCAGTTATTCTTCATTAATCTTAAGAGTTAATTTTTTTTCACTCATATTAAGGTGAAAAAAACTTTGAAAATGTGCTTATTACCATCAGAAAAATTGTATATCATAAATTTTTTTTAAAAATATGCCTAATTTTTGGAAAGTAAAACGAGTCTGTGCAGGTAATTTTTAACAACTCAATTTACTCAACATGTTCTTTCAATCAGGAGTCGATTTATAAATTTAATTGAATTAATTTTCATTGCCGGAGGATATTATGTGATGTGAATTTTGCGAAATTCTGATGTAATTTGATAATTAATTTGAATCAAAATTACTAAACTGTGAGCCAAATTTTGTTATGATCGCTGTTAACAATTTAAATTATCAAACACAATTATTACCAGTCTTCAATCTTATTAAGTTTTCATTAAAAATTTAAAAATATTTTTGTTAAAATTTATATTTTTCATTCATAAAAATCCTAAAAATTGTCCTATTTTCGAGCATTAATGTTCATTTTCCTCAGAATTTAGTTATTTTAAAATTAATTGTTTCATTTAAAAAGAAAGAACCAAACTTTTCTCCTGATTGAAAATTTTCTTACTCGTGAAAAAACATTATATGGATCAAAAAGAATAAGCCTGGTTCTTTATTTGATCATAAATGCGCACTTTTAAAAAAGCCCACAAAAATTTAAAATGAAAATTCTCAATTCTAGCAATTTATTATACAGTTCAGCTAGCCAATAGTTTTTGAGTAAACGTCGCATTTCTTTGCTTTATGATCATCTCTTTAAATTTAGAAAAACAAACACATTTCTCAGACCCTTTAATTAAAAGTGATAATAATTTTAAAGCAGGAACTTGTCACTTTTACGAGCCCTTTATTCTCTCAAGTCACTGCTGAATCAATAGAAACTAAAACGCCCATCGTGAAATTCCGCGTCAGGTCCACAACACGGCGCTCTTTTTTCCTTTCGCATTGTCTGCGCCGCGAGGTAAATAATAAATTTATTTATTTGCAGACGCCCATTCCACTCACTCACCTGTACTTGTTGCTGAAGGACACCTGTCTCGGCTTGTAGGCGGCGTCGATCTCGAGACCCTCGTCCTCGTCGGACGCGTTGACCAGGTGCTCGGTGACCTGCGGACTCAGGTACGAGAAGGGCCGGTTGTTGTTGTGGTTGAACTGCTTGCTCGGCGTCACCATCACTTGCGGACTGACGCGCGTGTGGTTCTGCAACTGGCGCGCCAGGTGGTTGACGCTGACGCTGCGTCGCGGCGGCGGCGCCGCCTCCAGCGGCTCCGGCGTCCGCCGGAGGCTGTCGGGGGTGGCCGAAACCGAAACCCCGCCGCCGCCGTTCATCGTCTTGTACCTGTTCTGCAGCATCTCTCAAGGCCGCGCCGCAGGTGTCGGGGTCACCTCTGATTGCCTGCTTTGATCTACTCGCTGTTGCTGCTGGTCATTTCACCGCAGCTGAAACACAAAATCGGTGCCGGGGGTTAGTTTTTGGCGGTAAAAGATTCGTTCGACTTCCGTCGGCACCGGCCGCTGGTAAAAAACGCGGTGCTTATCTATTTCCGACGGAAAAGTGCGAGTTATTTGTTTTAAAGGGTGTTTTTAAAGAAGTCTCGCGTATTGTGCAACAAGGTTGCGACAAGGCTCTCTGTGCCTTATGTGTTGGTTTGCTCAACATACAGTCATGAGAATTTTTACATTGACAGATGCTGCACCAATTCAGCCGAGAAAATGCACTCATTTTTTAACTATTACGATGAATTTTTGAAAGATAAATTGGAAAAAAAATTAAATTTGACTATTATTAGGTGTGAAATTATATGATTTCATTATTTATTTTTTGTAGAAAGTGAGTACTGGAAAAAAAATTATTGCTAAACTATTTGCACATTTGGCTCGCAAAATTCACTTAATTAATTTTCACAATTTTTGCTACAATTTTTCTAATTATGGAAAGTAAGTTTTAAAATATACTAATAAATCTTACAAGTAAAATGTTTTTTTTATAACATAAAAATTAAAAAAAAATAAAATGTTTAAATGTAAAATTAGCTCTAAAAAAACATTTTCACAAATACAAATTCTACTTCAATTTTAATAAATGTTATTTTAAAACGCTTTTATCTTTTTTCTGATTAAAAACATGGTATATTTTGTGTCAATGCAAATGTTTTTTACACTCAATGGTCAATTCTATTGCAATGGTTTCAATGCGTTAAAAGTGGCAAATTGAATACAGCCCCTTTTCCTCACCACCATTATTTTTTCATATAATTTATGCACATAGTGAATTTTAAATAAAAAATGATCCCAATTATTTAGCAATGGGATATATAGCTCCTTAATAAAAATTTATATATCTATTATATTTGCTAGAATTCCAAAAGATAAAATTTAGTCGCCGATTTAAAAAAAAAAATTAATTCCGTTGGCTTTTTATGTGCAAATTTAAAATTTAAAGCAAATATCCGCAGGATTTGTGCACATTTTAGAATTGCTCCACTTTTGATTAAAATTTTACTTACAACACTCAAGATTGTGTTATTAAAAATTTAAAATAATGTTTACAAACAGAATGCTTTTAGAATAACGAGGTAAATTCCATTTTTTTGGAGTAAAAATGTTCTGCTGACCGCATTTGTCACTGCGACGAGCAGGAAACGCTTTTCATGTAAAATTCGCAAGGAAGCAATTAACCGAATTTATACAATTATTTTGAGAGCAGAATAAGTAGCTGGACTCTTATATGATCTTTTGTAAAGAGCGCGTATTCGAATAATGCAAAACACTTCTGAATGGCCCAATTTTCATTGTTCGCAGCGGCGTGCGCGATGTCGAACACAATGCGTGCACCTCCTTAATGCAACATTCGTGTAGTCGTGCTTCCTATAATGTATTCATAATTAAATTTAAAACACGCACATTCTGCTCATTAGCGACGCTGTTCTCTGCGGCCAATAAAGAAGAAGAAGATAAACAAATAATAATATAACGAGAGGGATGCATTGGGAAATTCCGAAACTATGCACGCCAATTAAGAGGAGCAGCAGCGCAAAAAGCAGGCCTGCCTAATCGCACAACAGAGGCAGTTTTGCATATAAATCGGCTAATAATAAGCACACACACACACACTTGCATGACGTCATGTAGTATAACAGAGCAAAACTGGTCTTGCTGCGGAGAGCCGAGTGCGGCGAGACCCTTTTCTTTTTCACTTTTATCCGAGAGAGAGCCAAATTAGGGAATGAAACGAGCGGCCTGCGAAACTGCCGTCGTGGTCGAAAGAGAAAAAAACAAACGAAAATTCGCACCGACTCGAAAATTGGTAACCAACCTGTTGGGTGTGAGCGTGTTTATATAAAAAGTTTATCCTTCAAAGGTCGCCCACGCGTTGAAATCTCCGTCGCAGCTCTCGGTGGTCCTGAATCAAGTGAATGAAATTTCCTCGTCTCACGGTTTAGCACTTTGGCCCTTTCGGCCCGACTGCCACCTCCGGAGGTGGTCGCGCGATCGGCTGGTCGGAGGCGGCTGCGCAGAGGTCGCGTCGCGAGCAGGTCGGAGCAAAGACTGAGGGGCCTGAGCGCGGTGCCGCAATCGGCCAGGGTGGGGGCCGCGTTACGTAGCTCGCTCACTCCTTCTATGGCAGAGAGAAAGGTCCAGCTCCTTCCTTCGGAGAAAATCAAAAACAAAAACACACACGCCGGATTATGCAAATGCACATGTACGAAATTTTATTTTCGTCCCCGGCTGATTCGCGAAGGTCTGTGTTATTTTTTTTTCGGATAGAGAGATGGACCCGATGGCGTGGGTGGGTCGCAGCAAATGCAGACCTGCTGTTCGCCGCCACTTTCGCAATTCGACGACGCCTGTCTGCTGCGTATGTTGGGAAATGCCGCACTGGCCGCGCACATGATCGTAGTTTTGCTGAAAATTTGCATAACACAAAAAATAATTGATGATAAATGGGATATTTATGGGTGAAATAGGGACCTATATTATTCAGGTGATTGTTGCAATCGATTAAGGAAATAAATAGGTAATTTTAGGTTGAAAAAGCCAAATTGGTGAAATTTTTAGTTAAAATTTTGTGTTTAAAGCTTTTTTCTTAAATAAAATATTTTCTAAAAATCAATTATTTAAATTATATTTGAAAAAATTAAAAATAGTTTTAACATGGCAATGTTTTTGTGTATTTAATTTTTTTTATGTGTTTGAAAATAAGTGCAATACAGTGTAACAGTCGATTTTAGTTTGTACTCTAAAATGTGCTAAAAAAAAAGAGTTGTCTCTATTAATAGTACATCTTACTCAATGTCAGTTTATTTCCAAGAAATAGTTTTAAAATATATTTTCTCTGTCCCTAATTTACATATTTCACCGCCAATTGGGCTTCGGCTCGTTACCTTTAGCGAATTATTAGGAAGGGATGCGATTTTTACAAGAGTTTTTCGCGTTTGGGCGCTTTTTGTGAACGCAGAGCGGAACGTATGTGCGTTGTTTTTATTACGGCGTGCGCTGTTGTTCCAGATCAAAATTTGCCTCCAATTAAAATTCCGAGCACATCTACAGACTGCGGGCCATAATAAAACAGGCAGATTTCCGACGTGAGTCCGAAAAGTGGTCTTTGTTTTGTGCAGAGATACCATCTCCCATCTCGGGCCAGTATCGAACCATCTGGCACTTTTGCTTTTGAAATATTTATTTACATTTTTGTATAGTTTTTGAATAAATTTTGTTTCACTTTCAATATTTTTGCAACTAATGTGCTCCACTTGTTCATTCATTGATCATAATTCATAATATATCATGTGATATAATCAAAATTCAAATTGTATAATGTAAACATTGAACTGGCGAACTGATAAATTTTTAAATACTGGAGATACCGGGAGATACAATTGATGATTAGCCATCTTTATGACCTCTGTTTCATGTTCGGGAAGATTTAATTAATTTTTGATTGCATTTTGCTATAATCTGATCATCTGATTCTTAAAAATACAAACATCTGCATTAAAATTGCTATATATAATTTGTTTTTTTACTACATTTTTATTAAAATTGAAATTATATTTTTTATTGTAGAAAAGTTTAATATAAAAAAAACCATGCTATTATTATATAATATTAAATAAGTAATTATAAAAATTAAAAATGTGTTACTACATTTTATAAGTTACATGCAACTTTAATTTCAGAAGTAATTTGAAATAATTAATCAAATTTCAATATTTCCAGAATCTCAATTATTTACATTTTGCGTTAAATTCTTTCCTCGAGGGCTTTTTTTCTAAAAACTGTCTTATCTCTCCGCACGCCTGCTTTAAACAAATTGCGTTTTGACGTGTCTCTTCTCGGTATGTATTTTCATGCCGTGCGTGCACGTAAATCATCGTTTGCAATATTTATTAGCCGCGCATTGCGTAACCACAGCGCATGCCAAATTTTCCTCGCACTTTCCAATTCCGACGATCGTCGTTCGCTGGAATTTGAATTTCGTGCTCTCGGCCCATCAAGATATGGCAGCTGAAATGATGCGAATTAAAATTCAGTGTCCTTTGAAGGTGCACGTCTCTCTGCATGCGAGACGGGCGCGTGATTGTATTCTCGGGCATTTCGTGCTTTGCGCCGTGTCTGCGGAATTTGAATCGGCCGATTCGCAGAGTGGCCGCCGTCGGGCTTTGGCGAGCGGCCAGCAGCGAATTGCATTGAAAGCATAAATGGGCAAATTTATTATGCAACCGATCAAGTCTCTGCTGCAAGTTTTGTAAAAGGCGTCCCAATTTTAAAGTAAAAATAAGTATTGGCATTGCATAATTTAAGTTGGTATAACGAATCGTTCAATGTTCAAAAAGTTCAAAATAATCTAGAGCAAATAACTAAAAATTACCAATTTAGAGGAAAAACTAGTTTAAAAACAAACGGAATCTGAACAATTATTTTTAATTTTTAAGAAAAATATGCTAAAATTATTGTTTATTGGCAAAATTTTTCCTTTTTTTCCAGTAAATTCTCAAAAGCATTAAATTTCTTGACAACTGAAATGAACATAATCATCTAAAATTAACACCAAATTTTAGTGAAGTTACTTACTTACAACTGGGTTGCAACATGCAGATAAAGGATTTTTCACGTGAATTAAAATTAAGCCAATATTTTAAAATTACAGTAACATATTTTTATCTCATTGCAAATCTAACAAGTTTTAAGTTTGTTGTTCTATAAATTAATTTTCCTCTCTCAAACAAATTAAATTTTCAGAATTCTTTTTTTGAAACAACTTCTTAATTTGCGTCTTGAGTGGAGCAGAATAAGAAGCCTGAAAATTACAAATTATTCCTTTAAAATTAAGGTTTTCTTCCCAGGAGTAACGGAATATTAAAAAAAAAAGCTTTTTCAACTTTAAATATGCTTGGCCAGCACTCCTTAGCTTTATGCATATTTTGGACAGTTTAATGTGGCAATAATTGTGAGCGATTCCAAGTATAGAGCCTGCCATTAAAGAATCTCCTCTCGAGTCTCTGCAGAAAGTAAAAACGGCTCTTGAAAATCGAGCCCCGCGGTGCTTGGAAGCGAGCAAGCCGAAAAATTACATGTAAAAAAATGAGTCGGTTGCGTCGGACATAATGTTTGCCGGCATGAATTGGCCAATATTGGCCGGCTGCGTTTTGCTCCTCAGGTACGCGGCCTTTGATGGATGGCGCGCTGCTGCTTTTTACTCCGCGCGTCTCGTTGTTCGAAAACGCACGCCATGTTCGCATTCAAATTTTATCCTTGAGAGGACGATGACTGTTTTTTTCCTCGCGGGGAAGAAGTCGCGGAATTGTATTATCATAGCAGCACACACGGTCGTGTTCAATAACAAACGAAGAATATATAAATGAGCAGCACTACTTGCCATATTACGAAGGGAGCGGGTTTGTTGTTGTTCAATGTTGTGCTGTGCGTAGCAAAACTGACGGAGCGCATTTTAATTAAACGCTGCGGTTTCGAGGTATTCAAATTGTGCAACACTCGCCGTGTTTGTACGGCGTACGTTGTGTAGTACGTACACGTAAGTAGAGGTGTGCGATATTATGTTATGAGGCAATCATGGAATAAATCAAATAACTCGAAGGCGCTTGACTTTTGAACCTGTTTTTTGCCATCTCGACCCAACCGTTGATTAACACTTTTGCGTTAAGATAAAAAAAAATCGATTTCAGGAGAGAGGCCTTTAGCCAAAGCAAATTCAAACAATTATTGTGCAAGTCGTATGAACACATGTTATCGCACTCACACATTTTTTGTTTCTTAAATTGTTTAATGATTAAAACAAACAAAATTGAAAATTAAACGTAATCTCAATGTCAGAGTGTATAAGCGTTAACAAATAAACTTAATAAGATATGCAAATATTTAATTTTAATTCAAATTTCAGACTGTTTATTTGAACAAGTAAATTAAATTGATCAAACACTCTAACAAAATAATTTGATTAAAAGAAAATATAATATTTTTTAATGCATTTTGTTTTATTATAATAGATGAAAAAATAAAAACGAAAAGATATTGCAGAAGAAAAGAGACGCAGTGAAGATTTAGCACTACCATTCAATGGCAATAAGGAATTACATAAATAATTATCAGAAAACACTGCACAATTATTGTAGTAGAAGTTCACGATCAAGGGTTGATTCATGGTGATTTGAATTTAAAGTCGGCTTTTCCTCGATGGGTTTTTGCGAGTTTGTTTTGTTTAACAGCAGGATTATTGTTTTTTCTTAAACAATAAAAACTCGGAAGAACCCATCGAGGAAAAGCCGAATTTAAATTCAAGTCACCATAAAATTAAATAATCAGTATTAATTATTTGGTTTATTTTAATGAACACGTTCTTAATATGACAAAAGTATAATTGAACAGGACAACGTTGGTGATGAAATTTAAGAATTGTTCCACTAAACTTGTTCCACTTTCCACCCCTCACTCGTTCTCACACCACTTCTAGTTTTGCAATGATTGGTGGTCAAACTCATGCTATCTCCCCTGTTTCTCCGTTTTGACTTATTTTGTAAACAAGCAAGAGGCACACCAACGACTTGCGACCTCACAGAAAACAGCCCCTTAAAAGTATAAATTTCCCCTCAAACGACGAACCTTAAAGACACCAGATCTAGAATATTTTCAATCAGTTTTCCTCCTAGAGATTGAATATCAGTGAGTGAGTTTACGCAGGGAGTTTTCTATTTCGCAAATTCAAAATGAAATCGGAGTGCATCGCGAGTTTTAAAACAAAGACTTGAAACATTTAGCTGGGAGAAGGCAAGGGATGTTCACCGATTCTTATGCAGGTAGGATGAATTTTGAGTTATTTTATTTTTCTTCATTGAGTCTCGGTGAGCTAAAAATTGAAAGGATTTATATCTTCATGAATCTGAAAAGTATAATAATATGGCAGCATTAAATAGAAATCTATAGCAACCAAAATTTCCTACAATCTCTGAAACAATTATGTTTTTATCTATTATTTGTTCATTTTTCTGGGAAATCTGATTTTTCACCCTTGAAAATTAATAAATACAGCAACCATCTGATCAATAAATTAACTCTCAATCATCTGTACGCATTACGAAATCACGTAGCAGCATATTTTTGAAAGCTACAATTCCCAAAAAGTCAATACCCATATAAGTGGGTCTGTTTATGAAAGCCGTGACTTTTTTAAAACCAGCATATCATGCACAATCATGATACTCTCGTAAAAAATTGTACCATCACGCACTAGATTCTTACCTTTTAAAAACTTCATTGGGGAAAAATGTGAATAGTTACGACACTTTCTCTGACAGCTGTGGCCAATTAACAAACTTAACTCATTATAAGTAGTTTCAACACATCAACAACAGAAATCACTCACAAGCATAACTAGAGGAGGCGGAAACGTTTATTTATTTTTATTGCGTCTCGGAACACCCGATAAAATACATACAAATACGAGAGATTCCCCATCGTCGTAATAATAATTATGACTACGAGCTCTTAATGAACGCGATTCTCGGAGGCGTGTGATTCATAACTGCGTTCTTAATGGGTTATTTAATATCCAATAAAGTTGGATTTATCTCCAACCGCCATCGGCGTCCGCGCTCCGAATTCGGCGGATTCCCGCCCATGCTTCCAAAACGACTCAATTAAACCGCTTTTAATTTGACAAAAAATAACCTTGCGAAATTAACGAGAAATAATTCTCCTTTTAATGCGTCTTGTGAAAACAGGTACACTCGAGCTAGCTGTTTGTCCGATTTGTCGAACGTCCTTGACGAGAGACGAGCGAGTTTTGAAGTTGTCAGCCGTGATGATTTCTCGGCCGTAATTATCGGTCGCTGCCGTATGATTGATTAAAAGCAGTCGTTTAAGCAACTCTCTCATTAATCACTATAGTTGTACAGTTGCTGGGGAAAAATCACACTCTCTCAACTCATACTAGGGACCATCGCCAATCTTAACGGATTTTTGTCTAATATTAAAAAATCGGCAGAGAAATAACTGACAAAGAAAAAAAATAAGTTTCTTTAGTTCTCAATTGAATATTTTGAATTAATAAATTATTAGTAGTTTTATAATAATATATAGTGTGCAAATAAGCTTTAAATTATAATTTCTTTTACATAGTTAATGATATTATTTTAGTTTTTATATGATTATATTATAAACAAAAATATTATTTATTATTTAAAATTTTTTTTTACGACTTTATCACATTAAATATTTTTATATTAATCGATGACTATGACAGATTTTAATTTGAAAAATTTGTTTTGTTTAAAAATATTTAATAAATAAAAATGAATCAAATGATTAGCAAATCTTTTCCTTCAATCGAAATTTACAACGGTTATAGGTGCTGTGTTTGGAATTGACATTTATTTTATTAATACTTAAACATTCTTACTTCTTATTACGTTCTGGCTCAAAAGATTTTTCTTTATTCTTATTTACTCTATTTCACTGGTCCCATATTATAGCAACTTTGATGATATATAATAGGCGCAAAATTAAGTTTATTTATTTATTTTATTTAATTGTATCTATAAAATTTCCAAATTCGACTGCATACTGAAGATTGGCGTTGTTCCCTTTTGTCAGAATGTTAATGCTGTGAGAATAACAAGTGTTCGTTCAAGAAATAAATTTGAAAATTACGGCCGCAGCTGGTCTCACTCTCCGCTGTGTTGAATTTTTCGTTTGCGTTATAAATTTATCGTCTGGTTACTCGGTAATTAGGTATGTGCCGGTTGTGCATTAAATAGAAAGTGCGCGGGTATGTTCGAAAAAGTACAACGAGTAAAGCTTTTGGTGGTCGTGACGTGGGCTTTTTCAAATGAGAATGCCGGCGAGACACAATCACAACTTTTAACTTTTATTAGCTGGGAAAGGAGTGAGATCTCGGCGGCAAATGACTCACTTGCAAAGGCATAAAGGAGGAAAAAGTTGTCACTTCCCGAGGCGTTTCTCTCTCAAAATTGGCTTTTGCCAGAGACGCGCCAGAGAGAAACCTCGGAGGTATGCAAATAGTGGCAATTAGGAAATATCATCATTATATTGCTGCCACAAAAGTCAGCTGCTTTGCAAATCGCCTTATTTTGTTTGTTAAATATAATTGTTTCCTTATTGACTTCTTCTTTTTAAATATTTAGAATGTCAAGGAAAAAATGTATTTACAAAATCAATCTTATTTAGTAAAGAAAATAGGAGAAACATTGGAGTTTTGGATTATAACGAAAACAAAGTAAAATAAACAAGGGCTTGTGTTTATGTATCTGCTTTTTACGTATTCAGGATTTTATATTATGTTTATTAAATTAATGAAAACTTATTCAAATATGAAAAATTCTCTAGATGATATTTTCCATGATGATTTGTTTAATAACAAGATGAAATAAATCATGCTGATAAATATTTAAATTATCAATCATTTACAAATGAGAAAATTATACAAGATTTTGTCCCAATAATATTGTGAACATTAATTTTAATTGTAATTAAGGTCATATTGATATTCAGCTGATGCACATGTGCAGCTCTTAAGTTAAAACATGCGGATTAGAGCAGGACATTTTTTTCTATATTATGAACGTTTTTAAAACTCGCTTGGGAAATTCATTAAATGGAAGGGCAAATTTTTATATCTATTGAAAAAAACATAATTATTATTTTAGAAAACAATTTAAACCAAATTAATTTAGCTTCATTTTTAAAACTGTGACATTATAAGCACTAACTCAATATAGAATTGAAAAGGCTTCGTAATAATGTAAAATTCAAATGAAGCCGGTAAGTTTCTAAAGTAATTGATAAAAATTTTGATTATTGATTTTCTTAAACACTCCATATTTGTGCTTTGATGGAAATTATCAATCTACCAACATTAACAATACCGCCATACCAATTAAAAACATTTCTGAAGGGACAACTATTTAAAATATTTATTAATATTAAATATTAAATATTTTGCATTTAATATTATTTTTTTTATTTTTAAACCACTCTCATATGTGTATATTCTTTCATACTCCAAAAGTGTCTTTAAAATAAATTAAAATTCCAACCAGGAAGTCTTATCTGTATTGCAATGAGTACCATGTTCATTTTTAAAATTTAAAATCACCCAGACCTGTGAAACTTGTGTTTAATGGACATGTCTTCTGGAGATTTAATATTTAAAGAGGCTTAAGAGCACTTTGCTGTAAGATTTTTTTTCTCATTTCATCAATCATCCAATATAGTAGTAGTTTTTTAAGTGTGTGTAATTTAATATTCAGAACCTATAACTTGTCATCAGTCCACCATTCTTGAAATAAAAAACTGAGATTTCGTGTCAATTACGTTCGACTCAATATTTCTCGGCAGGGTCGCCGCCGTTCGACGCAAATTAAATGAGAATAATGAAATCTCGGCCAGGTGCTGTCAGCAGCTTTTCAAGTCGCCAGAGACGAGACGCATAGAAAGGGGAATAATATATAAAATTGTCGTCGCGCGGAGCTTTTTAAGTGGCGTTTACGCCGCCGTTTCAAACCGCATTTGAGCGTTTGCGTCATGTTTTGACTCCACACAAGGATTTACAAGTCATCAGATGACACATTCCGATTGGCCCTAATTTGGCGTCGCTCTGCACGGCCAACCATACGATTTGAGCGAGTGCGTTGTTTTCATCGTTATAAAGAGATGCCCTTTCGCAACGAACAATGCATCAGCTAATCTATGGAGTGTATCTGCTAAAAGGGGCCAAGGGGTCGCTCAAAGGTTAGTGGATTAGAATCGCCGGCCGACACGGCGCCAATGCTCGGGTAGGCAACTTGCGCAACACGGGTGCACGGACTGCTGCGTCAGGATTTAATGCCACAATTTAGTTTCAAGAGATGTTTATTGAGGGTAATAATTTATGAAAATTCTCTTACTTAGTAAGTAAACCATTTTAAATTTAAGCATTAATATAATTGGTGATTTGAATTTAAAATCGGCTCTTCCTCGATGGGTTTTTGTGAGTTGTTTATTGTTTCAGAAAAACAAAATCCTCTGCTCTACATGTTTCGGCTGCGGGCTGCAGCCATAATTCATTCGAGCTTTTTCGGCAGTGGTTGAGAGAAGACCGCAGCCGAAACATGTAGAGCAGGATATTGTTTTTCTGAAACAATAAACAACTCACAAAAACCCATCCAGGAAAAGCCGAATCACCATGAATCAACCCTCGATCGTGAAATTCTACAACAAAATTAATATAATTCTTCTCCTTTTGTTTTAATTTCCACATTTTCACAAATAATTGAGCGCTTTTGTGTTATATAACAAAAAGTCATACTACCTTTTTTTTTTTTTTAAATAAAAATGACATTTTCAAAAAATCCAATCCAGGTAATAACCTATTTAATCAGCAAACTCTCTGCTCGCTCTTACGACTTCCCCTATTATGGATCTAGCTCAAGTTTTAAATAGTATTAATAGCATTTTAATAGAGTAACTTAATTTAAATTTTGTTTTATCAAAATTTATGGTGTCAATCTATCAGGAATTGAAATTTTAATAAATTAGTAATAAATTGTGTGTTACACATCCGCAGAGAAGGTACTAGAATGATTATGCACCATAAAAATCATGGCGAAATAATTAAATCTATTTTAATAGGATAATTATGAAAATTGAATGGTAATTTTAATTGAAGGGAACGATTTTAGGACCGTTGAAGTGAAAGTACTAATTAAATGAAAACATAAAGTGGAAGAACTTGGACAATAGCATGAACTACAATAATAAATAATAAACAAGTGATTCATTCAAAACAAACGAATTAATTTTTTTTTTTATGATTTTTTTATTAAATACAAGTAGTTTATTGTTTCTTTCTTCAAAAGAATTAGCTCTACAATGAAGCCAATTTTAAATTGGAAGATTCAACCAATATGGTGCTCATAAAAGCTGCGCCGGCGAGTGGTGGTGCATATTATTTTATAATATTCTCTTTCATCGACGTTCGGTGTCAACTCTTGGTCAGGATGCAGCACCTGGGGTCGCCAAAGTCGTCGTCCGGCTGGGGACAGAAAGGGGCCTCGTCGGTGTCGAGGCAGTACATTCCTTGGGCGCTGCGGACAGACAGAACGAGAGAGAGAGAGAGGACGTGTAGTATGTAATGATAGTGTTCATTCCGGCGTCACTTCAAGTACATCAGCGTGACCGCAAGAAATTTAATACGCGGCGCATGAAACGACTCTTGTTTATGTAATTGGGTGCAGTTGTTGAGGAGGGACAGGAAGGCTTAGTGGTTTCCCCTCGAACAGGGGTCACACTTTTTGCGCGTTGTGTGGGAAAACCATCTTTCCATCTTGTACCCTCGGATATAATATTATTATTGTATCGGATTGAAAATCATCTCCTCATTACGACACACACACACGAGAGAGAAAAATAAAGACTTTTTGCGCTTCCATAATATTATTATACTTGTCGGTCGAGTCTTGTGTCGTTTTTCTTGTCCGCTGCGGTCGTTTCGCGATGTGCATCTCACAAGCCATTAATTCGCACGGTCTAAGACGTTGTGCACCTTTTTAAAAGCCACCTTGATCCACAAAACAACAACGCGATTAAATCTGCTGCTTAAGTAGCGTGAAATTCTCGCGCTTTTTCACTCTGGCAGCAGAAAAGAAGTGTGTTAATTTTATTTTGATTGAATTTGAATTATTTATTATAATTTGATTTTTATCTAGACGTGTCGTACTGTATAAAAATTAAACATACAGATCAAGAATTATTCAAGTAACTGAAAAGTTCAATGCTTAACATCATTAGTCATTAGCCTGTTTAATTTCTAGCAGTATTGAAGAGTATAATTATTTAAAAATAAAAGACTAAATTGGATTAAATAAATATAAAAATAAAGAAAATCATTAGTCTTAATAAGCTAATTAATGTTTTATTACAGTTTTATTTATTTTTAATTCTTAATATTTTATTTGAAATTTTTTGTCTTTTTATATATAAATTGTATATTTTTTACATATTAATTCGTTTCATTGAACTCCATATAAAAATTAATTTTAAATTGCAAAACTAAATAATTAAATAATATATATTTTACAGCTTAACGTAGTTTTGTAAAAACACTCTAATTTAAAAATTCATTCAACTCACAATTGCTATGTTGCCCTCATGTATGGATTTATAATTGTGCTCATATAGTGTCATGAAAATGTTTAAAATTAAATTGAAACAAAGAACAATATCTTTATAATGACTCCGTAATCCATCATGAAACTATCATAACCCTATTTATTCTGCTCTGATTGAACTTAATGCAGACTGAATGAAGTCATCCCATTGTCTTTGAAAAATTCTTCCTAAAAATATCTTTTAACATTCAGTTAATACCTACATCTAGATTGATTTTAAACGTGGATACATTCATTAATGTGCATATTTGCTATGAAAAAACAGACCAATTAAAAGTCACTGAATTGGCCAAAAAGAATCAAAGAATCTGGTTCAGTAAGTATAATTTTTATTACTAATATTGAGATTTATTTATTTTGTGTTTGTGTGCCTGCTTTTAATGTTATTTTACTGTTATACAACATTTGGCAAACAAGAAACTCTAATTGTAAGCATAAATTTTGAAATTCTTATTAAAATTTCGTTTCATGCGACGTTTATTGAACTAAAATTTAATACATACAAAAAACTGTAAAAAATTTTCATTTATAAAAAATTATTCTTTTGCATCATCTGTCGCTTTGAAACCGAAAAGTCTTGCATTCCTAAGGCTAGCAAGCTGAGCCGACTCTAGGCCTTATTTTTTACTTCGCGCACCTGTGCCCCTTGCGAATATATTTCAATCACCCGGAATTCGGAGATCGCCCGCGGCTCGATCCCTCTGCATGCTTTTCTTCTTGTCTCCGGAGCGCGTTTATATATATTATTTATTTTGAGCATGTGAAATCGTGAGATACACTTTGTGCAAAACGCGATCTTTATCGCCGCGCGCTCTTACCTGCTTTCCATGGAGGCTCCGAAGGTGGCATTCTCGCGCATGGGTGGGTTGCCCGTTTCTTCTCGGCGCTGCGGAGGTTGGGGGCAGCGGTTCACGCAGGGCTCAACCTGCCGCTCCGCGAAAAGGGACTCGGCCAAGAAGCACACCGAAGAGGCGTGGCTGCACAACCGCGGCTGGTTGTCTGCGAAAAAAAGACATTTTTATGGCCCAACACAGTAAAATACAATCCTCCCAAGGTCGCCGCGTAATAAAATGATATAAAAAAATAATAAAAATAAATTTCGTGGAAGAGTTTTATATTTCACGTTCGGTCCGGAATAACTAATGGACCGCAAACTTTTATGGCTTTATTTGTTTACTTTCATTTCTTTAAAGGTCCATCTCCTGCAATATTGATTTGTATTATTAAAGAAAATTGATTAATTCATCAAATCACCAGATCCAAGAGCAATAGAACGCCCGATTTCAACACTTTTTGGATTGAAAATCATTTGATTGTGATTTTCTGTTTTACTATTTTGTATTCTTTTAAATTCAAGAATGAAAATTATAATTGGAAGCTATTTTTTTTAAATGTTTTAAATTTTTAATATCAAATGTAATTTTGAAGTTATTAAAATATTTTATTAATGTTTTTTAAATTGTAAAATTTCAGAATGTCGTATATTCTGATGAGAAATTTTCAATAAACACAACTCACTTATTGTATCTACGCAGAACGGTTGTTGTCCGTTGTTGATGCAAACGTCAGCCGTGCCGATCGACTCACCCTCGCCGAATCTCCGCGTTTCCGAGTGAAAAACGTGGACGGCGTCAGCGTCCGAAGGGTCCAGTCTCTTCTCTGGAAAACGCATGAACGCTCGCCCACCAGTCGGGTCCAGAGCTATTTTTTTTTTATTTCTCTTGTTAAGAATTTCGGCCGTTTGAAATTTGCATGGATTATCATACCAATTATCTTCTGCATCCGGCTGGGAAGAATGAAATTGGCGATGAGACCGCAGATGTGCGCGCCGAGACCAAAACCAACACAGGTGAACTCTTCTGTTTGCACTCCATTATCCTGCAGGTATTCAAAGAGTTGCGCGCTGCACTTGGCGACGGCTTCGGCGTTCAGACGCGCTTGTCGGTCGCACCGCTCTTTCGTCAAGGGGCCATAATCGACCGTAATGAGATTGTGCGAGTCGTTCTTCACAATTGCTGTGAAAATAATCAAGCATTTTAAGAAAATAAAACCATTGTTTAAACACAGACATTCAAAGCTAATATTTAGCGTTAATAATCATTTTTTAAATTAATTTATTATTTTCGTTTGCAAAAAGAAAAACCTGAGAGAGTTGATTTGTACGTTGCTTGATTATGTGTGGAGATTTGCAAGAAGTATTAATTTTAGAAGGATTCGAACTAAATTAGGCTGTTTTCGTTTTTAATTTAAGTTGATTTCGGAGACTCCTTAATTTTAAGCTAAAATTTAAAAATATGAAACAAATTTGCATTTTTTCTGCCATTTTCTTGTTACAAAATATATGATGAGTATGATGACACAATTATGAGATTTATGTATATGGTTTTCAATCTAAGGTGATTTAAATGAGCGAAATTAATTAAATTTAAAATATAGTATAGGTAAAATTGCCCAGCTTCAGGTAAGTGTCTCAACGTTCAATTGGCAAAAAGTTATTTGAAACAAACAAATGAAAACTCTATATTCTGCTTTCCATTTACTCTTTTCTTAGCTAATTTAGCTATAATTAAAATTTCTAGGTTTAAGAGAAAGATGTAGAAAGCGGAAAAATTTGTCGATCGAGAAGGAATTTAAATTTGTTAAATTAACTCATAATTAATGGTTATTTTGATAGGTACCGAAGCATAGGATTCAAGCATGATTCAAAATTCATTCAAGGAAAATTTTTTTTGTACGTGTTGCCTCATAAAAAATATCTTCAAAATTTATTTAAATTTAAAAGTGGAATTTCAATCGTGTATGTAAATAAATCTCCTTCCTTTTAAATAATATATTGATGTCCTGTCAAGATTTTTATGGATATCCCAACCATATTTATTCAATGTTTCACAACCGCAGCAACATTTTACTTTTTCCTTGAGCGAATTCTTCTCTCCTTTGTGGAAACAGAATCAATTAATTCAGGCATTAATCTTTCGCTCCCAACACAGCTCGTGCTTCTTTATGGCAATAAAAAGCCGGCGATAATCTCGCTGCAGCGCGCGGTTGTAAACGAATAAGAAGAAGTGAAAAGCACAGGCTTTGGTGTGTGTGTGTATCCGCAAAACAAACACAATAATACTCAGCCTGGCTCTTTCATTCTCTCTCCAACAATATAATACTTAAAATAATGTTATTTTTCTCAAGCACTTGAACTCACCGTCCCTGAGAATGACAGTGGGCATTAAGTTTTCTCCGCCCTGATAGCCGTGCATGAGCACCACGGTGGGTTTATCTAATTGGAAAAAGCCGTCCTCGAACCATTCCTCCGACGTCGTGTTGATCCGCATTTGAAACGCGCTAATCCTGTGTAAGCCTCCTTTCAGTAAAGTGCGATCATTTTAATCATAAATTAATTTCTCCACCGTAAGCCGGATGAAATTAATTACATTTCATTTCACCGCAAGGCTGCTAGTTGAATAAGATAAAAAATTAAAAAAACATTTAATGAAAAATTTTGACTTCTACATAATGTTTTTGGAATTTGAAAAAACACTTAAAATTTGCCTTAAAATATTAATGATTAAGAGATGAAAATGCAAAAGCAATTTTCCTTTGACAATTTGCTAAGGCTTGGTTCTTTGGAAAGTTTTTTTTTGTGAAGGGAACAAATTTTGGACTATTAATTTAGTTTTAAAATGAAAATTATTGTAATTTCATTGATTTTACTTACAAAATTAATTAAAAATTAAATTTTCTCTTGTTCGTTCAAAGAAATGATACAAATTTTACCTCAAACGAAAATATGTGAAAGCGTTTTGAGATTAATACTAACGATCTAATTTAACTTTAAGGGTTTGTTAATTTTTCAATTTTCAACAAGAAGCAAAACGGCGAATTAAATCTCCATATTTTTTCCTACCCTGAGTACAAGTAGAATTTGATGTGCGGATCAGGGCACGTCATGTTTGCCATTTGCTTCTGGATGCATTTTTTGTCGTTGATTAGAGAAGCGGCCACTTCAGTCTTGGTGTCCTCGACGGCTGGCCGCTGGCCAAGTTTGAAGTTGGAAATGGAAACTTTCTGGCGCTTCGCGACGAGAGCCCCTGCAATTTGAATGTAATATTCGAATTAAAACACCTTTTACGGCGACTCTCGAGGCTCTCTTGGAAAAAAGCAACAAATTTTAATTTAATGCGTCTGCGCCGGCGACAAGACGGACAAAATGTACAGAGCCAAGTGTGTGTATTTTTATTTCTTGCTAAACGAGCGCGTTAAATCTTTTCCTTGTGTGTACGTTTTCGTACAGAATTGTTAATTGTATGTGTGTGGATTCTGTTCTCAAGGTGGATTTTTTATGCTTCGCCGAGCGAACCGGAGCCGCACGCGTATAAGGAGCTGCTGTGTTGTCAACACATTCAATTCGAGCGACGGCGCGCCTAAATGTAAATAATATGTAACTTTCACAAAACAATGATTTAAAATTTTTTTTGACAAATTAGTTAAAATGCTGTTAACAATATTTCATTTCAATAAAAATTAAATTTAACTTAGTTTTTACATTTTTATTTTTATTTAAATATACTGTAAAAATTTTATTTGAAAATATTTTAAAGATTTTAAATAATAGATTTTTAAAAGCATATATTATTTGTGCATATTTTTATTATTGTATAAGTAAATATAAGGGATATGTGACAATTTCATTAAGATAACCAAGTTATAAAACCAATCTCAAAATTGGTCAGGGAATCCGGAATGATATATAATTAAACCATATAATTATTAGGAAAATTGAAAAAATGTAAAGCAAAAGAAAAAAATATATATATTAAGGTTAATATTTCAAATATATTGAGAATTATCTTTGCACATATCATTTGTTATGCGAATAATTTTTGTAAATAATATTTTGCTGTAATAAATTTTGTACTATCGGTTGATTTTTTTTTCTTTAAAATTTTACTTAAAAAAAAATTGCAACTAACTTGTGAGTTTTCTTTTGGATAATTTGTAGGCTTTTCATCCGTATACTAATCAACAGCGAGCTTGACGGATATACAATTACTTTAATTTTATGAATTTTTAGACATTATTGGAAATGAAAGAAATCCAGAAATCCGTTAGTTCTTTCGTGTAGTAAATGAAATCTCTCAAATATCGATTTTATTATACCAAAGTCACGGATAATAAAAAAAAATTAATTTTCATTCTTTAAAAAAAAATAATATTTGTAAACAAACTAAATTGTAAATATTGAATAGCACGAAATCTAGAACGTTGCTAATTGAAACTTTTTGGTCCTCATAAAATAGACCGTAAGACTTTTGCACATTCTTCATTCTGTGATCGCAAATTTGTTTTAATTTTTACGACGACTTTGCTTGCATAAAATTTATGTCTTTCCACGTCGGAGTTGTGGTGACCAAGAAAAAATACCGGGATTGAGCAAAAAAGCAGTTTGTGGCCGACCGAGCAGCGTACGCGTCTAAATATGTGGGCTTGCACCAAGGTAAAGACGCCTCCTCTCATTAGAGCGCCACGGTGCTTTCCTGGTCCATTTATGTGCTCTTAACGGTACTTTCGGTGCGCCAGCGCTGCTCTCATATATTTTGCATTATGTCATACACCTGCCCTCGCGGAGTGAGCCACGCAGGCGTGATTAATGCCGGTGCATCCACTGCGAGTCTATAACAGGGCGTGTTGCATTTTTCGAGCCCAAAGATTGACTATCGCGATCAAATTATTGTGCGCGAGCCTAACTGGACTTTTATCGCCGCACGATGCATTGCATAACTAGACTGGTGAAAAAAGTCATTTCGATTTTTTATTCTCTCCAAAACGTTCACGTTGAATATAATAAATTAGATAATGTGTGTGCTTTTGAACAAGATAATTAAGACAAAAAATTCCCTTTTGGGCTTCTAAAAGGAAAAATAAATATTTCGCAATTTTTCAAATTTTAGTTTTTACTTTAAATTTCCTAATATAAAATGGATAAAATGATATAAAATAAGACCTTTTTTTACCATTTGGTGGTCCTGATATCGTTTACAAATTTCTATGGTGCGGAATTTTAAATTGCACTTTAATTAATTACTTACTTGACAAATATATGAAAATATGAACCAAAATTTCATGAAAAAATTCTAAAAAAATTAATCATTTGTTTAAAAAAAAAAAAAAAAAAATACAAATTAAAGTTGAAATTAAACTTCATTATTCCTTCTATAAACTCAGTGCCGACGTAAATATATTATGGAAATATCCATTTTAATTTAATTAATAGACTTTGCATTAATAACTTACTAAAAAAAAAAATAAGAGATTTGATAAATGACTGACTTTATCTAAGAATAATTTTTATCTATAATTGAGTCTAAGAGTTCACATTTTTTTTAAGGGGCTTTTTCACCAGTCTATAATATTTTGTGTCTTTTATTTACAAACATTTTCAGTGCCGTTTTTATTTTCATGCATATTTTATTTAAAATTATTTAACTAAAAATAAAGTGCAGTATTTCAGGTGAAATCGAAATCCATTTTCCAAAACTCATGCAGTCTATTTACATCTCCCGGTGCTTTTTCAGTTCATTCATTGTCAAAAAAGTGTGATATATTTTAATATTCGACGGCAACTTGACCTTCGGTAGTGCAGCACCTTTCGTGTCCGTAGTCAGGGTCGTCTGAATTAGGATCTTTGCAGTACGGAGGAATCGTCGCACTTACGCAATACATTCCAGTAGCCCTACAACAAAAAGTCTGTCGTGCATATTCTTCTTCAGGGTTAAAAAAAATTTGCTTACGAGCTATTCATTGGTTCGCCCAAAATGATGTTTTCTCCCTCTCTGGGTTTGAACTTTGACCCGTAAGGACATCTGCTTTCACATGGGGTCGCCTCTCTCCCCTTTCCGGGGAACAAACTCTCCGCAAAATAGCAGAGAGACTGAACGTGACTGCAGTAATTATAATCTGTAAGAACAGGTTAATATTAAAAATTAAATATGTCTACGAAAAAAATCTAACTATAAGCACAAGAAATTAGAAAAGTTAAAAAAACTGCATAATAAAAATGCATTTATTGCACATAATTATACACAATTATAAAATAATCTATTTTAAGTATAAAGTTTGGTTTTAAAGAGCCACTTATTAATTGTTCCAAAATATAGTAATTTACATTGATTGAAGAGTTAAAATGCTATTTTTTGCTATCAATTTTTGTTTGCAAGTTTAAATAATTTTCGGCAATCCCATTCCTGTTTGTGGTTTGTTTTGTATTAAGGTTTCACCTTCAATTATTAAAAAAAAAATTTAATCCAGCTCACCAAATTTCAAAACTGCGAGACGTAATCATATGTTATTAATCAAAATTGAAACCTTCCTAAATTTATGCAAAAATATAGTTTTTTTAAACTTATTTTACGAAAAAAATTTTAAATCTTTTTTTTTTTAAAGCTCGCGCTCATGCTGCACCGATGTGCGGCGCCGATTTGCGGCACCGATTTGCGGCGCCGATTTGCGGCGCCGATTTGCGGCGCCGATTTGCGGTGCCGATTTGCGGTGCCGATTTGCGGCGCCGATTTGCGGTGCCGATTTGCGGTGCCGATTTGCGGCGCCGATTTGCGGTGCCGATTTGCTACGGATTTTGTTAAAAAAAAATAAATAATTTAAACAATTTTTATTCAAATTTCTATATTTTTTAAGAAATTTAATATTAAAATTAATAATAAGTTTCCTAAATTTATTAAATATTTTATATAGTTTTTTTAAACTTATTTTACGAATCTTTTTTTTTTTTTAAACTCGCACGCGTGCTGCACCGATTTGCGGCGCCGATTTGCGGCGCCGATTTGCGGCGCCGATTTGCGGCGCCGATTTGCGGCGCCGATTTGCGGCGCCGATTTGCGGCGCCGATTTGCGGCGCCGATTTGCGGCGCCGATTTGCGGCGCCGATTTGCGGCGCCGATTTGCGGCGCCGATTAGCGGCGCCGATTAGCGGCGCCGATTAGCGGCGCCGATTTGCGGCGCCGATTTGCTACGGATTTTGTTAAATAAATGAAATAAATTCAAACAATTTTTATTCAAATGATATTTTTTATAAGAAATTTAATATTAAAATTAATAATGAGTTTCCTAATATTAATTTTTCATTGTTTGAAAGAGCTTGAAATAAATAATACTGATTATTTCTTAATTTTTTATATAAGACTGTGTTACTGTCAAAAATAATGATAGTTGAGTTGTGATAAAAAAAAATTGTGATTCTTGATACAAATTAATTCATTTTTATCCTATTATCAGGCTTATTCCTTAGCATTTGATAAAATTAAAATGTTAACAACTATTGCTTCTGCATTCAGCATATTTTCTTGTTTTAATTTATTCACGGAATTACCAGACTCCTTCTTGCAGTAGGACTGCACGCGACCGCCGTTGATGCAGACGTCGGCCGTGCCCTGGAGCCCTGACATGCCGAAGAAGCCGGCGTTGCTATGGATGACGTGTATGTTTGTTCCATCCTCCAAATCCAGTCGGTCCTTCCCCTTCTTGCTCTGCACAAGTGGCTTCGCAGGGTCCAAGGCTGCGTGCATTAGTTTTTATTTTTACATATCATTTGCTTTTATTGGCATCCGCGAAACCTGATTATTATCGATTCGGCGCCAATTTGCCACATTTTTATTCAGTTCAAACTAAATCAGCTTAATGGACGGCTAAAGTGCTTTGAAATCAACTTTATAGCCCTTTTCAGAAGCACGGCCAGATAAGAAAAAAATATAATGCAAATAAATAAAACTCACCAATTATTCTCTCGAATCGGTCGGGCACGTAATTGGTGATGAGGCCGCAAATGTGTGCCCCGAGGCTGAAACCGACGCAGGTTATTTGCTCGTACTGCAGGTTGGTCGTCCGCTCCAGATTGGCGAGGAAATGGGCAGTGCATTTGGCCACGGGCTTCATATTGCTCACCGCTTGGAAGTAACAAGGCCACTTGGCCAAAATTTCCCAGTCGGCGTTTATCAAGTTGTACTCGTTTGTTTTGATGAAGGCTGAAAATGTCCAACATTTATTTAAGATTAATTGAAAAAGCAAAATATCAACTTGTTTTAAAATTAAAATAAATTAATATTATTAAACATTAACAAACGGAAACTGATGTAACGTTTGAATTCTTCAAAATCTGCATAATTAATATGTGAGAATCTATTTTGCACTATTTTATAAACTTGATTAATTTGATTTATTGATAAAGAATCCAAGTGGCGAGTGATTTCGTCACTCTTTGAGATAGACATCTGCTAGTTCTACTTTTTAATTTTACCAATTTAAATTTTTTTTTAAATGATCGACGTTAATATAGGATAATAATATTAATAATAAACATGAGTGAATGAAATATAATGTTTGAATCAGTTATGACGCTAAACAAATAATTATTACTATTCTATTAATTATCATTAGGTTGGTTTGCATTACAATAATTAATATATATTTACACTGTAAATTACTAGATACGTTAAAATGAAACTTGTGAATTTTTGATATAAATTAAAAAAAAGAAACAAAAAAGAATAAAAAATAAATATTAAACAATTATAACATATGCATAATTTTAATTTTAATAAATGTACAATAATTACATATGATTAAAATTGACGTAAATAATAAATTATTGGAATTTTTTTAGAGTAGCCATCTAGTTAGTAAACATATTTTACCGTCTCTCAGTAAGGGCACTGATCCTACATCGTCACCTCCACCAAATCCGTGGATTAACAGCACCGTCTTTTTGCTCTCGTCGAAATTGCTGTTATTGAACCAGTTTGGGTCATTCTCGTCAATGAACTCGCGCTCTCCGTTCGGCCTGTCAACCCGTGCAAAAACAATCCTCTCAATTTACAATAAACTTTCTTAATCCACTCACCCCGCGTAGAGGTAAAATGAGATCAACGGATAGGGACACCGCACATTTTCAGAGATTTTGACGCAGTCGTTGTACGTCTCGGTCACGTTTTCAGCCTCCGTTGGATTTTCAGTAATTGCAGCTTGTTCGGTAGTTTCGTTGCGACTGATGATACGCATCATGTTGGAAGATTCAAAAGCTTCCACATTTTCAAACACCTCGTTCCGGAACACAAACTTGCCGGCACCGCATGCTGCAAGTTCAAAAATTCAAATTAGTAATAAATTTAACAGCCACTTTAACGATTTACCTGTCGAAATTGCCAAAATTGTGATGCACACGTGTCCGAGGGTCTCCATGCTTTGGTCCTGCTGCTGAGTCAAAGAAGATTAAAAATAATGAGGCGAAAATAGCGGTATATTCTTGAACATGTTGAGGAAGGAGAGGATATTTTTTTTCTCCAAAATATAATCACTGTATATAATACGCAGCCATTAAAAACAAAGAAAGAAATTTTAGTTAAAAGAAAAAAGAAGAAGCAGCAGACTTCACACACTGACGAGCACACGTGCGTTAACCTGGGCGCTCCGTCCACATTTGCGTGGTTTCGCAATCAATCTTGTGTAGTTTTTCAAATGCAAATTTTTCACCGGATCTGATACCGAACGACCGAGCACGTTTGGCTTCGGGATTAAAGGTTAATAGCATTTCAAAGCAAAAAACAAGTTCTTCCACCTTTTAAAAATATAATTTTATGTCTAAGATTTATTTCAAATTCCTGTGTCAAAAGCTTTTAAATAAATAATTTTGTTTATATAAAACGATTGATTTTTTTTATCCACAACATCTGGAGTCTCCATAATTAGGGTCTGCGGAATTGCAATAGGGTGCCGTCGGTACATTAAGGCAGTACATTCCTGAAGCTCTAAAATGCAAAACAAATATAAATTGAAAATTATTGAAAAAAAAAATTGATTAAATTTATTACGTGCTCGACACGGAAATGCCCACGGTTGCATTCGATCCTGAAACGACCCTCAAACGGGTATAGGGGCACGTTTTTTCGCAAGGGATGGCGGTTCTTCTTTTGCTCACAAACAGACTCTCGGCCATAATGCAAACGCTCTGAGAATGGCTGCAGGCGTTCCGATCTGAAGAAAATTAAATTTTATTATTTTATTTTCTCTTTAAAAGAGGCTTTTACCATAAGAGTATCTGCAGGTCGTTTGTAAATATCCTCCGTTGGGACAAAAGTCAACCGTGCCTTGAAATCCAGAGAACCCGTAGAATCCAGCGTTTGTGTGAATAACTTGCACTTGAGTTGCGTCCGAAGCGTCCAGACGCAGAGACGCTATCCTACCCTGTACAAATGGCCTAGCAGGGTCAAGTCCTGAAGAAAAAATAAATTGAGAAACTTCCACAGTTTGGGAAACGTTGAGAAATTTATGCTACAAAAGTACTAAATAACGGAGAAAAAAATTAATTAAAAATTAATCGTTAAGAAAATTAGAATGTGATTGTATTTTTATCAATTTTATGTAATAATTCCTTATAATTTTCTTTTTTAACTTACCAATAATTTTTTTGAGCTTTGTGGCCAAATAATTTGTTGTGATGCCGCAAACGTGCGCCCCTAAACTGTGCCCAACACAAGTGACGTCCACATACTTGACCCCAGTGGAGCGCTCCAGAAAAGCGAGCATGTGGGCAGTGCATTTGCCCAAAACTTTCAAGTTGTAAATCGCCTCCGAATAGCATGGGTATTGCATTAATATCTCAAAATCCGCGCTGATCACGTTGTACTCGCCGGTTTTCAGGTATGCTAATAATTTTATTCCATATTAATCACAATAACTTAATCAAAATAATTAATATTAAGAAATATCGGCATTAAAAAATATAGGGGGATATTCACATGCTAAGTTAGTATCAAAAAATCCTATAAACTAACTTAGCATATTCCAACATGATTCTTTATTGTATGCTATGTTAAAATTTTCTTTTCTTTATAACAAAACATAACCAAAATCTAAAATCAGATTATCTTTAAGCCTGTTCCAAGTTAGCCATTTCTGATTTTGCAAATCCCTTTTTTTACATTTAAGAAGAAAAAAGTTACTTTTCCAATAAGCGGCTTCAAAATATTTGACACTAGTCCGCCTGATCTTTTTGTTCAATTTTGTGAGGGAACAATCCCGTTCAAAACGGCGCTTAAAAATTATTTGAAAACTCGGTTTTAAAATTAATGTATTGTTTATTTATGTGATTCAAAAGTGAAAATTTGTGCACGACTTAAATTAATCACCAAGTATTCAATGGAAAATTTTGAAATTGTAGATCATGATTTTTAAATGAACAGACACTAGTTTTTTCAAAAATAATAAATAATTTAATGAAGTTCTAAATAATCATTTAATATTTCTAGAGGAATTGACTGAATACCTGCTTTAAGAATCGGTGTACTTCCAATCTGGTCACTAGTTGCAAACCCATGGATCAACAAAACCGTCTTCTTTGTTATGTCAAAATTGTTTTTGGAGAACCAATTCGCGTCTGTTGTGTCGATCAATGCGCGCTCTCTGTCGACTCTGAGGTTAAATTTTTTTATTATTATTTAGGTTCAAAATTTAATTTATCAAGAATTTTTTACGAGGTGTAGAGATAGAATTGAACCAAAGAATTAGGACATGTAGCAGAGTCGGATAATGTTGTGCAAAAGAAAAAGGTCCCGGTCACGTTTCCTGTCGTTGTCACATTGGCGCCCTGGCTCATTGCGATCGCCGCGATAAACTCGTTCTTGTCTTTGTACACCACATTTTGGTAAGTGAATTTCCTCCCCGAACAGATTGCTAAAATTCAAATCCAGTACAAATTGCATGCGGGTTCTAAAAATTATTTTTAATTAATTTTACCTGTCGCTGCAGCCAAAACGATACATACCCGTCCAATGGCCCACATGTTGTGATCTCGGGTTGGAGATTTTTTTTTTAAATAACGCAAAAATAGCGGTATTTCCGATAAAGTTGCAGAAGGAGGAGTTTAAGAGTCATTATGAAAAATTACTGTGTCCCAAAATTCGTAAAATGATGTCGAGCTTGAGTGATAAATTATTCATCATAAAATATTCTATGCTAAAAATGAATACGCAGGATGAATACGAAAGTTAGACCAACAAGCAGCTACGATATCCTTAAAAAAGTATGATGGTCCATTTTAAATAATTTAAAATTATTTGAAATTTTTAATTTTATGCAACTTATTATTCAACAAAACATATTACAAATCTTCAATTTTATATTCCAACATATTTCTATTTAAGCCGTTTATAAGATTCCTTAATCTCAATTTCATTTGAAAATAAATAATTTCATGCACTAAACAACTTATAAATTATCCACAACAGTGTGCGTCGCCATAATTTGGATCTGTCAAATTGCAATAGGGCGCCGTTGATAAATTAAAACAGTACATTCCCGAGGCTCTGTAGACATTAAATTTAAAAAGCAATTAGTGAAATATTAAAGTTAGTCACAATTATTTATTACGAGCTCGAAGTGGAATTTCCTACAATTTCATTTGATCCTGGAAGGACACTCAGTCGCCTATAGGGGCACCTTTTTTCGCATGGGACGGCAGTTCGTCTTTTGCTTTGAAAAAGGCTCTCGGCCATAATGCAAATGCTCTGAGAATGACTGCAAGTGTTCCGATCTGGAAAATGTTTCTTGAATAAATTTAATTCAATTTAAGAATATGAAAAATTCGAACGAGATCTTTACTACGACTAGATCTGCAGGTGGATTGAATGAAACCTCCATCGGCACAAAAGTCAACCGTGCCTACAAATCCAGGAAGACCCAAAAATCCGGCATTTGTGTGGATAACTTCAACTTGCACTGCGTCCGAAGCGTCCAGACGCTGACCAGAACTTCTTCTCCGGATAAGTGGCTTGGCAGGATCAAGTGCTTAAAGAGAGAGTAAAATTGGAAATCAAGAGTTTTATGAATTTGAAATGAATAAAAAGTAATAATACGAGTTTTGTAAGACAGAAATGAAATGATGATTTAATTGAAAAGGGTAATAATTGTTTAAATTGTAAATTAATTCAACTTATAACCTTAAAAGTGAAAGAGAATTTTGTAGGATGTATTAACATTGAATTTTTTTTAGCGAAATAAATACAAAAAAATTATATAGGAAACGCCTGAAGTTCAATTTAAACATCATAAAGTTCATCATTTCCACTTCATCATCTACAGCATTTTTTTTTTTTTTTTTTTTACCAATAATTCTGTTGAGCTTGGTGGGTAAATAATTTGCTGTGATGCCGCAAACGTGCGCCCCTAAACTGTGCCCAACACAAGTGACATCCACAGACTTGACCCCAGTGGAGCGCTCAAGAAAAGCAAGCATGTGGGCAGTGCATTTGCTCATCGCCATCAAGTTGTAAACCGATTCGGTGAAGCATGGGGTCTTCATTAATATCGCAAAGTCCGCGTTGATCACGTTGTACTCGCCGGTTCTTAGGTATGCTAATAATTTTCAGTTTTAAATTACAATAACCACGAAAAGAAAATATCGACAAAGATAGTCTTAAAAAAATTTTAAAAAAATTCTTGCTCAAGCAATTTCTGTTTCTTTTAAACAAAGGACTAGTGAAATATTGCGACAAAATTAATTAACAATTGCTTGGAAAAAATATACCTGTTCTGAGAATCGGTGTCCCTCCGCTCTGGTCGCCTGTTCCATACCCGTGGATCAACAAAACCGTTTTCTTCGTAATGTTAAAATTGTTATTGGCAAACCAATTTGCGTTTGTTGTGTCGATCAATGCGCGCTCTCTGTTTAATCTGAGGTTAAAATTTTAAATTTTAATAGAATTTCAGTTGCAAATAAATTTGCAAAATATTTTACGAGGTGTAGAGATAGAATGGAACCAGAGAATTTGGACAAGTAACAGATTCTGATAATTTTACGCAGGTGGATAACGTCCCAGTGACAGTCGCGTTGCCTATCATTGTCAAATTATTTGCGTCCGGGCTCGTGGATAGAATCCTGTTCATGTCGTTGTTCTCCAAATTCTGGTGGTTAAATTTAACCCCTGAACAGAGCACTTAAAATTTAATTGTGCATTAATCTGCATGCGGGTTAAAAAGGATTTTTTTTTAAATTTACCTGCCGCTGCAGCCAACAAGATCCAAAACAGTGCAAAAACCCGCATCATGGGTACTGATGTGGTGAAATTTTTAAATAACGCCAAAATTATTGCGGTATTTTCCATATAAAGTTGAAAAATGCTGAGTAAAAAATTATCCAAGAAGAATATGCGGTGGGAAATTTTTCGTAATTTACATGTTCCTTTTGCGAAAAGCTGAGATGCAAATATGAAACTAGAACCCAGAGGCTTCTTATTGTGCTCCAATTTGCTAAAGATCATAAAAATGACACACATCTGAGATAAGGGAGATAAAATGTTTATTTAATTTCAACTACGGAATGAATTGTTTTATCTATTATTACATTAACCTTTTTTCTTTTTTCAATTGATAAGGATACACAATTGTATTGCTTTGTCCAACATTCTAGAATTTTTTAATTAGAAAGACCAATACAAATTATATAAATGACCTCAATTATCAGTTAAATATAACGCTAATAATACAAGGTAGCGTAAAAATGATAATTGATGATTTTTTTTAAATAAAGTTGAACTCAATAATAATAATAATAATTTGGTTGTGCCTTCTGCACCACTGCTAATAAAGGGCACAGGCCGACAAGACTTTGTCTTGGCCTGACCCTAATAATAATAATAAAATTGGATTGGAATGACTTGGCATTATTTTGCGCAAAAATTTTCAAATTAAGATAGGGTAGAATCAGCCCAAAACTCCTCTCTACACGAATCTGTTAATTCTGATATAAAACAAGCATCAATCATCATTATTAGTCAAACGCTTTGCCAAATTTAAACAGCCTTTTCGTGGGGAGAAAGTTAGAAATTAAAATTAAAAAGGTCGTCTCATAAAATAGTTTCCCAAGTTTGAAATAGTAGATTCTGCACACAAAGAAGGCGTTTTCTTGCCGCGTCGAAAGGCGTGTATTTTTTCTCATTTAAAATGAAACGTGATTTTTTTATGTCGTTTATCATTCCTTTCTTCCTAAAGAATCGTTCTTGAGAGATAATTGAACACTCTTTGTCGATCCGAAATCAGTAAAATAAAAATAATAATAATAAATAGCGTATTTATTGAAAAATAATAAATAATCGGAAAATATGTTCAAACTTTAATATCCCAAAATTATATTAAAATAAAATCCTTAATACTATCATAAGATGAGCCTTAAAGCACTTACAATTAATTGTTAAATTTCATATCTTCTGTAGAAAACTCAGTGAATTACAGTAGCTTTTTTATGAGCAAATAAATTTTATAAATTCATGCTACCCTAGCTTGCCTTGAGCACTTTGTTAGTAATTGATGAAAGGTAAGGTTAATAAACCTGGTGGTGAGCAGCACAGACATTGCCTTAATACGATTACGTTCGGTCTCAAATCTATAAATGGCAGGTCGGACGTAATTAAATTTTATAAGCGATCGGCCGGCGAACACTCGGCGCGAAGAGAGTAAATCAAGCATAGTTGATCAAAAGTAATATCATGTGCTGCAGCTGCAAATGAGGAAAAGCTGCTCTCGTCTCGACGGAGCTTTCACACTTCTTCTCTTCTTCGTCTTATTGCAAAGAGAGACAATAACACAAAGAGCCGCGCGCTCCAAACTGGTATATCGACGGAGAAATGAGAGAGTGCTGGACTCGAGAAAGGTGAACGACATTTTCACTGCGAATGCGTGGACTAATAAAATTCACCAGAATGGGAACATTTGATTATTTTCCTACAGATACATATAAAAGACCACGCGTTGTTCAAATAAAGTAAGAGCGAGTTTAGTAATGAGACGAAAAGTAGGACAACCACTTTTTTTTTACAAAACAAACGCTATTTTTATTATTGACAAAAAGTTCACTAACAACAATTATACAACATTGGTACTCTGAGGTGGGTGTTCAATAAATATCTGCAGAATAATAATAAAAAATCTTCTATTTCTTGATCTTGATGCAGCACCTGAGGTCGCCGAATTCGGCGTCCCTGGCCACAGCGCAGTAGGGTGCGTCTTCGGTGTTCAAACAATACATTCCCGTGGCGCTGAAAAAGCAAAACAAAAATAATGAAAAACAAAAATTAGTTATTTATTTTTATTAAAAACAAGTCATAGTTATTTAATTAACTAATTTTATCCAGTAAAATAAATGAAAATTTATTAAATTATTCACACAATTCTGATTAATATTGATCAAATTGTGTGCAAGTATCGTTTTGTGTCTTTTCATTTTTTAAAATTGCCAAATTTCCATTCTATTGCAAATCAGGAATAAAATGTGACTTCCCAAGACGTGTTGCGAGAGAATAAATTAATTAAATTGAATCTTAATTTTACACACTACAATTTAAAGTAAAAATTAATTGGAGTATTCTTGAAATGTTTCACATTAAAAATCAAAACTTAGTTTAAAAATTCGCTTTTTAATTAAAAAAAAAAATGAAACTTTTTCACTAAGCTGTAAAAAACTACACGCCAAAATTATCAAGCTCCAACATTTTAACAGTAAAAATGGCATGATTTTATTTTATTTGCTCCGACAGTCTGAAATGAACGAGTTAAATTTCGCGTTGCTGAGAGTGACCGGCCGGAAAATGCGCACCACTTACTAATTGCAAAAAGAAGAATACGCGGACGAAACCTTGGCAGTGACTCGTTTACCTTCAGAACGAGCGGCAGCGCGATGAGATATATTAACAAACCCTGCCCACTTGCTCCGCCGCCCAGACACAACGGGCAATCAAGTTTTATGGTCATTAGATTTTTTGCTCTTTCTATATAATCCGGCCGCGAATATAATTTCATATTAATCGGTTTTTACGGTTTAATGGTCGAACAATAAGAAGTATAACAACGCCTTTCTCACCTCTCGTCCATGGAAGCGCCGAAGATGACGGGCTCGGCCTCACGCTTGGTGCCCCGCAGGGGTTGGGGGCAGCGGTTCAAACAGGGTTCCGCCTTGCGTTCGTGACCGGGGAACAGAGACTCGGAAAAGTAGCACACCGACGAAGCGTGGCTGCACAACTGACGGTCTGAAATTAAGAAAAAATTTTGATTAATATTGTGAAAACTGCAAAATTAACATAATCAATTAGAAGAAATCACATATTTGAACACAGAAAAAAATTTGTTAAATATCAATACAAAAATTATTCGAAAGAAAAACATCTTGTTAAAAAATACAACTTTTTCATAAAAAAAAAAGAAAATTAAGAAGCATTTTTATCTAATAAGGTGCGTAAAAATGATGTAAAATATTCAATAACCTATATTGATAGGTAAAATCATATATTTGTGAGAAAAAACTATCAAGCAAAGTTTAAATTAAGAATAAATTATATAGAAAATTAGAAATTAAATTCAAAGATTGCAAAAATATTTGGAAAAGCATAATTATTAAGCTGCAATATTTACGAAAATAAATTTTCAGTTAATTTGAATTTAATATATCTGTACGAATGTAGTTCAAAGAAGAAAATTCTGTAATTTGTATAAATCAACAACTTTCAACTCTCGCTTTTGGGGAGATCACAAATTTCTCTCTTACTTTGCGCATCCTTGCAAGCAGGCTGCTTTCCATTGTTGACACAGACGTCGGCCTTTCCAACAACTTCACCCTCGCCGTAGCGTCTCGTGTCGGTGTGGACGGCGTGGACGACTTCAGCGTCAGCCTCATCCAATCTCTTGTTGGTGTTTCGGCGGTTGAAACGAGCACCGGCAGGGTCAAGAGCTAAAACAAACAATAATATAAATATAAATAATTTTGCGACTTTTAATATACACATATAAATAAGTATGTGTAACTTATTTATTTTATTTTAATTATTTATTACATAAAATTTAATTTTTTTTTTAATAATTTAATCTATTCAATTTTTATAAATAATTTAATTTCTTTTGCAATGGCATTATAACGCAAATAACATTATATAAATCAAATAAATAATCAAACCCATGTCCCCATCAATACTCATCATTGTCAGTGAAACCAAATATCAACCAAACTTCGATCCCCAACATAAGAAAATTGATTGATTACTAATTTAAGAAATAAAAAATTTAAAAGCTGGACTTTCAACAATAAAGAAAATAAATTAAATTTGGATTCAAAAATAAAAATTTCAATAGTATTATAACCTAACTTTTTTATCCCAGTAATTTATGTAAATTTATTTGAATATTTATTTTTATTTACCAACAATCCTGCTCATCTTTTTGGGGATAAAGTTGGCGACGAGACCGCAAATGTGGGCGCCCAGACTGAAACCGACGCAGGTGAATTCCTCGGTGGCCACGCCGCGTTGCTGGAAGTAGTCGAAGACGGCGGCCGTGCACTTGGCGATGGGCTCGGCGTTTTGCTGGGCGGCGCGGTCGCAACGCTCCTTTACCAAAGTCGGGTAGTCGGCGGTGATCAAGTTGTAGGAACCGTTCTTGATGTAGGCTGCAGATCAGTCGAGATAATGAGATAAAAAATTTGCCAAAATTAAGTAAATTGACTGACCATCTCTGAGGATGACGGTGGGCATCACGTTCTCGCCGCCCTGGTAGCCGTGGAATAGGAACACGGTGGGCTTTTCGCTGTCGAAGCCGCTTTTCGCGAACCACTCCTCAGAGGTCACGTCGATCTTCACTTTCTTCGCCTCACTGTAATTAAAAAATAATAATGATAAGAATAATAATAGTTTAATCTTATTGCAGCATAAATAGTTGCTTTTTGTGTGAATCAGAAACAGGCAATTTAAGTAAAAATTATTTCTGCAATTAACATGTTGCTTTTCATTCAAACGTGAGACTAAATAATACTCATTAATTTTACTTCATGAGGATTTGAAATATATTTCTCTCGCTTTAATTAAAGAATGCTTTCTTATGACTATTTTAGCCGCAAAAGAACACTCGTTAAGAGTAAAAAATTTATTATTTTTTAAAAACAATTTCAAATTTTTATACAAATATAAAAATTGTAGTTTTATTTATAATAAATACTCAATATTTTGTGTTAATTAAATTTTTTTTTAATTATTACTTTTTTAAAGAATATATTTAATTAAAAAACAAAAATAAATTTAGTCGTACACCGACCAAATTTTAGAAAATTAAATTTAATTAAATAATTTTAATTAATATTTAATGAGCTTAAATTTTATCTGTATAGTTTGATTGCGTGCCAGTGAATTTTTTCGTCAATGAATAAAATTATTTCCGTATTCTGATATTGAAGAAACAACTTAAGAATTAACATCTAATTTGACTATTTAAACGTTTTAATTTTACTCACCCGCTGTACAAATAGTACTGGATGTCATTGTCCGGGCAGGTGAGGGTGGGCTTCTTTCTGACGCAGTTGAAAAGATTGCCCAAGTTGGGGAGTTCGGCGGCGGCAGCAGGGGGTGCTTCAGTCTCAGGAGCTTCGGTTTCGCCCTCGGCCAGGGCCTCCTCGACGGGGCCCTCGCCCAGTTTGAAGGTCGAAATGTCGTGCACGTCCTCCTCGGCGAAAACTGAAACGGCCAAATTTCGATCTCAAAAATGAAGAATAAGATTTCGGAAGTTTTCTCTTCGAACCTGCGAGGAAGGCGACGGCGGCGAGCGCAGCAAATGTGAGCACCAATTTGGCCATGGTGCGCCGAGAGCAGAGTGCGTGCCCTGGATGCTGCGGTCCTTCTTTTATACCGCCGATATTCTCCTTAACGGGATTTTCGGTGCTCTTATAATACATTTTGCATGCGTCTCAAATTGTTCCTCCTCCGTCCACCCATCCCGTCCGCTCGATATTCATTTTAACCCAAATCGGAACGAGTTATCTTGATAGTGCCACATATTTAAATGAGCGAGCGCCAAAGGGTCAATCGCCTCTCTCAGCCTGACGTGCAATAAACAAAAGTTGTAACAGTGCGTGCGAGAGATTTCTCTCCGCCCGCTTATCAGTTCGACCGGTCATGATTTGACCGTGTTTGCATCGCGCTTATTCTTTTTTCGCCAAAGGAGCAGAGAGTGCTCCAGAAAATCGCTCCAAACCAGTATGCGAAAATTTTCAGCACACAAACTTGTTCTCCTTCAACAAGTCGAGTTTATCGGCTATTTAATTTGAACTCGATCGTCGTGAAAGACGTTTATATTTGTTTATTTTCTTTTTATTTAACAAAAACTCTCACAGGTAAAAAATAAATTACGTTTTTTTAATATAAAAAATTAGAAAAAAGTAGCCCTTTTTCTCTCTAGAGATAATCGTCTTCAAATCGGTTCCACATCTTCCATCTTCGTTGCGTTCGTCGTTCGCTTAGCATTTGTCCAATCCTCTTTCTTGTTTTATTTGGGTAGACGGGACAGCACCTTTCATCCCCAAAAGTAGGGTCAGTTTCATCAGCGCCCAGGCAATAGGGAGGAAATTCATTTTTCACGCAGAAAGTTCCAGTAGCACTAGAAAATTGTTTTTTTTTTTTACTTTCAAAATATTTTAATTGATTATTTTATAACAAGTTTTGATTTCATAAAAATAAAAAAACGGAAATGAGAAAAACAAATTTATCCCTTGTAAAGAATTTAAATAAAAAAAAACTTCAATCTGCTTTTAAGTGAGAAAGTGGTCACTCGAGAGATCAAGGAAAGTTAAACCTGCCCTTTCATCCCTTTAACTATTTTTTTCAATCCTTGGACGTGCGAATTTTCGATCGCAATTTATACAATACCAAAAATTAATTTCAGATAAAAATAATTACTTTTCACATCTACCTCTAAATATTTATTTTTATTTTTAAGAATTTTTTATAATTTTGTGACGTATAATTGCTATTGACTTACTATGAGGGTGTGAATTCGCCCATAGGGACAGGGATGCCTCTGCGATCGAAGAAATTGTTCTGGGGGCACCGGTTGGCGCAGGGCTCGCCCATTTGAGCTCTTTCCTTCCACAAACTCTGCGCCATGTAGCAAACGGCGTGCGCGTGACTGCAAAGCTGTTCATCTAAACTCGGCCGACGGACGAGCCCTTGAGAAGTTAGAAAAATCAGTCGTTCAGAAAATAAAATTCACGCACTTCTCGTCTTTTGGCAATAGGGCTGAGCGCCATTGTTGACGCAGAAATCGATGGTGCCGGTCCAGCCCGTCTGTCCGTAGAAACCGGCGTTGGTGTGAAACACCAGCACCTGCTGGGCGTCCTTCGGATCCAGCTTCTGGTTGTCCCGACGGTTTGACAGCAAAGGACGAGCAGGGTCCAGAGCTTTGAAAATTATTGGAAAATAAGAAAAATTAATAAAGCAGCATAAAATTAATTTCTTTGACAAACAATTCAATATTTAAGTAACTTATTGATTCTTTACTTTTTAACTGATACATGAAGAATTAAGAAATTAGTAGTGTTATCAAAGGTTATGAAACGTGGGTTTGGAATATCCATTTACCAATGATTCTCTCCAGTTTTTCAGTTACGTAATTGTCGATCAGTCCGCAAATGTGGGAGCCCAAACTGAATCCCACGCATGTAAATTTTTCTGTGTAAACGTTGTTCAGTCGGAAATAGGAGAGCATGTGGCTGATGCATTTGGCCACCGGCTTCAGGTTGTTCACCGCTTGCACATAACACGGTGTCCTCACCAATGGGCCGTAATCCACGGTGATTAGGTTGTAGGTTCCTAATTTGATGTAGGCTGGAAATTGGAATATATATTCAAAATCACTTATTTGTGTCATGAAAAAAGTAAAAATAAATATTATATTTCTTTTACTTAGTTGAAAGTGGGGTGTATAAATTTGTATAATTAATTTCCTCGCAATTTTTTTTGTATCAATATGGATAAATTATTTTCATATAACGATTTTTCTTTATTACATTTGAAATTATTTTTATCATTTTTATAAAAGCTCTATTCACCATGTAAATTTGCACTCCTAAGCCAGGAGTACATCAGTGGTTTTTCCAGCAAATAAAAATGTGCTTCCCAATAGGAATAAGTTAGTCAATCTGATTGCAAAATCAATGAATTTGGTTAAACTAGAGCTACGATTTTTATTCTACTTTTGGAATTGTGTTACTCTTCTTTGAGGTTCAAGCTATTTTGACCGGTTCAACGCACACGGATACGAATTTACTTGAGCATTATTAATAAAAAAAAAATGTCATCTTTCACATTCAAGATTAAATTTTTCCCATATTTCGAACTTTGATTGAAGTCTCTTGATCTAGCTGTGCGATTTTGCCTCGTAGTGAATTAATCATTATTAACTTTTTTCGCTTTACATACCATTTTTTAAAACGACTGTGGGCATCAGCGAGTCGCCGCCTCGGTATCCGTGCACCAGCATCACCGTGGGTGCGTCAGGGTTGAATTGGCTCTGCGCAAACCACTCAGGGTCGGTCGTGTTGATTTCGTCGGCCTCTCCTGAGGTTCTGCACAAAGAGTTCAAATGTGTCAGCAGAAGATGGAATTAAACCCTGCGACCGCCGCTCAATAACTTTTGTCTGCCACCATAGACCAGAGCGCAGACACAGATTGCTTACCCGACGTAGAGATAAAACCGAATGTCAGGGTCAGGACACTGCAGCTTTTCGCTCTTCTGCAGACAGTCTTTGGATGAGTTGCCCGTCTTGTTGTCTCTGTCCAGGAGGAACATGTCGCCGGGAACATCTTGCCGCAGTTGTCGCAGCGCATCAAGTTGTCCACTGCATAATGGGAATCCTAAAAAAAATGCAAATAAATTTTTTTACTGCAAAATGAATAAATAAATTTTGGATTTCAATTTTATAGGCAAGTTTTTTGTTAAACTATCTTTAATTTTAAATACAAAATTTGGATCCTTAGAATTGATGAAATAATGAGCTTCATTTTCAGAATTGATTTGTTCAAACCATTTAACAGAGTTAATTGATCATTGTAGAGAATTTTCTAAAAAAAAGTGCTACTCAAAATCCGTGTCAGTAAAATTAGGGAAATTTCGAAGCCAAAAGAATTTGTACCAACCCAATCAAATTATCTTCATTTTTCAGTTTACATTGAGAGGAGTTGAGAAGGATACAAAAAAATTTAGTTACAATTTTTACAGTTTTGTTCTGAACGAAATTTTTTCCAAATTATTTAAAAACACAAAACATATTACTTTGAGTTTTAAACTAATTTTTATTTTTAGCGATTTTGAGTATTTTATATATTTTTTCATTAATTTTCCATACTTTAAATATAAAATAAAAGCTATTTTCTAATGTTTTTATTACGTTGCAAACTGAAACAATTCATTTGCTTTCAAAACATGACTCGTCCTCTCGTGTAATACGAAGGATCGATTTTCACTTCCTACAACAACATTAAATGAGGGTAATAATTGCGTAAGGGCACTTAGTAAGTCGCGTTTGCAAATCTTTTTGAGCCCACCTAACAATTAGTTGTGCAAATATACACGCCGAGAACGCACGTGGCCTTTCCTACATACAATATTATATTGAATGAAACGCTTTTCCTTCATGTAATAATTCCGCGTGTAGGTCGAAAAATGCAGAAAGATACAGTTAAGCCGCCGCGACTTGTTCAGAAGAGGATTTCTCAATTAAAACGACACCTGTTTGTTATTCTTCGAGATGCGTGACATTGAATGTAGCGAAGCGAGGTGAGTGCATTAGAGTTCTAGCGGCGCAGCTTCCTATGTGTAAAAACCCTTCTCGGCTGCCAGAACTGTGTCTTACACAAGTTAACACATTAGGAAACCTTGTGATATAATAGTGAGACGAGATCTCCTTCTGGCGGGTTACAAGAAAAGTTCATTAGGAGCACGGCTTTTTTAGGAATTATATAATTCGCTCTTGAGTCGATTGATGGCGAGAAGGTTATTGGGTTGGTTTTTCCTTATTCAATATTCCAGAGAAAGAAAATAAATAAAATGAAGGAAATGCAGAAATATTTGTGGTTTTGGTAAAATTAGGAGGTACTCTAAAAACACGTTAATTTTAAGATCAAGCATTTTAAATATCTAAATTTTATATTGCTTAATTAATAGGTTTGATTTAAAGTTGATTTGACGATTTTATAAATTTTATACGCAGGCAGACGTTAAGAAAAATGTATTTATCATTTAAGGAAATTTCCCTTAAGAGTGATGAACGTTTAAAAATATATTCAGCTTTCAAGATATGGAAATAAATATTGTCATCTAAATCACCCTGGTTGATTTTAAGCTGATTAGACTAATGAAATAACGTCAGGAAAGTAATCAAAATTTAATTTTTACTTAATATGTAAAATTCGCTTGCTAGCGGTGGCTAAAAAAATCGTTTTTCAGAAGGAAAAAATGTTTTCGAAAAATTAATTTAAATAATGAGATTCAGCAATTGTATATAAATAAAGAACAATAAGTTTAATGATTTATTAAAATTTATTTCCACCCAATAATTTCTCACTTACTTTATAAATGAAAAAATCTCTGCTGTAAGAAATGCGAATCTAACAAGTAGACCCTATTTCCTGTCCAGCCTCAAACTAGTCTCTCATTTTCTCTAACGTGTCTCGAAACAATAAATACGGCGTTTGAGAGAGCAAATAGATAAAGTGTCTCGTTTAATGGGAGTGCGCGAAATGAAAGGCTCACCTGCAAGGTAGGTGGCGGCGACCAGAAAGGTGGCCGCGGCGGTCCAGTGGGCCAAAGTGAGCCGGGCGCAGGAGGCCATAATCACTCGCCGCAGAGCCTCGGCGTCGAGTGAAACCCCAGAAGATAGCGGTACACCAGCGAGGCACACCGAGAGCAGTCCCTGCCGCCAGCATCTCGTCTTTTTTGGAGGTTGTGTTAAAAAAAAAAGAATCGTGCGTAATTCCAATTGGCCGGCCGATGAGAATTATTTATTGCGTTGCCATCAGAAGAGTTAAAAAAGCGCGAGAGGTCATTCCGCAACCACGCCGTGGTGAGCACGGCCAGGAAATTTCAGATATGAAATTTTATGATATTTTATACAAATGGTTGCTTACATGGAACACACACGCCTCTCACCGAATCTTGATTTACGTCAATTATGTTCAAGGTGATTCTCGTATGTTTATCTTTGCAAATTTTCATCCCATCGTTAATGTCAACAACAAAAATTATTTAAAAACAACAATTAATATCAGAAACCTAAAAATCTATTTTTTACTCGCAAAAAATTGAAACTTAAAAACCGTTGGCTATAATGACAGGAATTTAAAATATTGAGATGTAAGCAAGTCTTTTTTTTCTTGGTGTTATTAATGCCTACACATTCACACATCAACCTCGGTTTACAATAAAATATTTTTTTCATTTTTGTAATTCTCATTTATTCATAAAAAGCGTCAAAATTAACAAAAATCATGACTGTCGAACCAATTTGGAATAGTAACATATTTTTTTCATTTAATTTTTATCATTTTTCAAAATTAACGTTAAAAAATATGACCCATAATTCACATTTTATTACAATAAAATTAATTCCAATTCAAATCAGTTTAATCTATTATTTTCATTTTTCATTATCAATTTGAACCATATTTTATGCATATTGTAAATCTTCAAGCGTCGTCGTTAATCTTTGCAAAATGTTTACAAAACCTTTAAGAAAAAATGAGCAGTGTTTTCACCTTCCTGATTTTAAGTGCTAAATTTAACCGCATTCTTAATTTTTTAAATAAAAATTTCATTGAAAATCTGCCATTTAAAACCTGCAATTATGTACCTCATTTGCAAAACAGGGAAGGCTACTTAAGTAAATTTATTTATAAATGAAATTGAAAGTGTACCAGACCTTTAAAGCAAAAAGCATCTCATTTCGCCCACTCATCGCGCTCTCGCATTGCGCATTGCACAGGTTTAAATTGCAAATAATCAGGTAGTGACGACACCGTCGCGGTTAACACCAGTTATTTTCAGCTAATTATGCCACTCGTCTAAAGCTGTTACGTTGTGCAACTTGATTCAAACTAAAGACCATCTCGACTTTCAGATTGAAAACTATTTTATTTGAAAAAAATTACGGGCAAATCTTGATAATATTCCTATCAAGATTGGCGTGTTTATTTGTCAAAACCGGCGTGGTGTTGAGTTAAGTTTCAGTTTGCGGAACATTTATCAAGATTAGTGGTAATTTAATTTGGAGCGCAGATTGCACCAATATAGTTCTTGGCTGTGGCGAAAATGTAAATATAAAAACACCAAACACTCTCACTTTCGGGGTCAAACTTATATTCCGTTCAAATAATTTTCTGGTCAACTTTTTATGTAACAAAAATCCTCACAGGTAAAAAATAAATTATGTTTTCTTAATTAGACAAGCAAATAAAGGTGAAAAACCTTTTTTCAGTAAAGATAATCGTCTTCAAATCAGTTCCACATCTTCCATCTTTGTTGCGTTCATCTTTAGCTTAGAATTTGTCCGATCCGGTTTTCTTGTTTTATTTACGGGACAGCACCATTCATCCCCAAACGTAGGATCAGTTTCATCAGCGCCCAAGCAATAGGGAGGAAATTCATTTTTCACGCAGAAACTTCCAGTGGCACTAGAAAAGTGACAAGTTTTTCTTCAAATATTTTTATTGATGATTTAACTAGAAGAACTTTTTGGATTTCATAGAAATTTAAAACTTAAATTTGTTCTTTTGAGAATCCGAAAATGATATATCACTCATGACTGAAATCGAGTTTTTTTTTCATCAAAAATTCCATCTATGAAGGGTTGAAACAAGGGCTGAAAGGGAAGGTACACCCTTAACGATAACGAATTTCAGAGCTATTACGAATTTTAGAGTAAAAATCATTACTTTTCTCATAAGTCACATCAACCTCTTATCTTCTATTTTAAATTTTAACGTATAATTCTTTTTTGAATAATGTCGTGAAGCATAATTTCTACTGACTTACTATGAGGGTGTGTATTCGCCCATTAGGACAGGGATGCCTCTGCGATCGAAGAAGTTGTTCTGGGGGCACCGGCTAGGGCAGGGCTCGCCCATTTGAGCCTTTTCTTGCCACAAACTCTGCGCCATGTAGCAAATGGAGTGCAGGTGACTGCAAAGTTGTTCATCTAAACTCGGCCGATGGACGAGCCCTTGAGAAGTTAGAAAAATCATTTGTTCAGAAAATCAAGTTCACGCACCTTTGGTATATTTGCAGAAGGGCTGCGCGCCGTTGTTGACGCAGAAGTCGATGGTGCCCGTCGAGCCTGTCTGTCCGTAGAAACCGGTGTTGGAGTGAACCACCACCACCTGCTGAGCGTCCTTTGGGTCCAGCTTCTCGTTGTCCCGACGGTTGGACAGCAAAGGACGAGCAGGGTCCAGAGCTTTCAAAATTATCGGAAAATAAGCAATATTAATAAAAATGGAAATAAAATTTGTTTACCGTTACAAGTATTTTAATATTTAATTTTAATTAACTAAATTAAAAGAATTTTATTGATATTTTTTACTATATTAAAGTACTTTCCAAATTTATTGTCATCAAAAGTGGGTTTGGAATATTTATTTACCAATGATTCTCCTTAGTTTTTCAGTTACGTAATTGTCGATCAGTCCACAAACATGGGCGCCTAAACTGAATCCCACGCAAGTAAATTTTTCTTTGTTCAGTTGGAAATAGGAGATCATGTGGCTGATACATTTGGCCGCCGGCTTCAGGTTGTTCACCGCTTGCACATAACACGGATCCGTCACCAATGGGCCGTAATCCACGCTGATTAGGTTGTAGATTCCTCTTTTGATGTAGGCTGAAAATTGGAATTTTTAATTTCAAATCACTTAATCACGTGGCAAAGTTTGTAAAAATATTTTAATAGTTTGATACTGTTGATGGTGAAGTGTGTAATTAAATTCCGCAGTATGCAAATTTAAAAAAAAATATTATTAATCAAGTAATTTCTATAATTAAATTTGAAATTATTTTATAATATTGATGTCTCTATATTCACTATGTAAATTTTCACTTGTACAATCTGCCGCTCTCTGCGACAAGGAGAAAAATCACCCCTTGCTAACCGAATAATAACGCGCGCGATAAAGAAATTCACGTATTTAAATAGGGCGAAGAACAATTTATAGCACTTTAATTTAAAGAGAATATGGACGCATTTTAAACAACAAAAATTAAAGCCACTAGAAAAATGGAAGTTGACTTTTGAGAAAAGTAGAAATTGAGTTTTGAGAAAAGTAGAAGTTAATTTTGAGAATTACAGAAGTTGAGAAAAGGAGGTAAATAAGGAAAGTTTTATTTTTCTCGGCACCTGCACTGCGGAAATTGGGTCGGGCAACCCTTTGGGACCAACGAGGGCGGCGCGATTTGATGTCGCTCACCCGACGGGGCAGACCAGCACAGTCATAAAAATATGCTTCTCACTGGGAGTTAGTTCTGATCGTAAAATCACTCTGAATTTGGTTAAACCAGGACTCTGATATATGCTTCTTCTGGAAATGTAATATTTACACTTCTTTTCTTTGAGGGTCAGATATTTTGGCAAGGAAATGATAAGTCCAGTTAAACGCATAAGGATACAAATTTTAACGCAATTTTGATATTAATTGTCACCTTTCATATTCTGGATTAAATTTTTAGACTTATATGGGACTTTAATTGGTCTCTTAGTGATTTTGCCCCATTATAGATAAATCATTAATAACTTTTTTTATTTTTATACCATTTTTTAAAACGATTATTGGTATCGAGTCGCCACCTCCTTGCATGAGCATCACCGTGGGTGCGTCAGGGTTGAATTGGCTCTGCGCAAACCACTCAGGGTCGGTCGTGTTGATTTCGTCGGCCTCTCCTGAGGTTCTGCACACAAAGTTCAAATGTGTCAGCAGAAGATGGAATTAAACCCTGCGACCGCCGCTCAATAACTTTCGTCTGCCACCAAAGACCAGAGCGCAGACACAGGATTGCTTACCCGACGTAGAGATAAAACCGAATGTCAGGGTCAGGACACTGCAGCTTTTCGTTCTTCTTCAGACAGCCAGCCTTGGACGAGATGTCCGTCTTGTTGTCTCTGTCCTGGAGGAACATGTCGCCGGGTAAAACTTGCCGCAGTTGCCGCTGCGCCTCAAATTGTCCACTGCATAATGGGATTCCTTAAAATATTTGAATAAATTTTATTTCTGCAATTCATGAATAAGTTCATCTTCTGGATCTTAATTTTATACAAACGTCTCTAAAAAGTATCTTTCCTACAAAATTTGAGTCGTTTGAATGAATGAGAGTTTTATTTTTAGAATTGATTTGTTCTAACAATTAGCACAGAATTTTCCTATTTTTAAGAGGAATTTTATGAAAATATTTCTCTTTCAAAATCTTTATTGACTAAAATTCATAAAATTTGTATCGCCCCAATTAAGGTATAATCTTGATTTTTTTTTAGAACACACTTATAGCGTTTTGAAAAATTTTGTATAAATTATAACAATAGATGATGACTGAAAATATTATTTTGAGTTTTTTCACCTGCAAGGTAGGTGGCGGCGACCAGAAAGGTGGCCGCGGCGGTCCAGTGGGCCAAAGTGAGCCGGGCGCAGGAGGCCATAATCACTCGCCGCAGAGCCTCGGCGTCGAGTGAAACCCCAGAAGATAGCGGTACACCAGCGAGGCACACCGAGAGCTGTCCCTGCCGCCAGCATCTCTCGTATTTTTTGGAGTTTTTGTTAAAACAAAATCGTACGTAATTCCCATTGGCAGGCCGATGAGAATTATCTATTGCGTTGCCATTCAGAAGAGTTAAAAAAGCTGAATAGGTCATCTCGCAACAGACGGCACGCCGTTTTGAACACGGCCAGGAAATCTCAGATATTGTATACAAATGGATGCTTAGACGGAACACACGCGCCTCTCACCGAATCTTGATTTACATCAATTATGTTCAGGGTGATTCTCGTATGTTTATATTTTTTTCTAATTTTTCATCTCTTTGTTGAAATCAACAACAAATGAATTTAAAAAAAGTCATAAAAATTATCAACCTTTTAATCTATTATTTTAATTCAATATTTAAAAAAAAAACTTTTAGCCATAGTCAAAAGAATTAAAAAAAATCCAGATAAGCATGATTTTTTTGCTTGGTGACAATTTAGTGTCAATTGAATGTTTATTGGGTTCCAATGAGGGCAACTAAAATTTATGCTTACATTTAAATCATTTAAGTTTTTTTGGGGGGGGGGGGGGGGCAGGCGAAGACAAAGTGTCTTATCGGCCTGTGCCCTTATTTGAGCTTGCGGAAGGCAATCTTTAATCTTATATTAATGCGTATTTATTTATATTCTTCTTAAGTGTAACCTCAAATTGCATTATACATTTTTTCATTTTTAATTCTCATTTCATCATTAAAAACCAAAAACGGTTTAACAAAATTCATCAGGCTGAAGCAATATGCAATATTGTTATTATTTTTTTGTTCTTTATAACAATTATCAAGAGGTAAAAAACATTATTTTTATTAATCAATTCGAAAAGTTGTGTAATTTTAAATATTTATGAATCTTTACGAAAAAATTCTTTAATTCAACAAAAATGTCAATGCGGTAAGCAACGTTTTCATCTTTATGAGCTTCATCTTCTTTCAATTTAAAAAGAATTCATCAATCGTCTGCAATTTAAAACCCGCATTTACACACCTCCATTGCAAAACGGGAAACTGCTTAAAAAGTATATTTATTTCTAATTGAAATTGAAAGTGTAGCAGAGCCTTTAAGCAAAAAGCATCTCATTTCGTCCACTCAACGCGCTCGCGCATTGCACAGGTTTAAATTGCAAATAATCAGGTGGTGACGACACCGTCGCGGTTAACACCAGTTATTTTCAGCTAATTATGCCACTCGTCTAAAGCTGTTGCGTTGTGCAACGTGATTCAAACTAAAGACCATCTCGACTTTCAGAAGGAAAACTAATTTATTTGCAAATAATTAAGGGCCAACTTTGATAATCAAGAATAGTGTTTATTTGTCAAAACTGGCGTAGTGTTGAGTGAGGTTCAGTTTGCCAAACAATTATCAAGATTAGTTGTTAATTTAATTTGGAGCGCGGATTGCACAAACAGTGGTGTGAATATCTTGACTTGACGAAAATCATGTAAATATAAAAACACCAAACACTCTCACTTTCAGAACCAAACTTATATTCCATTCAAATAATCTTCTGGTTCAATAGTCGTGGTCAACAGAAGTCCAGTTTTCTCCATATCGGAAATTTCCTCCTCGTCCTCTAACAAATCGATTCCTAAACTGTATGGCGCCTCCTTTCCTGTGTTGACTACAAACACTCCGCGGGCACTGAAAAGAAAAAATAATAAGTTTAATTTAATTGGAAACCCACTCAGGAAGAGGAATTTTTAATATTTCTTAATTCTAACAGATTTAATAAAATTTAATTTATTAATAATTAAATGTTTAAAAAAAATTTACATTGACAATGAGTCTACAATTGTGTTTACTCTGATTTAAAAAATTTGAGTCTAAGGATAACTTCTTTGGTCTATTCAGGAAAAAATACTATACTATATGCATATTTTTTAAAACGCACTTTACCTGGGCCCTTTGAATTAAAATTTAAGAGCAATTGTTCTTTTTTTATTATTATATTTTTTTTGCAAACTTTTTTATCTCTTTAAAATTTTGTACTAACCCTTGAGGGCAGTACTCGCCCATCACTATGGAATCCTTCTTTGCCGTCTTCTCATCGCACCATCCCGCTGCGTAATACAGAAAACTCTGGCAAGGGTACCCGAAAAATCCTCTCGCACTTTCCAAAATTGACTCGGCGAAATAAGTGGGCGCCAGCAGATGACTGCACACCGCCGGTCTGTCACCTAAATTTCAAATGAAGCAATAAATTAGCTAGTTCATGAAAGTAATAAAAAGTTGAAAATAATGAGAGAAAAATAAAAACTTACATAAATAAGGGGGCTTAACATTGTTGAAAAATAATGACAAAAGGAAAAAAAATTTAGTGTGATACCAAAATCCTTGAAAAAAGTGCAAATTGAGTTTAAACTTATTAATATTAAATTGATTAAATATAATTTCCTTCACTCTCAATTTTTTTCCTTTATAGATTTTGCTAATTTTTTTTCCAACGAATTGCTTAAATTATAATTGAGAAAAATCAAAAGGCAAACTAAAGAGCGCAGAATAACCAGTCTTGGGTGGAATTTGCGTGGGAGGATCTGTTGTTAATCTGGATGAAAGCAGGCGGGTGAAGACAGACTTGTTCTTCCTACACCACTTCCACTTTTGTTGCGCAACCTTTAATTATATTCACAACAAAGCTTTGATGGCCACGTTAAATTTATCTTTATATGTGTTGCTATTAAATTTTTATAGCTGGGAGGAAAAATTGTATTATTTGCGTAAGTTTGAATTTGCTTAACTGTTATTGCACGCCGGCTGAGTGGATCCGCCGTTGACATAAAAATCGGCATGACCGACGTTTCCCAGTTTGCCCAATTGGCCCGCGTTCGTGTGGATGACATCAACAAATCGCGCGTCCGACGGGTCGAGTTTCCAAGCGCGGTTCAGAGACTTGAAAAACGGCAAGGCAGGATCCAATCCTTTGAAATTTTATAATTAAATTATTATTGTTAATAATATATTAAAATTTAAGGAATGAAGAAGCCCTAATTGCTCTATAAAAATTAATAAAAAAAGTCTCACTGAAGTTTGTAATATTTTGATTTTGAACTGGTGAAAAATAATTAATTAATTGTATACGCCCTAAGATTTATTTTTAAAATTGCACTTTTCTGAATGAACAAAATATTTACAATACCAGAAAATTACGTCTTCAAGAAATAGTTTATAAGTGTAATATTTTTGTATGCTTGATCTCTATTATGAGCCTTTCTTCCTTCTTCGATTTAATTTCAGTTCTGTTCTGTAATATTTAGAATGTTTTCCAGCAGTCAATTAAGAATTTTTTTTTAAACTTTGAAGCAAATGATGGTTTAAAGGAGAGAGAAAATTGGCTTCCGAAAATTAATACCTTCTAAATTTTAAAATAAATTTAAAAATCCTTAATTATATTTTGCTCCTGCATTAAATTTGGAAGGAAAATGAAATATTTGCTGAGTGACTACTTTTTTCAATTAAAATCTTTGTCTGAAAAGCTGCCTTATAGGAAAATCTCAGCATTAGTTTTCTACAGTCTAATCATTTTTCCTAGATTTTTTTGCAAATCATAACGCCCAACCAGTAATTCTGCTAATTCTGTTGGGCTTGACGTAGGAGCCAGTGAATCCAGCCACGTGGGCGCCCAAACTGAAGCCGACAATGTGGAGCTCGGAGAAGAATTGCCTCGGTGACCCGGTCCACGCAGCGATCTCCTGCAGCGTCTTGGCCGTGCACCGACCCGCCTGCCAGGCGTTGATGACCGCGGTCGGGTAACAGGGGATGTTGGTGTAGGCGCTCCAGTCCAGCATCACCAAGTTCACCGCGGCGCCGTCTTCGATGTACGCTTCAAAAATTTTTAATTGAAGTTTGGCACTAATGCGAAAAAAGGTGACGTCACCTCTGGCGATAGTGTTGATGGGCTTATTATTCAAAGTTCCGTTGTAACCGTGGATGAGGAGCTTCAAAGGGCGGCTAGGGTCAAATCCACTTTCGTCTAATGACGCCGGATTTGTTGAATCTAAGAGATAAAACTCTTCAGCTTCGAGACTGAAATTTAAGATACATTTAAAAAATGAATTAATTAATTAAATTAAAATTCGCTCACTCTCGAACAAAATAAAATTTGACTTTTGCGTTGGAACATGATTCGGAGAGATGGAGGAGACAAGGACCAGCCGATATTTCCAATTTGATTCCATCTGGACCAATTAAAGTGCTTGTCGGCCTATTCAGTATCGGTCGGATGAGACCCGACTGGCACTGTTGAGATAGCAATGCTGTAGAATAAATTTAAAAAATTATAATACATAATAAACAAATACTTAAATAACAATACAAAAATATAAAAGTCATAATAATTAAATTTTTAAAAACAATTTTTAATTTTTAACTTACATTTATATAATTTAAATGATTATATATTTTAAATTTATTTGTAATATATATATTTTATACCTTTTAATTGTTATAAATTTAAATGTATAAATTTTTAATATTTATAAATTAATCCAAAGGTCTCTCACTTTTTAATTAATTACAATTAAATGCACGAGTGCTAAGTTGGTTAAATTCAAACTTGATATTATTGCATATTGTAGGAAAATATAAATTATATACTAAAAAATATCCAAACTTGAATTCACCGTGAATGCCACCATAAAATTTCGCATTTTATTTTTGTTTATTTTTGTTATTTACTCTATTATCTTTTAACAATACAGAAGCAAATCGTAAATATTTAAATTGGATGTCTCACCTAATAAAATAATAGTGACTGAGGTCAGCCAGGTCAACCCACGGTGACCAGCCAAGTCGGAGGCGGCTCGACGTTCGAACGACATTTCTGGCACTGCAGCTATAAAGATGGGCCAGCCGCCGGATTCGCTCCTCCAAACGTCCCGTTACTGAGGCGTTCTGCGGCTTTAATTTCGTTTCTATACTTGATTTTTTGACAAACGACCTGGTCAAGCCTTCTTCCGTTTGCAAACAAGTATTAGATGGTCTGTCTAAAAATAGACCATTGCATGGTTAAAATGTATTGTTGAACTAAATTTTTATCATAAACAAACTTGCAAATTTTAATCAGTTCTTACAACAAAATAAGAAATAAGCGATAATTTTATGTCTCCTTTGACATTATGTATAGGGAACTGAATTTTTTTGTTGGTTTTATTTCGAAGATATCGGAAAATTGAAGGGAAAAAATCCATTTTTAGCGATTCCATTTAAATTCTCCAGTAGAATATTTCACGTCGCAATCATGATTAAAAAAATACCTTTTTTCTTATTTTCATTTCAAATTATTTTGGACAGCTACAATGAGCAGAAAATTTGCAAGCCTAAAAACCTAGAAAACATGTATTTGAGATTTGAGTATTGCTAAATAACTCGACGATTTGCGGGTTTCTTCTAATATCAGGAAATTAAAAGTGTGTTTTTATGGAGTTAAAATGTCTACTTCTGTCCAAAATTGTGTAGAAATTAATTTTTTTTAAATCTGGTATGAATACATTCAGCAGCTTCCAAATATTATTTTTCTGTGTAATTTAGTTTTTTTCGATAAATGTCAAAGATCAAATGTCAAAGAAAAAAATATATGATATTTATATAAAGTTGAAATTTAATGTATTAACTTGTATAACTTGTGTTCTTCCAATCTTTAAGATCAAATACGTGATCGGCACTTAAATATAATTTGCATTTAAAAGCAAACTCTGCGTCCGCACGCCGTCTTCCGACGGAACTGCGAACACAAAGGCCGCGCGCGATTAAAATTGCACAAATCGCGGCGGTGGCCTCCGACTGTGTGTCAGGGCGTGCAGAAATGAATGGTCTATAACCGAGTTAGTTGCACACACGCAGCGGCTCAATAACGGGACGAATCTATAGCAAAAGTGGTGCCGGCGACTTGTGACAGCGCAATACCAACGCACGTTGACTGAGTGGCAAAGTGCATGGGTTGGCACAATGGACGTGTGTCCTCGCCTCCAAAGGACAATCCCACCAACCCTCAGCATATTCGTCATAGTTTGTAAGTGACTTAAATGATTGATTGATTAATTATTCATATATATCATTGATATTCAAGTAAAAGCTCTAAAAAACTTCATGATTTAAATTACTCCATTGTTTCATTCAATAGCAATGATAGCGGTTCCAAATAAAATATAAAGACACATTGATTTAAATACATAGAATAATTACAAATAAATAGTATAAAAATGAATGATTTTATAATAATCAAAAAATTATTTAATACAAAAATGCATAAAATTATTTAAAATAATAAACTAATTTTACAAAATTTATTTGTTAAATAAATTAAAAAAATATGATTTTAAAATAAAAATGATAAAAACTACACTAAAAGCAAGAAAATTGTTTGCCTAAATTATTGCCAATTGTCATGTTTAATTTTTAACAAAAAAGTTGCGGCTAGCGTGCGTGTAGTGTGGTGAGCACCAAAAAACCGCAAATTGCCTAAATTAACACAATGTGTCTGGTGACCTCCGTCGATTCTAGACGTAAAAAGTGTCCCCATTTTAACACTTCACTGAATTGAGCAATGAGAGTAATTTTTATTTGCAAACAATTCACTTTTTTCCGCAGTTTTCTGTCTGGTCGGCCAGACTGGCGCCCTGGTCCGACCGCTGCCCAGTGGTAATTTAATTGGACCTGGAGGGACCAAGTTTGAAATTAGCTTTGGCTCGTGCCTTTTGCACCTGTACGAGTCCTGCTCTAACTCAAGACTGCTTTTTTATTATATTCCTAGGTACGAACAAAAGTATAATTATTCCGAATTGAAAATTTATTTCAAACAGTTTGGAGAAATCTAAGCACTTTCTTTTCAACTCATCCGACGCCGAATCTCTCGACGCCAGTGGATTTAACTCAAGTCGCCCGACCAAATTGCTTATCCATGGCTACAACGGCTCTCTATACTACGAACCGATCTACAATATTGCTAGAAGTAATGTAGTTTAATGTATACAAATATTTGATTATTACATTATTTTTTTAGTTAAAGAAATGGAAAAGTTTGAAAATAAAACAAATAGAAATTGAAACTGTGCACTTACTCTTTTGCTTTTTGATGACGTTTTTTTAGTGAGCTTTACACTTTTGAAAATCATCTACTTTCCAAGAGCTGAACAAGGCACTTGCACCTTCTTCATTGCACAGAATACTCCAGTCCAGTGCAGGCCATTTCTAAAAAAATTATCACTTCATCTTTCGTGTGTTGAAACTTGAAACAAGGAGAGTAAGCACACATGAAAACTATCCTAATTTCCACTTTCATACCTCGTATGAGATACATTGCAAAATATTTCATTATTTTTATTAAGTGAAATATTAGTTCTATTTTAATAGCAATTCAAATAAAAAAAAATGAGAACTTTTTGCATGTCACTTCAAAATAAATGATCTGATAAAAACATAATTATCCTAAAATGCTCACTTATTTCTCTCAAATTTAATTAGTGTAATCAATTGAATAATTCGTATATTCAAAATATAACAATTTATTCCGATATATTTATAACCTGTTTATTTTACAAAAAACCGATGAAATATTTTCGTATTAAACTGATGCTTTTCAGCATACTTGGGTGAGGTTGATGTGAATGTGGTGGTGCTCGACTGGCGGGCCTACTCGAACATGCCTTGCTACCCCAGTTCTGTGCTCAACACGTGGCAGGCCGGCCGGTGCACTGCCCACGTTCTTCAGGAGATGGCCACGTGGACGGGTGCCCCGCGGCAATTTTTCGCGGACTTGCACATCATAGGTTTCAGTTTGGGCGCCCACGTGGCTGGATTCGCCAGCGCCTACCTCAAGCCCTTCAGAATCGGAAGGATTACTGGTTTGTTTAATTTTATTACCAGACTAGCCATAGATTTAAGAAAAAAAAATAATCAGATTCTAGCCTGATTCTAACAATGAATCTCAGCAAATTTTGAAGATTTTAATTTTTTAATGCTGAGATTTTTAGTCTCATAAATAATGAAGCAAAAGGTAAAACAAAAACACTCAAAAATCCAAAAATGTATTTCACTTTTTCGTAGAATTCGAAAAGCATCATTCACAAACTTTTTTTTAAACCATTTTGCTCCTGAGAGATTTCTGTAGTTATAACTTGAGCCTAGCAATAAAAATAATTAACTTTCTTTTTTAGAAGATTTTATTTCTTGTGGAAAAAAATGAAAAAAAATTGCCTAATCCGCAACCGCAACCTGCGCACCACTGAAGCATGACCGGTTGCATACGCAACGCCTAATTTAATTAAAATGAATAATCTTACAAATTTTTTATCTTTATATTTTTTAGGAATCTCAAATTGCTTTCAGGATTGGATCCAGCATTGCCCTTTTTCGCCTCACTGAGTCGTTCATGGAAATTGGATGCAAACGACGCGCGCTTCGTCGATGTCATCCACACAAACGTCGGCGTCTTCGGCAAGATTGATAACACAGGTCACGCAGATTTCTACGTGAACGGAGGATCCGTTCAGCCAGCGTGCAACAACAGTAAGCGGAGAAAAAGCTGGCGCTCCTCCTTTTGTCAGAACAAAGACAGTAAACGTGTTTTCGTAATTTATATCAGTTGCAAAAATCATAACGCTTCGCATATTAAAAAGCATCTTGGCAAGAGAGCTAAAAAATAAGTGCTAAAATATAACTGTAAACTTTTTTATCACCATAAAATTCCAATGCTAATATTCTAATTTTATTTCAGGTCTAAGACCGCTTTGCAATCACTTGCTGGCGCCTTCCTATTTTGCCGAGTCGATTTCGACTAAGGCGAGAGGTTTTTACGGGTACCCATGTCAGAGTTTCCTTTACTATGTCCTTGGGTGGTGTGACGAGAGAATCACAAAGAAGAACTCTGCAGTCATGGGCGAATATTGCCCAAAGAGGTGATCATAAATTTAGCAAAATTTAAATGGAATTTCATCCAATTCTATAAATAGCACAAGAGGTGTTTTCTTTGTAAACACTGCAAGTCAATATCCATTCAGTTTGGGACAAGAGTGGCCTGAAGAAAGCATCGTCATTGAAGCAAATACGGCTGAAGAACTAGTCGAGTCGACGCCAACAACTGTTTTTTATAATGAAACTGAAGAGACGACAACAATGCCAGATTTGAATGAAAACTTTTGAAAAATAAATGAAATTTTACAGAGAATATATTTGAGGTTTTTCTGAAACAGCATCAAATAAATTTTTTCAATTAGTTTTATGTTTCAAGGTTCTCTAATGAGATAAAAATAATGATTAAATATTTTGTATAAAAAATTTACAGGATAAAACTGAATAAATCAACATTTAAATCTAAACAACTAGTACAAATTTTCACAATTGTGGTAAATTAAATCTTTATTATAATAAATTTTAAGGCAGTTTTTATTAATTTCTTAATTTTGATTATATTGTTTTGGAATATTAAAGTTTTTTTTTTTAGTTTTAAATTTAGAGAGGAAGATGTTCATAGAAAAAATTTAAGATATTTTTCACAATTTTATTAATGTGTAACGCATCATAACATGTAATTTGGCTACATACTGTTCAACAGTTCCAGAAGCAAAATTCTTGCCGTAGGTCTATATAAAAAACTTCACAATAAATCAAAAGAAAATCTGGTCTCTCGTAATATTGTTATTTATGCTGGCTGACTAGAAGAGCGCACTGTCCATGCACTTACGGAAAAAGGGATGTGATGGATTGTGTCAAGAAGCAAAGTAGAATGAAAAGTGATGGCATGCTATGAAAAACAAAACGAGGCGAGTAGTTGGACCCTACACGAAAGATTCTAAGTATTGCTTGTTCATGAATGTGTATTGCTACCAAGCAGCATTTCTGCAAAACACAACAACGTCTCTCAACTGACAATTCAAAGATAAAAAACAAAAACGTAACAATTTTCTAATAATTTTGTCCCAAGGTTTGGAAACTTTGACAACTGGCCAGCCAAAAGGCATACCTTTGGTGCGAATCTCAGTCCATTTAAGCCTTGTATCTATTTACAAAACGGTCATGCTGATATACATCTTGATTTAAAAAGAAACATATAAGGAAAAAAACAGAATTCACTCAAAGAAAAAATAAATAATACGGTCATTTGAACTGGAAGTAAGACCTGGAATATTTGGAAGTAAACATGCATAAACTCCAAGGACATATAAAATCCTTTTGTCCCAAATTTCGGGCATGCCGTTACAACATATATTCACTATTTTTCAATTTGAAAATACTGTGATAAAAGGGAACTGCATTGCCGCCAGTTCCATTTCTGCAATCGTCTGTTGACCAAAAGCAAAATAGTGAAACGAGCTTATTTCTGGCAAACAGAGATTCAATTCTGAGCAAGTAATAAAAACATGCAACTTAATTAATATGATCAGCACCTGCTAACGGTCATTGATTGTTTCACATTTCGTTCAAATTCAAAACTCTTTCTGTCTCTCACGCAAAAAGCGAACCCACTATCGGTGGTAGGCTGTCCAGATCCTAGTCGTTTCCAAACCCCGTGTCTGGTGATCTTTTTTTCGCAATAATCGTTTCACAGCAATTAATATTCCCAACAGGTCAGACTACTCGACCTTCTTGCTTGATTTCCGTAAGTACTTTGCGTAAAAGTAAGACGCGATGTAGTACATGAAAGTGACGGTGAGCATGTAGAACGAGGCGGCGAGCGCCTTCGTGAAAAGATCAGGCTTCGGATGCAGCAGCACCCGTTTGATTAAGAAAAAGCCGTACACGACTCGGATTAAGAAGAAGAGCGACATGAACGCCAACTCGACCACCGTGTAGAGCCACGTGTCTTTTCTTCCAGTGGTGCGAAGGTACCAGCGGGCCTGCAGCAGGGGGTTGGTGATTTCCATGCCGCCAATGCCGGCGATGCCCTCGGTGGCCGACACGCCCTTGACCAGCACCGAGCTGAGCGCCGTCAGACTGACCAGGTGGTGGATGATCATGGTGACGCCCTCGGTCTGGTAGTACAGGCACCACACCATGTCAAAGATGAAGTAGCCCAGGCTGTTGCTCACAGTGAACTTCTGCATGCTGGAATTTTCGCTACCTGAAATGGGAAAAATTGGTGAGAAAATTATAGTTTTCAACAATGGTTTTAATTTATTAAATTGCTCAAGGATAATATGGGATAATATTCGTTGGATTATAAAAAGATGAATATATTAAAAACAAATCAGAAGTTTACATAAGAGATGGGAAAATAGGTGATCAACTTTATAACCTATTTGTTGACAATAAAGCCAGTAAACTGAATAAACAAGAATGGAAAAATAAAAGATGAAATGAAACTTTTTCAAGTTTAAATTGATGTTTCAGTTAAGCAACTTTTTTTCTACTAATTTTAAACAACTTTAATAGCTATTTTTACCTTTAATTAATGAGTTATTTAACATTGCCTATTTTTAAATTTAAAAATTTGCTTCAAATCACCAATTATCAGAAAAAGTCTTTTTTAACATATAATATCTTACAACTAGTTTAGTTGAACTAAAACAAATAATATCAATGCCAATGAATAATATATTGCTATGCTTGTTCCATCAAAAAAATTAATAAATAAATAAAAAAAAACTCATAAAGTCACAAATTTGTCACATCTGTATAGTTTTTAATGTTAATTGAATCTAGTTTTAAATCTATTTTAAACAACATCTCAACCGGTCGTTACTTCCCAAATAAATCATTTAGATAATTAGGATAATTATTCAAAAATAGAAATGGTCAACAAAGAGAGGGAGACCAAAAACAAGCTCTCACAATAACATGAATCTAATTTTGTTAACTTCAGCTTCTATTTTTAAATATTCAAGAAACGAAAGACCAAATTTAGATGATACGAGTCTCGGTGTAAAATTCAAAAATAAAAGTCATCCACTCAGTTAATAGAGTTAAAAGGCCTGTTAAACGTGTTAAACAAACTCAAATTCAATGTTTGCTAAAACGCAGATCTTCTATTCTGTATGATAAATCGCGGCGTAGAAAAAATGTGTGGGCGTTTGTTTGTTTGCTTCCTTTCCGCAGTCTTACCATAGTCTTGAGGGGTTGCCAAGTAGCAGTGCCACATCGCCAGGCAGTTGGCCACACATGCGTGCACAAAGGTCACAAGGCGGCAGCTGAACTCAGGCTCCTTTTTGCTCAGTTTCTGGTGCACCAGGTAGAAGACGGACCAGAAGGTCGTCGTTATGGCAACGTAGGTCAGTTCTTCGTTCATTTTAGTCCGTGCGATTCAAACAACCTGAGAACAGAGAGAAATCAAATGAAATTCAATTATTGCATTTTCTGTTGGATATTAAAAGAATTTAGATTTTTGCCTATTTCTTTATTTTATTATGACTTGTTATGTAGTGAATAAAACAAATTGAAATTGAGAATTAAAATACATGTGTATATCAACAAACATTTGCAATGTAAAAAAAAATGACAACAATTAAACCAAAATTTACAAAAAAAAATCTCACCTTTAATTCTTTTTTTTAATTATTAATAAGATAAGTAGTTTTTATTTACATTTATAAAAGTTTTACATTGAATAAGACGTCATTATAAATCTATTATGAAATGTCAACAATTCTGTTCTGTTATTATCCCCCATTCTTCATTTTTAGATTGTTGAGATAATTTAAAAATTTTCATTCTTGGTCATTTTTTGAATAGGAGGTAAAAAATGATAGCCATCATTTTAATTTTGATCTTGATCCTGATCTTCCCATTGCTGGTTTTTCTGGAATTCGCGTTTGCTCTCTTTGGAATTTTCTTTTGGATCGGATTCGTGGTCATCACCATCACACTTCTGACGATGGATATCTTGGCCAGCATGGCAATCTTTTTGCCAGTGGTCGGTGAATATTGTTCTTTTTTTAGTTCAAAACGCTAAACATTCCCTGTCAATAGATTTTCTTGATCTGGCTGATCGCCATGTGTTTTGGGGGATGTTTTGAAGAGGAGCCTGTGTATTTTGAATATTACTAAGAAGTTATCTTCCGAGCCATCGGCAAAAATAATTCCTGAGTTTAGCTACTAAAGCATTTTTTAAATGGCCGAATGAAAGATTTGATAGGAATTTGCTAAATTTGCATTATTTTGTTATTTTCCTCTCAAAGTGATTTAGGCAGAATAAGTGATTTTTTTATCGTGTAATTACTATCAAAACTTTGGTACCCTGTTGATTGTTGTGCAGGTTGCATAAACTATTTTCTCTTTGATGAACAAGCACCGAATAGTTACAAGAATAGTTATTATATTCAGCATGAGAAGCAAATTTGGTAGTTAAATGAATTCCGATTGACGTCGATGGCTGTACTTTCTAAAGGTTTAAGAATAATGTTGACAGTTTATATCAAGGCATTAATATAAACACTTGCAGCTATTTATAAATCAATCGGTGCTTTTCTGCATAAGAATTTTATAATTATAATTAGTATAGCAAAAACTTGTATTATTCAAATTGATTTAAATTTCAAATAAATTTCTTCAATGTGTTAAAAATTCAAATGATATTGACAAAAAGTATCAAAAGATTTTTAAATTTGGTACATTGAATTTGTTCTAATTTGTTTAAAAAATGAATAAATGTTTCCAATTCTAATCTTGAGCGAGCAAAAACTATGTTTCAAAATTAAATTTGAAAGATAATATATTTCTTTTTGGATAGAACGTGGTAGAAATCTCAAAACAATGCATAGAATTAAAAGAGGTTTATAATAAATTATCTATTAAGACAAAAAAATTTTGACAACATTCGCTCACAATCAGAATTATGCGCTGTATTTTTCTCTTCAAAAGTAATTACATAAATATCATACCATATGATTGACTGATAAGTCAAGTTCCGACTCATTCTCTGATTAAAAAATATTACTCACTGATTGTGAGAAATGAGAGGACGAAAAAATGTGAAAGAGACGAGGTGACACTCCACCCATTGCGTGATGGATTAGCAAACAAAAAAGTATGAAAGCTCCGGGCAAATACGCCACTTCTTATCTTCACAGATAAAAAAAATTGGATTTATAAATTTTGAGCTAAAAATATTTTTGGTCGGGGCAAAAATGTTATGGTCTCCACGTGGAATAAATATTAACGTTCAATTATCAAGGATAAGTTTTCCTCAGCAATTTTTTTTTTTTAATTGACAATAATTTTTACACACAAAAAAATAAAAACGATTATTTTGTCATCTCGATACAGATTTGAGTGAAAATCTTAAATTTTCAAACCAGTTGTGAAATTAAGAAGATAATTATTCAATTAAAATGAGCTCGACTCACCAGCAAAAGTGTGCGACCCACCCGTGCGACACGAGTCTGGAAGCAAAACTGAAAACATGCGATCGCGAATTGCGTGCTTCATCTCGGCGCGATTGGCGCAAGAAAAGTGCAGCTGACCTCGCGCGACGCATAGGAAGTCATGTGCCGGGAGTGACTTGCACAGCTAGACATTGACCTTCCCACAGGCCGGTCTGCCCAACATTACATTTCATTGCGGACGAACCAAGCTTGCGACGAAATTATCGATCCGGCCGCGCTGCGCCCGCGATTTATTATCAATATTTTATTTCACCTCCCCTCGGTGGGTGCAGATTTAAAAATAGAATTTGAAAAGACAATTGTCGCGGAAGAAGTGGCGAAAGGCGAGCAGGAAAAGTAGTGGCGGAAGAGATTGCGAAACTGGTTTTCTCGATCTTAGCGCGGAATTGCGTCTTCTGAACGCATTGCATGGGAAAACCGAGCGACTTTCAACCTTTGGCACTGTGAGAAGTTTATCACCAAATTACGTGTTTATATGTCTCTGCTGATCCAATTTTATGCAACTGACCTTTCACAACTTTAAATCAATAAACATGATGTGTGCAGTGTGCAATCAATTAAATGCCGATGTCAACAAAATAGCAAATATAACTTGATCAAATCATTGCAAGCAATTCAGCGTCTTAAAATTAGGTTTGGTTTCTCAATTGTTAGTCGATTATAGAGAAAAATTAGGAAATAATTTTAATAATTCAAAAATTGTATTACTTCAAATAAAACTGGCAAAAACAACTGATTCAAGTAGACCCTGGGTCACATTTTAATGACAATATTGAATTTATATTATTAAAAAAAATGAGCTTAATTATTTTCTGGTGTAGAAAAATAAAAAAAAGAGATGTATAAAACATTAGGCCAATTAATTAATCTCCAATCAATTTTCATTTTAAGTCAAATTTAGCTATTTTTGCAACTTTCCGAGTTTAAAGATGCAACCTGTCAAACAAAAGAGTAGGGCGGATTGCATAATCTGCTCTACTGTCACTTTGGTACATACGCGGATTTAAATTTTGTTTCACATGCAACATTGCTTAAAATCAGTTAAAAATTATCATTATGTAAAACTGATTGAAGAGGCTTGTATAGATAAGAAGTGAGAATAATTATTAGGTCAATATGCAAACAAGTAATGTGTTGTTCTTTTACGCGATAAACTAATTTTGATTTTTTTTTTTACCAAATTTTGAAATGCAATCAAATCCTTCCATCAAAAACCAACGAAATTTCTCCGAATCGTAGATGATAAATGTACCAACCACCAATTATATAGCAACACGTCGTACAAATCGCGCCTTAAGAAAAAAAGAGAAACTCGTAAAATGCAGTGACCACAGCGCACTTCCTGGATCTGCATGCACAATCAAAAATATGTTTTCGGGATTTTCGGGAGTTTTTACCTAATAATTTGCAGCGAAGTCGACGAGCCGACCGAACGACCTTCTCATACGGAAGCTAGAGATTCTTCATCGGGGGCGATCGCCGTTAACAATTGTCAAACAATTTAATTTAATTCGCCGCGATCACCAGCACAAATTGTGCTGCATGCGATTTGGTCCGTCCTGTGGCCCCAAATGTGTCCTCTGAAAACATATGCTGATTTTAAGAGTGGCCAACGTGAGTCACTCCATTCGTCACACTTCCGCCGGCTATTTCTGCAAAAGTTGCCAAAAATAGAATGTGTAAACAAATAATTTCATTAGAGGCGATCGATTATTGCACATAATTCGCTTGCGAAACAGATGCTTATTAGATTAAAGTAATTTCACCTTGGATTTTTCTCTATTTGGTTGGCGACATGTGTGATAAGTGGGCGTGGTAAATTGCCAACTTGTATTTCGGTTTATATTGACAGTTCCACAGTGACCGGGTTTCTTTACTTTTTTCAACAATGAAAAGATTGAAAACCGGTAAGATTTTACAAGCAAACCGGTTTATACCGGTTTTACGTGTATCTCGCAGTGAAAGTTGACGTTTGACGTATGCAGCTTCAAAAATTGCGAATAAATTTCCTTTTTTCGACAAAATCAGTTCACGGTGAATTTACCTGCACGCCGAAATAGCCGACCGAGCCGCCGAGTGCGTCGTCACCGTCCGAGAAAGAATCCAGGCACGGAATCCAGAGGAAAACAGACGAGGTTTGTACGTCAAGAATATCACTTCTGCTCAAGTGGGCGCGATCTAGGGTGAACTGAGGGGCTTTAATTGTCTGACTAATTGAAATGAACGTCAGGGGAAACCTTTGAAAATTGCCAACCGACCAGAGAAGATCGATTTGTTAGAATTAAAAGGGCATGGGAGTGAGAAAATTGCTGACTTTGTGGGAAAATGTTTGTTTTGCCCAAACCCAAGGTTGTGCAGATTTTTCCGCTGACACAGCAGCTGGAGAAAGATTTCCGCTTTTAAATAATAAGATAAACATGTTTTAAAGCTCGGAATTCCATGAATCGTCTTGATCTAGAATTTTAATTTCAGCTTACAGAAGGGAAAAAATGGAAGGTATGGAAAGTGTTTAGTTCAGATCTAGATTAGACCTTTTTGTCTTATGCAATAATTTGTGGCACTTTAACTAGTTCTCGGTTTAAGTTTTTCTAATTATTCAATCAAATTCCTATCTTTTTAATAGCAATTATTTCCAATTGCAGGCAGTCGTGAGCCTGTGATGAGCAAATGACCGCTCGCAGGCGGCGAGGTGGATCCGAGTCTGAGAGCAGCGAGTTGCTTGGCGCCTCGAGCTCGACGTGGACAACTCAAGCGCACCACCCCTCGAATGGCCTGCCCCCACTAGAGCCCTACGTCGACCCGACCATGGCTTCAAGAGACCGCACCAAAGAATTCGCGACCACCGTCCGCTCTCTGCAGGGCAGGGAGCTGACCAGAGTGGTCAACAATGTGGCCCCAAAGGACCCCCGACGGCAGCAGAACCTCCACAGATACGCAGAGTTCATGTTGATAGCCAGGACAATTGGAAAGAACATAAGCAGTACCTATTCGAAACTGGAAAAACTGACTCTTTGTGAGTATTTTTGATTGAAATTGTTGAAGTACTCAGTAAAAGAATTCACCAAGTAAATTAAATATTAAATAAAGTTTAAATCAACGTATTTTTGTGGCTAAATTTTCTATTTGTGTAATTTTCATACTTAAAAACAAAACAAAAACTTTTTAATAATTTCTCGATAAGAATATTGTTATATATAAATTTTAATTTGATTTCAAATTCTTAACCAGAGGAATTTTTATTTCCTGTTAACAGTGGCAAAAAGGAAGTCCCTTTTCGATGACAGGCCTGCCGAAATCCAAGAGCTGACGTACATCATCAAAGAGGACCTGAACAGTTTGAACCAACAAATCGCCCGACTGCAAGGCGCGGCCAAAAGCCAGAAGGACAACACGTCCCGCAAGCACCTCATGAGCCACTCGTCCAGTGTGGTGCTCACCCTGCAGTCCAAGTTGGCCTCCATGTCGACCGAGTTCAAGAATGTGCTGGAGGTGCGAACGGAAAACCTAAAGGCGCAGCGGTCCAGACAGGAGCAGTTTTCACAAGCGGGAGCTTTGGCTTCGCTGCCACCTTCTGCTCTCACTTCCGGACCTCGACAAGGCTCTGTTTTACTTGCTGAAGAGCAGGTAAGGAAAATTTATCATTAAATTGAAACAAATTTAATAGCAAATAATTTATATTTGATAAGAAAAATGAAATAATTTACTCTAGATGAATTTCTTAATTAATTTTTTTTTTAGTCCATTTCCTTTTATTTTTTAATAAGAAATGAATATTTTATCCATCTAAAAGCTACGTTAAATTGAAATATTTTATTCCATTTAAAATGCAAAGAACTATTATTAAAAAAAGGAATGGACAACAATTCCAGTAGAAAAAACCTTGAATAACCCTATATTTTTTACTTTTATTTTCAATTCTAAACAAATTTTAAGTAAGAATTTTAAAAAACAATTAAAATTTATTATTCCAGGTTTCGATTGAGATGGGTGGTGCTGTGGCTCCACCGGCTTTGACCCTGCAGGGCCAGCAAATGCTGATGCAGGACGAGACGGACCAGTACCTTCACAGTAGGGCAGAGACGATGCAGAACATCGAGTCGACCATTGTGGAGCTCGGCGGCATCTTCCAGCAATTGACGCACATGGTGAAGGAGCAGGAGGAGATGGTCGAGCGAATCGACACCAACATTCAAGACGTCGAGTTGAACGTGGAAGCAGCGCACGGGGAGATCCTCAAATACTTCCAATCCGTCTCGTCGAACCGGTGGTTGATGATCAAGATTTTCGCGGTGCTGATCCTGTTCTTCATTTTCTTTGTTGTGTTTCTGGCCTGAGAAACTGCAGCTGGCTGAGAGAGAGATTCCTAGTAAAGTAATCGATAAAACCCAATGTGAACTGAAAAAAAAACCATCAAATTGTAGGCTCGAGTTTTTTACCCAGAATTTCAGCAAGGCTGACTGCGACTTTATGATCACCGTTTTGCAAGATTGAGATTTTACTATGGCTTATGAGATATTTACGATTGTTTGGTAGATCCTAGTACGTTATATATTCTCGAGCTTCTTTTTATTTTAAATCATATTTTATCAAATCATTATTCTGTCGGTCTTCTCAGTTCTGGGCCAAATTGCTCCTCATATATTGCACTGAATTGTAAATTATAAAAAAATGGGCCTTTTACAACAAGAAGTGAATTCCAAGCATGGACTCGTTTGGGACTGCCGTTCTTTTTTGAGGCTGTGCGAACTCAATTTGTCACACTACGATATATACCTTCACACCATTTGTATCCAAGTATTGGAATAGGATGCATTTGTTCTGATTCGTTTCAGCATAATTAATAAATTTATAAGTCGTATTAATACATGTTTGAAGTCTTTATTTCGCTTCTCACAAAACTACAATTCTACAGACGTTTGTACAAATTGACTCTTAAAAACTAATAAGCGTTGGAGAATAAATTAGAACTAAATAGTGGAACTTAGGCCATCAAGTGCAATTCTACCACAATTATTTTTGCAACTCAATTTGAACATAATTTTATAAATTTCCACACCCTTTCATTAATAGGAGTGAGCTAAGTTATAAAGGCCATTGGCAAGAAATGCAGTCAAATTACTTATTAAATCTGGCAAACTTGTCTAAAAACTAAAATTATAGGAAACTAGAACACGGAAAATGGCGCGGCCCAGTTTGTGCGCAGGTAGAAATTTCCCCGAGCACTGAAAACATGAGTTGATTAAATTTTATTTTCGAATTGATGAACTTCCACTCACGTCATGTTAGTGTGGATCCCCATTGGATTTCTTTGGTTGTATTTGCACCTCGCATTGAGGAAGTCATCATACGAGGTGCACTTGGTCCCGATGAACTCTCCGCCCCGCAGAGATTCCTCGAAGAAACGCCACGACCTCCAATGACTGCACGTTCCTGAATTTCAATACGTTAAAATTGATTTTTTTACAGTTATTCTAACTAGCTTTACCAAATGAAATCACGTTGGCGCACCCAGGCTGGAAAAAAGAACCGCCGTTTGGGTAGAAATCGACGTGGCCTAGGGGTTGAGAGTAGCCGTAGAGACCCCCACAGGTGTGAATCACGTCGACAAATTCGGCGTCAGATGGGTCTAATTTGTCTGCTTTGGGGCGGCTAGTAAACAAGGGATATGCAGGATCTAGGCCTGAAAAAATTATAAAGAAAAAAAAATATTAAATATTGATCAATAAATAAATTTACTTCATCTCAGCATGATAATAAAAAATAATTATCAATTCTCACAATTGATAAATTTTAAAAATTTCTTATTATTCATGATAATGTTAATAATTGTTATAGCTTCAAATTATTAATTATGCATCGTGGACTTCAATACCGGGATAATTTTTCACGTTAATAAAAAATATAATTATAAGTTGATCAATATTTTTCATTTTTGCGAGTTACGGATTTTTCTACAAATAATATATAATTTGCTTTTTTAAACTTTTTTCGCTCTAACTCTAACTGTTTAAATTCTCAATTTTAATTTATAATTTTGAAATACGTGTTAATAAGAGATTTAAAAAAAGCGTGATTTTCGCACTTATACCTGTGATCCTGGGTACCCTTCCGACGGTCATGTACTTTGCAGCAACTGCGGTGACATGTGCGCCCAAACTGAAGCCGATGAGATGGAGCGTGTCTAGGCGAATGGCTTTGATATTGACCAGGCGGTCAATCAGTTGGGCAAGGGCCATTCCGACTGGCCGCACGTTGTTGGCCGCGCTCAGGTACCATGGGCCGGCGGCCAATTTTTGCCAATCGACGGCGATGAAATTGTAGTCGCCACGGTAAAGGAAAGCTGAGATTAACAAGGAAAAATATTAAGTAAAAAAACCAAAGTATTTATGATGGACACTTTAATAAGTCAACGCCAAAATTAAAGCGCCAAAAAAGATTGTATAGCAAGGTCAAGACGAAAGCAATTTATTTTTTGTGGCGCCGCGACTCCTGTTGTGCTCTTTTATCTTTTACAATTTTTATATTTTTTCAAAATGCAAAGTCAGGAATTCCGTACGTCACGCAAATGATAATAAATTTCTATTGTCCCTCTTTTGAAATTCATCAAATAGCATAATATTTTCTGTGAGAATTCGCATAAGAGCCAACAATAGACGCGACCTTCAGGGTCTTTGAACCACCGGCCGGATGTATAGTGGCGAATTTTGTTTTCATTCAAGCTCACCTGCGCGGAACGCCCTGATGCTGGTGCCCTTTTCGCCCTCGAGGAATCCGTGCGTGTATATGGCGGTGGGCAGGCTGGCGTTGAAAAGGGATCGCAGTTCGTCAGGGTCGTCCTCCAGAGTTAGCAGCTGGTGCGGCGTGTTGATCGACGACCTGCAACCAGGGTACGCGCAACTGCTGAGAATAAATCATGATTTCTCTTGGAGAAATTTACAAACTTGCAAAATTTAGTCCTTTTGCGCTAAAGTTGGTTTTTTCGATTAATTTATTAAGAAAGTTAAAATTATTGCAGTAAAAAATTTTGACAAAATATTAATTTGATTTTTGATAATTCAATTTACCTAAACAGGGCAATTTAGTGATAAACGCTTTAATAAATCTGGCCTTTTTTAATATAGGTTTTTTTAATAAGTAGGTCGTCGCCATCAATTCAAATTAATTAATTTATTAGCCTTCTCTAGACAGTTAATTAGGTGGATTTCAACTCAGAAAAATCCATTTTTTTTTTGTAGATTTTTTAAATATTTGAAATTTGAAATAGAGAAATAATTTAAGATGAAATTTTAAGATCAATATTCCACGAAAAAGTAAAATTAAAAAAATCAATGTCATATAACTGAAAAAGAAAATTATTTCACTTTTTATCAAACCTTTGAAATTTTTTTCATCTTTATAACATAATCATTATGGCCATAAATCATTTTAGCAACCGACAATAAAAGATCCGGGTTTTCCAACAATGCTAAAAAGCTCATTAGTATTTCAAAAGCGAGCCTCTCTGCAGTTCTTTGATTCTTCCTTCGTAACGCATTATTTTCGCGCTATGCAACTTTGGCAAGATTCAACACTGCAGATAAAAGGAAATTAAAATGAGTGACGGCTGCTCTCATCTTATTATTCTTTCTTTTGAAAACACTTAGTGACGCAACACCGCTTCTTTGATTTGGAAAACGTCCAGATATAAAGTTTTTGCGAATCAAATCGGAGATGCATACGAAAATTCGCGATAATGACGATGACTGCACAGTTTCGGTCGCAATGTCAAGGGCAGCGGAACCGCGCAGGTGTAGTTCACAAAACAGGCGGAGCGCGGAAGCAATTTGCAAAGTTGAAAATCGTACTTTGAAAATTTATTCTTTCAATTATTTAACAGTCTATTCAAAATTAATTTTTATAAATTTCCTGGTTGAAAAAAAACTGTCATTTAAATTTTGATTGATCTAAAATTTTAAAATACAGCCGGCTTAATTTCAGCCAAGGTTAGATAAGTAATAAATAAAATTGTGCCTGAACATTCACGCTTGCTTATTAATTCAACGTGCAATCATTGCACACTCACATACGGACGTGTGGTTTTAGCCTTTATAACGCCTGAGGGATAAAAATGAACTGCTATTTATTTATCTGACTGTTTTTCTTTTATCTTTGGAAAAAACTCACTTTCGAGGGTACGCCTTGAAGAAAACATCATTGAAGTTGACAGGGTTGCATCTGCCCAGAGGGAACGACCTCAAGTAGATACCCCCGACGTCGATTGACCTCCCCAGACTTCGGGTCACTGAAAAAGAGATAAACTTTGATTAGTCATCGTCCGCAGATACGCAGCAGGAAAACACAAATACGAAAATAGAATTTTGCATAATATAGTACGCATTTATTTTTATCAGCAAAAGATAAACTTTTGTATGAATGATTCATGCAGCAAAGAAGTGGTTTTAGCGCGAGGCCGCGAATTGATTATAACGCATCATAATATATTATGACGCTAATACAGATTTATTTCGGCGTGAGGTTTATTTATACAGTCATAATATTTTTATTCATGTAGATGAAAAGAATGACTCTAAAAATTATTCATTCTTTCCAAGTGATGAGCTCGTTAATAGATACAAAACTTAAAACCTATTGTATAAATAATATTATTTTCGTTTAAGATGTATTATATAAAAAATATAGATTATTTTTTTAGAGGTATATCTTCCTTTTCCTTCTTACGTCATCAGTTATTATGCTATAGTTTATATTTTATATTTAATGAGAATGAATGTTTGAATCATTAATTTGCGACAGGATCAAAAACACAGAAGGTATACAACTCTAACCATTTTCTTACTATTACTTGTAATATCCAAGTAAATATAAATATACAATCAAAAAGATACTTTAACAATTTCTAATGCAAATTGAGACAGTTATTAAAACTGATGATATCATAGAAATTATAATTTTTAAATATAAATAATATATATATACTATAAAAATATCATTAATAAATAAAAAAAATGTTATTAAATTATAATTTTAAATATTTTAAACTAGAAAATTTTTATTTTTTAAATTTAACTATTTTAATAGTTCTTTGTTTAAACAATAAGAGGGCAGCAAAAGAGATTATTTATTTTTCCATCAAATATATTTGGAAATTTTTAAATATTTTGTACATATATTTCATTATATATAATTATGAATTAATAATTAAATGGATTAGATGACTTCGCTAAAAAGATTGAACATAGGGCTCTTTCATCTTTCGGTTTAAACTTCAGCCTCACGCCTCACATATGTTCAACATTGTCTTTTTTTTTATAAAAGAGATTTGTATCCAGAAAAAAAAATTGTAATGATTAAGATCAATAAAAAAAATTTATGTAATGAAAGCAAGGTAACAAAGATAATAGTAAACACAAAAAGTGCATGCCAAAAAGTCCTTTAAAAGTGACAGCCCGATCATTTTATTTCGCACGGTCCGCGGTCGCTCTCCGCAGAACAGACATAATTATCGCCGAAAATTGCACAAGGTTTGAGTTTCAGGCTATGATGCGAGTGCGGTGAGGATGAAATATTATTGTGTCTGTTTATTTGGCGAAAAATTCACGATGAGTATTGCTCAAATAAAAAATCTTCGCTGAACTGCATGATGTTGCATTATTTTTTATCCTTTTGCCTTTTCCTAGCGAAAATCGCACTTTCAAGGATAAATTTTCACCGAAAAGTAGCTGCTGATTATTTTAGTACACGGAAGGAGCTGATTAGCGGAATTGGCCAGAGGAAGAATGAATAATGCTGCTTAAAAATTAGATACATCGAGATCTCCCGTCGATTAATTTTCTATTCAACTAAACGGCGCCGCCTCGCCTTTCAATGTCAGCCGGTTTTTTCACTGTAAATATTTAACCCGAAATAGCAGAAATTTCTACGTTTCCTCATCTCCATAATTTTTTAACAAGACGCAAATGTCAACCTTTGATGATAGGAAGTTAATTCCACCTAAAATTTTGTATTCACTGGTCCGTTCACTTTTTTTTGCAAACAAAAAGTCTGCGCAATAAAAAAAACTCATATTTGAAACAGTGCACGTGCAATTTTTTATTACAGATACAGAGTGATCTCTTCTATTGAGCGAAAAATTCCCAGCCACACGCATGCATTGGACCAGCGCCAAAATGGATTACGTACGGACAAGGAAGTCAGATTGACGTGCTTCATATTGATGCGCGCGGTATGATAAAGCAAAAGCAGCAAGAGAGCATTTATTGAGCTTGTAAACGTCAGTCGTCAACCGGCGCATGCAAATTCGCCGGTGAATGAAATAAAAACAGCATGTTTGAGCAAATCTTATAAGAATCGGAAAAAGAAAAAAAAATCCAAAATATTATATCGAGTCAGAATTGAAAAATATAATCAAACTTCAAATTTTCTTGCTTTGTAAATTTTGAATATATTTTGAATAATATTTGATAAAAAAAGGATTTTATTTTGTCAAAATTGGCTTTAAATGAGATCAATGAACCGAATTAAAAGTATTTTTTCTTTTCATGCTGAAGCGAGGGGATCTGAAAAAAAGTCACTTTAATTTTCTTTCGACTCTCTGCTGTTTTTATAAAATAAATAGTTTGATCAATTGGCGATTTCAATAATTGAATTTCACATATTTTTTGAGTGTTAATAGATAAAAGTGTAATGTACAACATTGAAATGATTATTTTTTTAACAAGTCCTTAAAATTATTTCCTCCAGTAAGGTAAATTGAAGCATAAAAGAAAAAAAAATTGTATGCATAAAAATTTGAGCGTTCCCTGAGTTCCCTCTGCTCTTTTTTTAGTTTAGTTTGAAACAAAAATAAAGTTTGTAACGAAAAACTTGAAAATTTTAACCCAAAATTAATATGTTTTCAACAAAAAAATCTCAAATTACTTCCCTAAAGAGCCTAGATCAAAACAAATAGAGTTAATCACTCCTCTGCATCAAAACAACGCTATTCCGAGCTAAAGAAATTGACAAACACCGCGGCCGCGCGCGTTAATGAAAGCCGAGCGTTGGCATGGCATTCACATTGACTCTTGAGACTGACGCGCGGCCCCCGTATGTGCACAGGATAATTCTCCGTCAACGTTTATAAAGCTTGACCAAGTCGACACTGACACAAAACGGGCATGCTTGTACAAATACACACCTATAAATTAATAAAGAAAAAAATTATTGACAAACGCACCTGCACACAAGGCGTTTGTGATGAACCCGGCGTCGACCCACAGCACGAGGCCAAAGGTCACCAGCAGCACCTGAAGAAGGCAGGCCATGGTTGCGAGTGTGTGTCCGGAGGGACCGACCGGTCTGGTCCGAGAGCAGGACCGCGAGAGACTGACGACCACGGCCCAGCCTCCCTGCCATTATCTGCGGCGCGCGAGTCCTTCAAGGGCACACTCGGCTGCCTCAGCATTGCATTGCGCTCCACTGAACGAATCCGTCGTGATTCACTCTCGTGCGATTCCCGCGCACTTGATCTCGCTGCTCATGCGGTTATTACAATTGCATACATTGTACTTCATAATTTACCCGTAATTTACCAATAAATAAACTGGAGAACAGATTTTAGATGATAAACTAGCTCCTATAATCATGCAGTTGTTTTTTAGGCAAAAGATTTTTTTGCACCAGATTTTCCCAAATTATACGGAATAGTGAAATAAATTTGTGTTCATAAATTTATGAAAATTATAAAATTTGATTTAAAAATAAAAAAAATTGCTAAAAAATATTTTTAAGGCTTACATCTTACATGGTATTTTGTAGGAGTATGACTTGCAAAACTCGATTGCCAAAATACATTTTGGAGCAAATTAAAATGAAAAATATTTTTTCTTGCTAATTGTATAATTAAGAATAATTTTTTATTATTTCAATTCATTAGTTCAGCCAGCTAAAATAGTTTCTTGTATGAATATTTTTCAGCTTGCGGCTTCGTTCTCCAACGGTTATGCGCACTTTTTTATTGTAACGTGTGCAGGAAAAACGAGTTATTTTATTTTTCAAATGGAAAGAGTTAAATAAATGTGAGAACGAGAAAACGAGAGTGAATAATTATTTTTAGATTTGTCAATAGCGTAAGTAAGTATTAACGCATCTTTCAACCGGTTTGTGAAATAATAACATAGAATCTGTTTTTTCTTATCAAATGGATTGTAACAATCAGATAAATTGCATGTGTTTATTTTAATGATTTTCATCACGTTGAAAAACTCATACAATATAAACAGGATTTGACTAAATAGTTATCAAGCCGTTCTGTATAAAACCATTAAATTAATTTAATTCATAAATAATTATTAAAATATATAATCTATTATAAAAATATACAATCATTTAAACTTTTATTCTGTAATTTGTCATTCTTTTTTACTTTTTTTTTTGATTTATTTGCAAATATAATTTTAATTTTGATTAATTAAACGTTTAAATTGTTTAAAAAATAATTTTTTTAATAGATACTAGATCTTTCAAAATTATTAAAAAAAAAACCATTGTGTCATTCAACTAACTGTTAAAACTGTAGACAAGAATAATTCTTCATTTATTTTCCTCCACGCAGCGCCTTTTTCTATAGTTGGTTATAATTCCTCAATTATTAATTATATTTTGGTAATTCAGAGACAAACATGGCCATAGAATATTCGCAATTAATAAATAACCCGGAACGTTCATTTTTTTTGTCAGTTCTCCATCCGAATCAAAACATTCAAAATCATTATACGCTAATTTTTAGTTTGACGGTACAGTCATGTCAAATCTGTACAACACACAACAGCGCGCTATCAACGTTCCGTGCTTTGATGGTGCGCTTTTTCTCATAATATATATAAATTAACCAGACACCACTGACTGAACTCGGCACAATCAATCCTTTTTAATTAAAAGTCAGGTTTCTCGCACTAATATGGACGTTACTTAGCCACTTGGAAATCCAGGCCAACAATACTGGGGAGGTCAGCCAGGTCATAATAGACTCTAAAATAATTATTTACTAATGGAGTACTTTGGTAATCTCACATCTCACAGGTCTCAATTTCCACAATATAATTCACACAGTTGTAAATAAAAATGTCAGGCGATTGATGCTTTAATTGTCGCATAGATTTAAAGAACTCAATCGAAATTAAATTTGCATAAGATGGGTGCATGTGACTAAAAATAAATGAAAGAAGGAAAATAATTTAAAAAAAGATAATAATTGCAATACAAAATCTTATGTTTTATTAAAATGAAATTTATGTTTAGTAAAATTATATATCTAAAGACTTATTGATATCATCTATAATATTCACAAAAATTGGCGATTAAAATTTCAAGTAAAAAGTCTGCAATAGAAGAAAAAAATTGGCTTTTATTTATGTGAAATTAATGAAAATTAATTAATTAATTGTATATTTTCAATATTTTCAAATAATAATTGAATTTAAAAAGTATACAAATTTAAATGGAAAAAAAATAAGATGGAGTTTTGTGATTTAAATAATTTAGTTTTTATATCTCTACGTCATGTTTCATGTTCTTGGTGAACCTTGTGTTTGCAAAATTTGTGTATCAATTAGACTTTGACGATTCGCCATCATCTAATGGAGCTGCAAACCACAAGTTTTGCACCATGAAAACTTCTTCGTTTTTGAAGTTTAGTGCTCGGCGCCGTTGAGCGCCCTTCGACCTTCCAAGGCAACAGCAGCACTTCTTATTCTCCAATCTCGTTACGATCGCCGACTGAAAATGACGCTCATTTTGGTGGCTAATTAACGCGTTTATGGCCTATTACTGATAATATTGCTTGCAAAATATAAGAAAATTTGACGTCACGTCTACAATTCTAGACTTCTCTAGTCTGGAAAAATTTTGGTCAAGGTAGTATACGAGTTTTTTTTTATTCAGACTCTTGACGACGTACTAAAAAGTCTAACGCAAAACCAGCTCAATCTAGTGGTCTTAGTAACGCCGCCAAAAACTGTAACAAAATACCCTAACAAGTGGGAAATTCGATCAGGTCACGTGCGCGACAAATTGCAAATTTTCGCACGGAGCTATGAAAATTATGTATGGCGCGAAACAACATATCCATAAAAATTCAAGAACGTTATTAGATGGTGCACTCTGGGAGTTTCATCAGCACTGATACATCGCACAGCCTCTCTCACAAATACTAATTGTTAATAAAAAAACCTTCAATTCCTCTGTGTGTTTCTAAGCACACACAATGACTATTAAAACGCGAGAGACTTGCATAGCTTGGAGGAATATAAAAACTGATGAGATTTAATGATATGAATACCTCAGAATACCTCTCTCTTTATGCCACGTCAAAACATACTTGAAACGTATTAAAGTGTTCTAATTTTGTAATTTTTATTTTTATGACATTTTTCATTTATTTTTTATTTATTTTATATTTTCCCTGGCATTTAATAGTTATTGATGATTTTGGGCTTGTATAATCAGAGCTGAGGAAATTTTAAAGCGAAAAAAATTTGCAAGTCTAAAATTCACGATTTTGATGATTGCCCTACATTTATAGTGATTTAAAAAAAAATGATAAATAATGAACTTATGTCATAGAATTATATGATGTGCATGAATTATTCACATAAAAAAAGTATTCAACAATAATTTTACTTATTGTTAGCATCACATCTGTTCACTTTTCTGACTTTTAAATAATATTGTTTTTGTTTAAGTTTATAGCAAAATATAGCATGCTCAATAAAATTTTCTAATATTTTAATATTTCTTTGTTATATAAATTAAAATCACCATTAATAAATTTTATAAATAAATTATCAAAAATTTCACATACTTGCACAATTATGTGAGGAAAAATCTAGAAAAAAATCGAGAAATGTTTTTCTTTTTGGTTTTGTTTTTGTTGTACCTGATTATTTCCTGTTTAATCTACGGTTTGCACCTTTTTAATGGCAGAACAAACACAGGCAGTAGAGCTCTCGAAATGTACTAAATTGTCCGTGCGAAGGTCACGGATGGTGCTCTCAGCGCTCGCATCTTTTTTCTAATAAAGCACGTGGCTGTGGAAGTTGCCGCTCAATTAAAACGCGAACGGACTTTTATAAGTCATGGGAAATACTGGAATTTTCTTATAGTTCTTTTACCTGAGAATCGACATCGCCACGCAGTCAGTAAAATTAAAATAGTTATGCAAAGCGTATATATAGTTGTTAACCTTCACGAGCCGAGATGCATTATGCGTGCACTAGACTGACCCCCGTTTGGCCATCTCTGACCTACACCGCGTATAAAATGTTCACCAAGTGGAACTCGCCGCGTTTAACCGCAAGGAGATATTATTCGAATCAAAACGAAATTTGATCTGCACCGGAAGTTTATTTTACTATTTTTCTATATATCAGGGTAAATCAAGCAGAGCGCGACACATGACCCTTCAGCTGCATCGCGGCCCGACCTTTGAGGTCGACAATTGTCGCGCGACCTTTGAGGTTTGCATTTTCAGGCAACTGATTGCACATTTCACGCTCATTTCAGACGAGATATGAAATAAAGCAACAAAGTGAATGCACAAAAGCAAGGCAGCGCGCACATGTGTGATCTTTAAGGGCCTTGAGCTTTTGTGCTTCCGCCCCGTGTGATGCTGAGAAATATTATGCTAATTATTGCCTAAACGTCGCTACGCTAAAAAAAACCAGTACAGTTACAGAAAATTAAAAACTAATATTTATAAGTTTATAAAAATCTATTGCAGTTTATAAATATTATTTATAATTTTTTTTTTCATCATTTCTAGGAATTATTTTTATTTAACAATTATTAAATATTCATCAATGTATTTTTTTTATGTACCAATTGGAAATTCAGGTTTCTTTCATAAAAGAAACCCAAAAAATAAAATTTCCCCGAGGAACTGCGGACTGCCGTCTTTTTCAATGATTTAATTGATTTATAATGTAGATCTGTAAACCAAAGTTATTAAAAGATACCTGAATTTTAAAATTTCCCGAGGACTGCCGTCTATTTCATTGAAAATAATGTAGGTCTTTAAACCAAAGTTATTAAAAGAAACCTGAATTTTAAAATTTCCCGAGGACTGCCGTCTATTTCATTGAAAATAATGTAGGTCTTTAAACCAAAGTTATTAAAAGAAACCTGAATTTTAAAATTTCCCGAGGACTGCCGTCTATTTCATTGAAAATAATGTAGGTCTTTAAACCAAAGTTATTAAAAGAAACCTGAATTTTAAAATTTCCCGAGGACTGCCGTCTTTTTCATTGAAAATAATGTAGGTCTTTAAACCAAAGTTATTAAAAGAAACCTGAATTTTAAAATTTCCCGAGGACTGCCGTCTATTTCATTGAAAA